AAAGAGAAAAAATTCCGTGCCTCCCCGCGCTATATGCCGAGCTGCCACTGCAATACTCTCGATGCGGAAAACATCAGATTACATTGAAACAAACTGACAAACGGAACTAAAACAAAATCGTAAACCTTTAGTCGATACTGTCTTTCACTTTTATCGCGCCCGCCAACGGTTTGTTATTTCTTTCGTTAAACTGTCATTTTACTTCAATTTTCATTCGGAATGACAACTTTTTTTCCATGCTCACACACACATATACCACTCGATGAAAAATAAAAAAGAGAGAAAGGAAAAAAAGAGTGTAAAAAAATTGTTCACAAATCTCTGCAGCGACGTGCGAGAGCGCGCGCGTGCCCGCGTGAGCTAGATTTTTCAGAATAATTTCATTTCGCGCTTTCAATGCAAAACGCGAAACGCAGGGGAAAAAACGTTCAAAGGGACGCGGAGTCGAGTTTCTTTTATTATTATTTTGCTGTTGTTACTTTTACACGTTTGTTATAGTTTGTGAATTTACGCAGCAACAATTTATCATACAAAATTATTTTAGCGCGCATATTTACACACGTTCACAAAAGAGCTGTTAGCTGCGAATGAAAGAAAGGGGGAAAATCATGTTTAGCTATTTGTACGCGTTAAGTGAAGCGCCGCCTATGTACAATACACGCTTATTCTACTCGCCAATAGCTAGTTGAAAGAGTCTCGAGAGCCGGAAAAAGGACAAAATACGACGAAATTACCGTGGAAGCAAACTGAGCTCGGAAATTCAGTTTGCGTATGCGTGTACACGAGCGCGCGCGTGCGAGTGGAATTTGTCGATACGATGAGTGAACTGTATTATACGCCGCGTACCTCCTGCCGCTGCTGTTGCCAAAATTGATGGACGGCGCATATGCGCGCGAGAGAGGCAAAAACTAAAGTACATTATGAACGAGTAAAAGTTTTTCACACGGCTTGTTGTGGTCATCGTTTCGTTAAGCATCAAATTAACGCGCAATAATTCTGTCGTGCAAGTGTGTACTTGCACGCGCGGCAGCATAATTGAGCTCGTTACGTACGCCAAACGAAAAAAAGTTATAAAGAGAGCGTGAAAAAGCGCGATGTACTAGAGAGTAAAAAAAAAGGTAGAGAAAAAAGCTCTCCGACACTATGTAGCATGCACTGTAGCACGCGTCCGAGCCGAGGCCGAAGGTCAGGTAGTTGGGATTATCAATCGAACGGTAATCGCAATCAGACTCCCAAGTTAGCAGCTGGATAGTCAGTAGGCAATATGCCTTTCAAACTTGTCTCTCTCTCTCGCTCTCTAACACTCGCTCGCCCGCGAGTCTCAATTACTCGGGGAGCATCGATCAAAAGCTACTATCTGCTGCTGCTGCTGCTGCTGCTGCTGCTGCTGCTTCTATGTGTGTGGATATGTGTATGTGCACAAGCTCCATTACTGCCAATACTGGCAGTGGAGCACGGGAACTGTACAAGCTACAAACGCGCATATTGCATACGGACATACGTACAGAATATTTTGTACTTGTGTGCAGATGTGTGCATGTGCTCGTGTTACCAAGATAAGCGATATTAATCACTCGAGTGAAATCAAGCATGTGCTTTTGTGGAGACATAGAAAGCGAGAGAAACAGTGAGATAAAGTCATCTATCGATATCGTCCAAGCTGAAATGTCAGCTTTTACAAAGCTCAGCGCTCTCCCCTATAGATACTTTTTGCGAATTTGTTTTCATACCACTTTCTCTCTCTTTGCCTCTTTCTTTCTCTCTATTTCTCGCTCGCTCCTCTTCCATTGCACTCACAGTAAAAAGCTATTACTACTTTTAAAAAGTCATCCACGAGATAAACTCTTCGAGTAGCGAGGGTACTTTTGTTCGAGGAGAAAAATGCTTTTCCCGAATCCCTCGAATATAATCAGGGGCTTTGAAGAACGAGAAAAGGAAGAAAGAAAAGAAAAATAAATCAAAAGGACTCGAATTGTAAGAGGAAGATATTCGATATCTATTATCGAATCAGTTGATTGGGAGCTTTAAAATTTTGACGGCTCGTCCACCCTCGACTCTTGTGACGGCTAGGTCAATTTTTTTTTCCTCCCGCTGCGTCGCCGAGAAACAAATAACACTTGTCGGATCGAATGTACATATATAGGTGCAGGAGTACTCGCGGCTGATGGCACACAATATATGTCATCCTGAAGAAGGTGTGTATGTGTATGCGCGTCTATATAGCACTATACAGCCAGTAGTGCAGCGCGCGGAGTTGCAGGCGCGAAATCGAAGCTCTGCACTCGCGCGCGAGTAGTGCGAATACGAGGCAGCGTGGTACAGTCGAAGCTGCGGCAGAAGTGGCAAGGCAGCGGCACTACTTAAGGGAATACCTCGGCGAGAGGAGCTGAGAATATTTTCTGTGAAGAAACGGGCCAACTAAATGAAGATTGTGTACGTATGCTATGTGTGTGTATGTGTGTGTGGGAGCGAGTGCAAGAGTGAGAGTGAGCGAGCGAGATGAATCGAGAGGGGGTAAACCGGGTTGAAAAGCGACCCAGTTAACGCTTGGGGGCGGCTATCGCAATCCTCTTGCTCTCTCTCTCTCTTTCTCTCTCTCACTCACTCACTCAGTGCTCGCTCTCACGTATACTCTTCTCTCCAGCCCGGTATGACCCGGTTTTCATCTCGCTCTGGTCTTTGCTCCGTTAGCCGACTTAACTGTCCTAAGGACAGACTCACAGACTCTCTTACTCTCTCTTTCTCTCTCTCTCGCCAGATTTTGAGTACCTATAGGCGTTCCAAGGTCGTCTTATATTGCTCGATCAACATTTTTCCTAGCTCTTAAATTCTAAAGTTTTCTCGATTGACGGAAAATTGTTGCGCGAGAACAGACAAAAAGAATTGACGAATTTATTGTTCATATAATGGAAATTTTTCATAGAAAAATGTAACGTCAAGTTACCTATATGTAACAATATGTTTGATTGAGTATTTAATTATTTAATTTTAGCCAATCTACAGTGCGTTCAACATTTTTTCATATAGCCTCGAGCTTATGTAATCGTTAAATACATTTCTTGGCGTAAAAATTTTTTCTAAACGTCAGCAATGATTTGCCGTATAATACGTTGATAAAATAGAAAAGGAAAGAAAAAGAAAGAGAAATAAAAAGAGAGAGGGAGAGAGAGAGCAGAGTGACTGCTGGCTGCAAAGAAGAAAAGCGGCTTTGCATGATTGCGATTGGATTTGAGCCTGTTGGTTCTTTCGGAGAAATTAATCCCAATTTTATTGAATATTCATGGATCAGTAGTCCTGCGTTGGATCTCATGAGCTCATACCAGCCAATCTGCTTTATTTCTCCTGCTTTCCATTACGACTGTCTGTATATATTATTTTTTCTCCCGATCAGTTGAAGTACGTCGCAAAAAATCTCGCATTCGCGCTGAAACAAGAATAACAAAACCAAAGAGAAAAGTAAGAACATAGAAATCAGAGATGCGTCGCGAGGCGCGCACTCCGAGAAAATCCTTTCATTGGCGCGCGAATTACCTAGCAATTTCTTTTTTCCATCAGTGCGGAGCGCAATCCTCTCCCACGTACATTTTACCGGTACACTCCTCCGCGCCTCAAGACGCAGTAGTTCCACGAAGTAGCTTCGTTTCTCTCGTATTGTTTCATTCGCTTCATTTCATTATTCCTGACGTAGTTTTCAACAACAGTTTCCCTCTTGTAGCAGCATGAAAAAAAAACGTAAAAAAAGGGGGAAAATGGCATTACGTACCGCCGCTGTTGCTGTGCATTTGCCCGTTTCGTAAAACTATTTTTCAACTCCAATATTTCATCTGTCAAAAGGATCGCGCCTGCGTGCATTTATGTGTGCGTGTGTATATGTGCATCACAAGGGAAACCTTTGAATGAGCCATGCGGGCTCCGGCGAGAGTAAACTTTGAAATCGGCTTAAATTTGCGCTTTTCGATCTTGTGCATATTACTCGAGTTTTTAAATGAATTTGCCTCCTCCTTGGATAGAGGCAACTAGACATGCGCGCAAAAGCTTAAAGTTTAAACCAAACGTGGAATCATTTCTAATTAAGATTCGATAAATCCGATGCATGCACAGTTTATGTGTACATGTTCAAGTTTACGCTGTAACGAGATCGAAGCTTAATATCGCTGTGTGCAGCGTAATCGCGTATACATTCTACACTATATACGTTGCACTCCGAGACGCGCAAGTGTACGTAAATTAAGTCAATTTTTTCCAAAAAAGCAACTCATTTGCTAATCGCATTGTAAATCAAGCGGAGCTCGAGTTAAATTTTCCGAAAATTCGTACATTTGTACACGCATACGTATGTATATGTTTCTGGAAGCGATTTATGGCAATCAGTGCGAAACGTACTCACGGCAGTAATTAAACGAAAAGATCCACGCGGATAGTAGCACGAGCTCTCCTGCATACAGCAGCAGCTGCAGCCAGCAGTGCAACTACAAAGCTGCTGCGCGCACGTAACCGTACCCAAACGAGCTTTCGTGCACAACAATCCTTGCGCTTCGTAGTCAGTTGTAAGGAGCAATTTGACGATTTTATAAGCGAGCTCAAGGAGAGACAATAAGGAGCGCATAAGGAGCGAGAGAGAGAAAAAAAACGAGAGTAATTAGGAAGATTTTGTAACGCTTCCTGGGGCGCGAGCTGTGTTGTGTCTGCGGTTGGCACCCGACGCGCTACATCTATTATATATAATTATATACGGCGATCGTGTGTCTGGCGAGTATTAAGACGACGGCCGCCGCCGCCGAGCAACTGCTGCTATAAAGAGAGCTAAGAGAGCTTCTAAGCTCTCTCGACGGGTGCTGTGTAGTATAAAAACTTTTAATTAACAAGCCACTCTTGATAATGACCGAGTCGTTGGGCCGATGAGAATCTTCGACCCTCGACTGTTCTGAACTATACTAGATTATAATATATTTAGTACTTCTACTAACGTATTCGTACATGTTTATGTTTGTTGCAGCAGTATGCCTAACGACAATACGACTGTGTGCGGCTGCGGGGTCGTGCTCGACCTGCCGAAAGCTCGTTACGGCAAGGCCACGACACCGACTCGCAACTGCAACATATACATCCCGAGAAACGGAAAAGAAAACGGCAGCGGTGGTGGGCATCATCATCGCTCGGGCAAAACCACGAAAAAGACGTCGGAATCGATGGAGCATCTGTCGATGAGGGGCCGCGGCCCCAACAGTAGAGCCTCCGACATGGGCAGCACCAGCTCCGTCGCCGAGCATCAGTCCTCCAGGTATAGCAGTAAAAACGGCAGCGGATGCAGCAACGGTAACACCAGCAACAAAAAAGACAAACGATTCAGCTCGGGGAGGCGGACGCGTAGCGCCGAGAGAATCTCCGAGTCACATTACACGTATATCGGTGAGTCCTTGAGAAAAGATCTATAATATTTGTAATTTATCGCGATGATGGGATGGATCGGTGAATGCGATCCTTGCTTAATTTAAATACGGATACTCCATTGCTACTTCGAATGATGCAGTCGGAGTTACCACTAAGTAATTCGCGTGCGCCAAATCTCGCCAATGTATACCATTGTGTACCTTAATATCATTTCAAAATATACGAGTTCCTGTTTAACTTGGCTCGCAAACGTGAAAGATACGCGTGTTTGGTTCCTGTTTATACTTTTTTCATACATACAATTATTTTCCTTTCTTCACTTGTGGATTTACTGACAAAGGTACACGCCATCTAGTGGTGGAAGTTTGAAGTGGTCAAAAAACGGATTGAAAATTTTTGAAATATTGAAATGGTCATTTTCAGTATACAAGGTCATTTTAAATTAAATCAATTAGTATGAACAAATTCATCAATCGTAATGTGTTTTAAAACATTGCAAATACTAATCTTTGGATCTTTGGAACATTATAAATGTTGAGAATTTCTGTACCAAGGTTACTTTAAATTTATTATGAACACATCGATTTTCAGAAATTGTTTATAAATTGAGTTTTCATTCATTCTGACATACCAAAATGACAAAGAAGTCAGAATTTTCATAAATTGACAATTTTATTGAAATATACTGTTTAGATCCTATTGATATAGGACTAACTAAATTGTTTTGATAATGCGTTTACATCTTTCCATACGTTCGCCATCTCACCGTCATTAATCTCATCACATTACGGGTCAAAGGGTCTAATTATTAGCCAATATCAAAATAAAACTAATTCTCAGTGAAATTGAATGACCAAAAAAATAAATCAATCTATTTTTTATATTTCTGATTTTTTGGCCTTCTAGTGGTATTATTTGATATTGTAAGTAAGCTTTGTAAACTTTTTGGTGAAAGCAAGAAAAAATTCAACTAAATTCGATTTATATTTTATATTTCTCTTTATAGTAAAAAGATATATATCGTACTTTTTTCTTTAAGTTACTCAAGGTGAAGTTAGAAATTTTTTGAATACTTGGAATAAGCATAAATTTTGGATAAATACCAATTTTGGGCCTCTAAAAAATAGTCGTAGAAGGTTTTCAAAAATTCTTATAAAGTTTGGGAATATAAGTGACATCAAAAACAATAAGTTTTTAATTCAAAGCAAAACAAAATTTTTTAGGACACTCGATTTCACAAAAGTCAGTCGCATGTGTATGAACGATAGAAAAGTGCTTCGTTAAACGAACTCTGAGTCAAGCGAGCTTACGCTTCGATGGGGACCGGGGTGAAGAGAGAGACAAGCAATAGTTTTTGAAGTAGTCTTTGTACGCACGATCACGGTCGATTTAGCTTTGAACATTTCGTAGTATACAAAGTGTTCGGAGCGACCACGTCGATGACAATAATCGGGAGATTCCAGCGTTAGCGCATGACATGTAAAGTTAAAAATTTAATCATTTTTTTGTTTCTATTGCATCCAACTTTTTCCACATTATAATTTATTCGTGCGAGGATAAGATGCGTTAATGTACGTTGCAACCGCGCGCACGTCGCAAAAGAGTTGAAATATGATTTCCGCGCGGGTCGGCGCTCGTACAAGAGGTAAAAAGAGAGTAGGGGAATGGAAAAGGTAGCTTCTTGATACGACGACGACGAGGAGGACCGAGTAAAGCGTGTAATTCACATTAATTCCAACTTATAAAATGTTTAACGCATGCGAGCAGGCGAGCGAGCTACAGACCAAACATTAATTAAACGGAAACGTCGAGCTGTGCCTGCGACCGCGCGCGGGGCTCTGCTTCAATGTACATTATACGAGTATCCTTTATGAAATCATCGATTTGCACATTATATTTATTCAATGAACGAACGTTATATAGCACTGCCACATTCGCAGCTCTCTCAGCGTTCGCGAGTATATACAAATACGTACCGTCTATATGTGTGTGTACATAGACGATAGGTTATCGATTTGTCTTTGCGCGCGACTGCTAACCTAATTAAAACTTGGCGAAAAAAAGTCAATGTAGGCATGCAGGTCTCTCTCTCTCTCTCTCTCTCTCTCTCTCTCTCTCTCTCTCTCTCTCTCTCTGTCTCTCTCTATGTTGAAATAATAAATTGCGTGGAAAGCTCGGAGACGAGGGTTAATTTAAGTTGCTGCCTTTCAAGTTGAATAGCTATGGATAAAGCGAGTTAACCGCTGCCACTGTTGTTGTGCAACATTGCAAGCTCCATATTCTGAGCTACCTTCTAAGAGTGTTTGTGTACGATTGAATGCGTGTGTATAAGTCAATCCTGCTGAGTTTTGAAAATTGAGCTTGGAAATAATGTGGTTTCAATAGATAAAGTATAAAATTGTTTTAAAAATGGTATGCATATTTTTATGAATACATTTTTCCCAAAATATAATAAGGATTGAAAATACACTATGGATTTCAAATCCCTGCACTTTTTGAAAAATCCTTAAATTTAATGGAAAAGTAATGTAAAATTAGACAATAAAATTAAAGTAATCGTTGTTGACTTGTATTTAAGGTCCTTTTACATGAAATTTTTGTTCGAAATTTAAGAATAAATATTGATTTTTTTGCTTCCATTGCAATAAAACGTACAAAAAAGTAATCATATTTAAAGCCAATTTCCACCACTAGATGGCGAGTACCTTTAAATCTGTAAATCTGCAAGTGGCGAAGTAAAAATACTTGTATAAGTCAAAACACGGTTTAGATTTAATCTTGAATAAACAGGCGATTAACCTTTTAAAATGTATTGTACAATATCAAATTCTTATTGATAATTTTTGTCTCCTCCGATTACGTCTGCGCAGACTCTGGCTCGAGTATCGCAAGCATTCGGGACAGCGCCATAGCGGAGCATCTGTACTGCACGATCGACGGCGAGGATGACGACGACGACGGCAACAACGTGATCGTCGAGACTCGTGCCCCGCAGCAGCCACCACAACAGTCCACAACGTCGGCGACGGCGGCGTCAGCCCCGACGACGACGACGACAACGACAGCGTCCAATAACGCGATTAATCAGCAGCATTCGACGCAAGCCGCCCAGCAGCAACAGCAGCAACAGAACAATCGCCCGATGCACGCGATCCCATCGATGACCTCGCCGCCGCCTACTTACGACGTCGTCATCGCCAAGACTTGGCAGGTGCGTTGTGCACGAGAAATTACATTGATTTAGAGATAAAACGTTCGTCGAGTTTTTCGCTTTCTTTCTCGATCTAAATGTCTCATTGATTTGCGTTCGCTAAATGCGATACTACTATGGATCGAGAGATCTAATTAAGCCGCTCGCTGATCCTCGAGCAAACACGTATAAGCTAATAATGCGTCGCGAGCCGCGATGCTACAAACACAACACACACACACACAAAGCTAGAATCCCCATTCGTATAGATACATAAGCGTACGTAACATTATAATATAATCGTGCCAGAGTTTCGCGATTAGGTATGTATCAGCTTTAAATGTATGCCATGTAAAGGCGCGGCCTCGCGCTCGAGCTTTATTGCTCGCTAATTTCTCTCTGCTCGCAGCTGCGTTAATGGTACACCGAATTTCGCAAATGTTCCCCTTCTCACAACGTACGCAGTAGTGGCCGCTGCTTGCTCGTTTGCTTTCAACAAAATCCGAGTATATATATAAATATATATGTGGCGCTGCACACGTGCACGGACAAAAAGAGACACGCAATTAGCCATCACCCTTTAACAATCGCGTACGAGTGCGTTCAAACATAAAACTTATTTTTGAATCCGCACGTGCGCTACGTTATATTACGCATAACACGCGGCAAACGATGAAGGGCAAAGCCAATGCTGTAAACTCGATATATCTATATGTATATCTAAATATGTATAAACATAGAATAGATGCAAGTACGCGCCCATAAATCTTCCCCTGGGGCACGATCACCAGCTAATTTAGCGAAAACAAAAAGGAATTACGATCTCGTTATATCCGCGCGCGTGGAAGGTGTATAAAATAATAAGCTTTTCGAATCAGCGGTGGCGATGGCGTCGTGGCCGTTCGGTTCAAGCGAGCTTTTATACACGTGTGGTATATAGTCTCGTAAAACGCGCTTAACGAGCTTTAAAATACGTGGCAAATAGTCTTGGCATCTCGATGCCCTTGGTCCCCGTTCCCCTTCCCTTCCCTTACCCCTTCTGGCCGAATATGTACACACATCCAGCGCGCAAGCCACGAGAGAGCAATATAGCGCACGAGCTAGTATAGGTAGTACGTAGAGTCAAGGGAGAAATGCAAATTCCTCGGAGCCTCGAATGCCCATCCTAATTTGGGTCATATAAGCGCTATACGTTGGTGTGTATGTGTGTGTGCGAGGGCGAGAGCCAGAGAGTGAGATAGAGAAGCTTGCATTCATACACATACACCCTTAGCTGCCGCGTGCGTTATGGTATAATAGTGCGAGCGGTACGTTGGTAAGCAGCTCGTGTAGTGCGTATACATGTGACCATGTGTGTGTGCACTACACATGTACGTAATATCGAGACGCGCAGACGGCGGCGACTACGACGACGACGCCTGTATAGAGATGAAAGTAGATTATGTGCATGCACTTCGCTGCCGTAATGGACGTCGCAGAAGCAGCAGCAGTAGCGACGACGCGCGAGTTGTAATTGATTGCACTAGATACGCGCGAGCGTCGAAGAGAGAGAGAGAGCGGCGAGCTTTTGCGGCTGGGCCATTGCACGCGGTATATCGTACGCATAGGCATCGGCTTTCGAGAAAATTCAGCAAAAATACCATTAAATAAATTGGTGTTGCTGTAGATTCTCTCTTTATCTTGTCTTTTAGAACGTATATAGCCGTAAGATAAACAAAACGATTATTGCGAAACATGCTGCTGTCGCGCGTTATTATAAGAACGCGTTGTTGCGAGCTTTTTCAGAGCTTAGGCTGCGGCGCGTTGCGAAACTTTTTAGCTGTGAATTGGTAATTGCCACCACAGACTACCCTTGTAAAAAAGTAGCAAAATTCCTGCAGGAATTTCTGCAGAAATTGCGCGACTTTTTTACAAGCGTAGTCAGTTTATATATTATTAATATTATAGATCAAAGCTAAAGATAAAAAGTAGGTTATTCCAAATGTCACTTAAATATGATCGGTTTCAAAATACTTGTAAGATAAGTTCATATTTGATCTTCGTTCAATTTAAAAGTAAGATAGGTCGTAAAAACAAAATATTTGCTATATTTAAAATGTATACTGTTGCCCAGCGTTTTGAAAGTGACGAGCTTTAGAAGGATTTTTGGAATAGTCTAGTTTGTGAACGTGTTTTATCTTTTGTAAAAGCTCAAACTCGAATCAAACTATATTACACCAAATTTCAAAAACGTGAAGGACTGGTTTATTTATGTATTTATCATCATTGTTACCATTTTTTTTTAATTTTACGTCAGCTACGCCTGCAACGCAATAATCACAATTTCGCAACAACGCCAACGCAGTTTTCCAGCTTCTTTTCCATCTCTTCGTCACCAATCAGTGAAATTCCCCGTTTTCCTAATGGAAATATGTAACTCGATTCATACAGTTACGGCAGTAAAAAAATAAACAAAAAAAACAACCAGCTTTTCGAGAGTTATCAAAATTCGGTTATATGGTTTTGGCTTTCTCTCTTTCTCTTTCGGAGACTGACCTACATTTTAAGCACATCGTATACGCGTCTGGCCGAGTGAAGTCGAGGCGCAGGCGCCGCGCGCCTTCCCTCGCACAGAGACGACTCTTTGGCATTTTATGTATATACCTATGTATACAGCGGCACTCGAATCATCGCAAGACAAGAACAGCGCGGCGGCGTGCTACACTTAATAGCGCGTACTACGTATGCCGCAAGTGCGCGTGCACGGGTGAGTTTACGAGTTACGTGTATACATTATGTGCAAAATCTCAAAAGACCTTGATTCGCTTAGCACGAGCTTACTTACTTTACGTTATTTCCGTATTGTGTAAAAGCTCGTTTGAAGCGACGCGTACAAGGTACCGCAGAGTTGCTCCGATTCAAATAAATATAATAGCAATTGCTATCGTAGATTCGCAAATAGCAAAAAAAAAACGCATTATTCGCATTGGCAAAACGATCTGTGAAATACACTTTGCGGAAAGCCTATGCAATCTAAATATAAGACGTTAAGTTGCATCTGCCTTAGCTGCTGCTCGAGCGTGTGCAGACGTGCGTGGCGAACACGCGTGCAAGTACTCCTCGGTTCCGGGTTCTTAGCTCTGTCTCTAAACATGTTTTATAATAATATATATCGTGTGTAAGCACGTGTGGCCGACGCTGCACACATTACACACGTAGAGCCTCCTTTTACATCTCCACGCCCGGCTCAAGTATAAAGGAGAATGATAAAGTGCACACAAGCGCGTGCGCGAGGGGGGATCGGCTTCAGACGAGATGAAAGGAATGTAGGAGCTTGCATACGTGGTACGTACACATTTCTAAAACTCATCCCCTTGATGCACCCATAGAAGCTTTTTTATAAGCTCGACCATTACATTTTCATGTACATCCTTGTCCGACGTCGTATGGATGTCGGCATTTTAACGGCAGGTCGTATATAAATTGACGCGCGTTCCTCAATTATCGACGATGGCATCTCGTGAAATTTTACGACGATCAATACGCGCGAAGCTCTCCGCAAGCTCATAGATTCTTAACGCGTATTAACACCATTGAATCGTAAGATATTTCATGCATCGTGTTAGACGTAGGATAATATTTCTCTTATGGTACAGCTGTTACGGTAACATATCGAAAATTGATCATGAAATGGGTTCGCAAGAGAGGGGGAAGAAAATTTGTAATCAGTTAGAGAAGACGGTGATCGTAATAGACTGTGGAGTGTCATCCTGCATGCCATTAGAACATTGACCCAGAAGACATTTATTATAACAGTGATATCATCTATCGACATAAGTTTTCAATAACGATATGCGTATAAAGCGGAAGGGCTCGATTAATACGCCACAATGGTAGAAACTTTAGCGAGCAATGAGCAGCCCGTAGCTCATAGCTTTTGTTGCATCGAAAATGCTCTTCAAACCGAGTGCGGTCAAGACAATGAGCGATGCTTGCTCATATTTGTATTTATACGCGTATAACTTTGGGACGTGCAGCTGCAAGTTCTCAATGGCATCTTCTAGTTTACGTAGGACACATTTGTCTATATATACTCCATGCACGCACATGCTATATACCTGGCACACGAGGCAGAGCTTGCACTTCCGTATAGCCACGAGTCGCACTCGCAGCAGGAGTTCCGGAAGGCGCGTCGAAACTCCGAAAGCGAGTTTCCATGTAAATATTCGCATCGCTAGACTGATATCACGCGCGAGCTTGCGAGGTATACGAATTAGTCCGACGACCTGCGAGCAAAAGCAAGTGTGTATGTTACCCGACGTTTTGAAACTGACGTGACGAAGGTTACTGTTGTGGCCCACACACAGACACAGCCACTTGAACAAAAGGTATTCGTCGCACGCAGTGACAGCAACATGAGACGGACGTTAATTAACCGAATGTGTTTCTTCGCGCGCTGTCTCGAGCAGCCTTCGACCCCATTAAGTTCGCGAGCTTTCGAGGTTGGATTTTTGTTATCGCAGTAGCAGTTTATGTGCGCGTAGCTAATCGACTGGAACGCCTCGATTTTTCTCAAATCGCAAGAACTGTCAAACGACCTGCGAGAACATTTTGTCGACCTCGTACGTGCTTTCGTATAGATTTGCGATCAATTCGCACGAAATCTTTGGAAGAAAAAAAAATAATTCTCTCCTTCTTGCACTTACACACATACACACTTTCAACGCTTGTCAAAAGTCAAGCGGAATATAATCTTTCACCCTTGCAACACTCGGGCCGCCTTTTTGTTCATCTCAGCTTTTTATTATTATTATACATGCTCATCGCAGGCGCAAAGAGATGGCGTATAAGTGTTGTATAAGCAGAGGAGAATATATTTAGTCGTGGCAGCAACAGCAACAGCACACGAGGCGATGCGTTTACTTGCTCAAAGATAGACTTTACGCCCACTCGAGGATGTAGTATATGCATACGTAAAATTGTCGGCGCGTCCACGTTTTCACTTGCTAGCGGTGGCATATAGGCAACAGCAGCAGCGAGCTTGCAACGGCGCATAAAAGGAAAGAAGAGAGCGAGAGAGAGCAGAGACGTCTTCTTTTTGTCGCAGATCGATAGCTAGGAGTGCATTTGCTCGGCTGCTGAGACTCTCTCCGTCTCTCGCTCCTTTTTCGCGGGCGTGCCTTTTACTCGACTCTCTCTCTCTTCTTCATTTTTTTTCTACTTCGCGCTCTCTCACTGTAGCTCGCGCATTCAAGCCTCTATCTCTTTCCATTTTTCAATGTGTGTACACGTATAGATATATGCAAGTGAATGCTTCGTAAACTATGTACACAGTGGGGAACGCGAGAGGAAAAGAGAGAAAGAGCGAGCCTGACTACTAGCACGATAGAATGTGTGTGAGCTTTCGTGCATGTGTGTGGGTATACTTTTTATACTCGCAGGAGAGCTTTTCTCGCCGATAGCAAACGATGTAGAAAAGTTTGCCACTATATGTACGCTCTATAGTCTTTGAGACACACTCGCTCACACGTATATGTACACTCATAAATACGGCTCATAAGAGCGAGCTTCATAAGTGCCATTTGACACTGCTGTCAATGCTCTCGTCCGTGAGTGTATATGCATGCTTGTATGGGTGCGAGAAAATATAAGAACTAAATAATAAACAACTCGCACTCGCGCGACGAGCTGTTTCGGAGGAGGAAAATTTCAATCGTCCCCTTGGGATCCGATCGCTGCTCCTGCTGCCTTTTCTGCTTGCGTAACTTTTTTCTTCGAGTCTCGTAAAGAAGTTGCAAGCCACAGTGTAAACGTAGGGCAACTTTGAGGATGATTTGATATCGCTTGTGACGCAGCTCCCAGAAGGATTAAAGCGGGCAAATAGAAGCGCGCGATCTCATTAGGCTCGCAGGTCTTGTACGCATACGTGAGCAAGAGCACGTGGGAGTGTAGAAATCGATTAAAAATATAATTGGCTTGAGTACAGTTGGGTTCTAAGCGATATCGATTTTTGATCGTTGTAACATTACGAGGCGCGACTCGTTTAATGCGGGCTGAGGACATAATATAGCTGTTTCCGATCATAATAGATAAAGCTCAAAACTTGAGAATGAAAATTAAATCTCATTCATTACCTGTATCGAGGGAAAAAGAGAAAGGCGTTTTCTTCTTGACTTGTTGACTTATCGACGATTGCTTCATATTTATAAATATAGCATCAAATTAAATATTGAGAAGTCATTTTTATATCAGATATCAAATGAATTGAATTAGTACGGCTTGCGAGCGTGAGCAATTATTTTCAATAGAATAAAAGCACGACGTAAGAAAGTAATTAGAAAAAAAATGAAATAAAGAGAAACAAAATCTTATCGTAACGATATTTTTCAACGCCTAGACGAGACATCAAAATGTGAATGCGAGCTTGCGGCGTAGCTATACATATTACGTATCAACGTGCTTTAACGCGCACCTACGCGAGGAATTTTTTTTTAACCTTCCACAATTTCCTTTTTAATACATACACCTACGCGCGCTCGCGTGAAATTTCATCGGTATTTTTATCTTTCGAAAAGTTACATTTACACTGTCCGTGTACAAGTTCCGAATGACTAGACGTTTCTTTTTTCCTTTTTCGATTGAAAAAAGGGAAAAAGAAAAGGCTGGGATAAAAATCGGAAACACGTAAGACTCGACCAACGAGACGTTGACATCCGGCACGCGAACAATTCTAAACTGACGGATACTTTCGCAATGCGAGCAACTTGGTAAAAACTATACGAGGAATAAAGTACGGAAGGAATCGCGAGTGCAAAGTTATTTCTAAAAAAAAGAGGTGGAAAGGATACAAGAACGATGTTGCTAAATCGAAACATGTTAGTGAGCTTCGTCAATAAAAATCGTATTTATAAGTATATATACTTTAGCAAGACTCCATTATATACGCTTCTACTCTTTGGAGTTTCGCAGATATGAAGAGTGGAAATGATAAAATGCGGGAAAGGTAAGGGCGGATTCGAAGGTAAGGAAGAAATGAAATTCAAAAGACCGCTACCTAGTGAAGAGACACACGGGTGCATGAAAGTAATTTTACAGAAATATATGCGTAAAAAAATAAAATAAAAAAAGAAGGAAGGTAAAAATAAAAAGCCCGAGCGTATCTATCTAAATGTGGAATATAAGTATAGTCGTACACGCGCGCACATATGAGCATTTCTCTAAAACTACTCCTTTCAGCCACAGTACTACTCGCATTACTCGCTTTTCACTTTTTATCTGTCTCTGTCTCTCTCTTCCTCTTTTGATTGCTCCTTACGCGCAGCATCGTGTGCATAATGCGCAGCTCTCTGGGTTTGCAAAGAAGTAACGAAAAAAAGAAGGAAGAAAAAAAAACACGGAAAATTTGGCCGTTGGATATGAAAAGGCAAAAGTCTGGAGTGGAGGCTCACCGCACCACTGCTTGCGCAGAACTGACTTTTAACGTAGCTAGTTAATTTCTCTCTCTCTATCACTGTGGCTGCTCTTTTTTTTGCCAGGCTGGTGAGCTTGCGAGCGCAAAAAATGCTTCGTATAGCGCTAAAAACGCCAGCGATACGTATTACGTTGCTCGCTTCGACGAACGTGATTATATATGTGGCAGCGTTACAAACGTACGCAGAGATCACAGCTACAGCAGCGTGTGCACATAGGCTTGTTATAATACCGTATCATTTTTGCATCAGTCGCATGTGTAGTTAACGCGCATTCGGCTGCAATTTGTCGAGATATTTACATCACGATCGGCTTTCGCGGTTTTACACGCACGACACAATCGCAATTTCATCTAGTTGCATCATATCGACAACTAGATGTATAGCTACGTAGAGCAGAGAGATCGTTTATTTTTAATAAATCGCTGGCCGAGACAGTCTCTCTTATCGCGTCTATGCACGCTACGCGAACTGCTGCGATGATTTGCATCATGTACACACAAAGCTTCATACATGGCCCGGGCACGAGCTCGTCGCGCGATCGCGGCAAATGTGCAGCCACGTAATAGACGGATACGTGTGTATATTTATATACAATGATGCATTATCGTCGTGGCGCATTCTTGGCGCTTGTTCGATGTGTGCGAGCAAGAGCGGCCTCGCTGCAAAGGCTTATAACTTTTAATCAGATTACGTACGTGTGTGTAGGTATGTATTAGTGGTAGCGTTGATCGTGTTGTACTAAAACATACACACACGCACACAAGATATGTACCAGCTTATAGTGTGCAGGGAATACGTGTGTGCTTTGGATCTCGCCCGCGCGCTTGCTCCCTCGCGATAATATGCATAATTCCACGTATTTTCGTTCTTATACTCTTACATGGTAATCCTTCATATCAAAACAAACAGCCAAAAAACTAATAACACAACAACCACGATGCTACTCTGTTTATGTATAGACGGGATTACCGCCCTCGTACGAGGAGTACCTGTTCCACAAGCAGAGCCTGCTGCAGCGCTCGCACACGCCGCCCCCGCCCTGGACGGACTCGTCCAACTCGTCCACGATGCTGCAGACGACGACGGCGGCCAACAACGCCGCCAACAGCCTCGAGATACACAGCGTCGGCCGCGAGCTGCTGGCCAGCCATCCCGAGCTCAGGGAGTACCTGACGCAGCTCGCGCTGCAGGCCGGCGCCGAGCACGCGGCCCAGCAGTACCACCAGCTGCTCAGCCAGCATCAGGCGCTCAAGAAGCAGGCGGCCAGGCAGCAGCGAACCAGAGCCATGCCACCGAGGTACGGTATACAGCTTCTTCTTTTCGCTCTTATGATTTTTCTCGTTGTGATGCAGTTGCGTATGTATACAGGGATTGCACTTTAGCGCGAATTCGCCTCTGCGTTCAAAATTTATGGCCACGTACGTAGTACGTACGTACATAGACCGGCGCGTAATCGATAATTTTAAGCAGTTGCCGCTCCAGTTACAGCCGAGTTTAATTAAATCAGATATAAAGTCAACGACTAGCGGCAACGAGCGAGCGAGGATAGGTACATGCACAGTAGCGTATACACACACCCACATGTACATTCGCGCGTGTGTGTGGTGGGTGGTGTGCGGTGCCGCACGCGATAATGGCACGGATGATATTTAAACCGAAAATGAAGTTCGCCAGTTCTGAGTTTGCTAAACTTAATAACAGCAGCGGTAGCAGCAGCAGCAACGAAAGATATATAGGAGATGCCGATGAGGGAAGCCCAAGACGAATCGTTGGGCCTTCGGCAACAATTTATGGCCAAGGCACAATATAATTACCATGTTGCGATTTTTTCTTAATTTTTTTATTTCATTTTATGTATATTAAAGCCGCAAACATACCGATCAGTAGACATTTGGCTTAAGGATATCTTCTGAAATAAAGAGTGCGAAAGAAACAATATTTTTTTCTATATTTTAATTTTCTTACATAAGCTCTCCCACGTATCATTTGCTCAAATGCGCCGTAATAATCTGGTCTCGCGCGTCAGAGAGTGATGTGACGTATGTGAGTATGTATGTAAGCAAACTTGACACCTGAATCCTAATTCACCAGTACGTGATTTGTTGCCGGAACTTATATTTACGAGGCCATTTTTATGCGCACTTATGTGTAGTACATGAGATACCGGAGTATTGAGAAAATAATACACTGGTTTAATAAAAAAACCATTAATTTAATGCAAATTTGATGAAACAGCAGACATTAAAATAAAAAAATTTACTCCTGGTAGAAATACTCAATATAAACAATGTCCTAGAAAGAAAAAAAATCATTAAAAATGTTTTAACATATTCATGGATTAGCGTTTTTGCGACTTTTCTATTTTATTTGCATTACGAATATGCGTAAAAACGCCAATAATGCCCCAGCGCTACACCCGGGCAGCGAAAACAGCCGGATTGATCAGTTTTCAACTCGCACAGAATTGGTTAAATAAAATTTAGAAAAATAAACCAACATAGGTTTTCGATAGTTTTTTACCTCGGCTTTCTATTGGTGAGGTTAAAAAGGCAAAAATGTGCCTACATAACCTCACAAAATGGACTTGAAGATAAAACACGTTGTAACTTCCCGAGTTCAGCTTCGATTGACTTTCTGACTAGCTAGATCGTAAGATCTCGCGATTTTACATAAGCATGCGGTGAAGAGGGAAAGAGAGCGCGGTCGGCCGTTTTCGAGCGCCGTGGCCTGTTTTTTCGGTGCACTTTACGTTTCTTTATCTTTCACGCGTTAGCCTTTCGCCATAAAAATAAACAAATACATGTTTTTTGTGTATTTTTGCCTCATCTTTCCAATAGTGCAATTAGAGTTTGGAAAATTGAATTTTTTGAACAGATAATTAACTTATTTGATTAATAGTTTCATTACTTTTGTTTTATTCGCAAAACAAAGCAACTTTTCCAAAAACTAATTGCACCATTGGGAAGATGATTTGCTTTTTCGACCTCACCAGTAACCAACCAGTAACTATGTAGCTACCATAGTTAGTACCATGAGATAAATTATAATTATTATCATAATTTTCTTATGGTACGCTCAGACGTTATTTTAGGTAGCTATACACAGCACTTATGCCTCTTTCCCAATGAGCTCATATCATCGTTTTCTACCTCTCAGAGAAATGGCATAAGTTTAGAAATGGTTATCCCAAAAACGACTTTTGAGAAATGCTCACCTTTGTAGCGCATTAAATTGAGTAGCTACTACCTGCGCTTATACCAATATTTTTTATCAACTATTCTAGTCAATAAATTTCATACAACTCAAAGGCATAAGTTAAAAAAGTAATATCCTCAAATTATTTTTTTTTACATTTCGAGTCTAGACCTGTAGATTTAAGGCTACTATGTGCACTTATGCCTTGTTCAAGGTAAGCTGGGCTAATACTTCACAATTATTATATGAAAGAGGCATAAGTTAAAAAATAAATATCCAAGTCTTTATTTATTGACACGCGCATGCGCCAAGACATTTTTATCTATATGGGATCACGCTAAAATTTTAGGTTCAGTCTTGTCTCTGGACATACTCTTTTTTTTTTTTTTTTTTTTTTTTAATGGGAGCGATGGGCTCAGTTTATTTGAAGAGAAAAATGTATTACAATACATTTGTGTATTTCTGCTACATAAGTTATGTAGGGTAAGAGGTGGCTTTTTTTTTTTAAAAATAAGTATAAAAACAGAAAGTGTGATAGACCCATCGACGTCTCCTTCTGCCCCTGATTGACCCCCGCGGGACCGCCGTTGGGCATTACTTCGCGGGGAGGGGCTGGGCTGGTGCACCGAGCTCGTCACGTTTGCACTGTTTGTTGTTTCGTCTTCTTCATGCCGCGTCGTCCGGTCATCTTCTTCTGGCCATCTCTTCGGCTCTCAGTCTCGTTATGACTGATTTGGCGAAGGTGGCTACCGCAAGCCAGTTTTTTTTGTCTGCTAGCATTAGCTGGACGACATTCTCCGGCCTGGCAACTTCTTGGAGCTGACGGTGGAGCTTTGCTCTTTCCTCCTCAAATCGGGTGCAGTGGAAGAACACGTGCTCTGCGTTTTCGACCGTGTTGGGGCAGGCCGGGCAATCCGCGCTGGCGTTGCGGTCGTAGCGCTGGCTGTGATGTTTGAAGTAGCCATGGCCTGTCAGGAGCTGGGTGAGGTGATAGTCTACCTCTCCGTGTCTCCTGTCTATCCACAAACTGATGTTTGGGATCAGCCTGTGCGTCCATCGTCCTTTTGTCGAGCGATCCCATCGGCTCTGCCATCTTCTTAATGTCTCCTGGCGTTCTTCAGCTCTCGCATCCTCGTGGCGACGCTGATAGAGCCGGCTACGCTCGTCTGCCAGTAAGGCCAGCGGTGGTATGCTGGCAACGACGTAGGTAGCGTCGTACGAGAGGTGCGGGCGACCACTGATGACTCGTAGGCAGGCTCGCCGATGGATTGCTTCCGCCCGACGGATGCCGGCCCGTGTTTCGGCTCCGCAGCTCCAGATGGGGGCGCCGTAGAGGAGGATCGAGTCGACGACGTTCGCGTAGAGCCGCCTTCGACTGCTCCTGGGGCCACCGATGGTCGGCATGATCTGCGAGAGGGCACCCGCCACTCTCGATGCCTTCTCGCTTGCCGCTCGGAGGTGATCGTTGAACGTCAGCCTCGCGTCCAGTTGCACGCCCAGGTAGCGGATGCAGGGAGAGGAGGCGATGAAGCAGTCGCCTACTTCGATGGTGATGGTCTCCAACCTCCTCTTCTTCGATAGCAGCAGGGCCTCAGTCTTGTGGTCCGCCGTCTCGAGGCCTAGCCCCCACAGCGCGTCGCGTACTCTTGCGATGGCGCGGCTAAGCATGTCCTCGACCTCGTACGTCGTCCCCGCCACGGCAACCACGGCGATGTCATCAGCGAAGCCGACTATGCGCACTCCTTCCTCCAGTCTCAGGCGCAAGATGGAGTCGTACATCACGTTCCACAGGATCGGGCCGAGGACCGAGCCTTGCGGAACGCCGGCCGTGATGCTGCAGGACTCTGGGCCATCGTCGGTATCGTATTCCAGCACTCTGGCTTGGAAGTAGCTGTGGATGATCTTCAGCAGATACTCAGGCGTGCGGATTCTCTCGAGCGCGGCGAGGATGTTGTTCCACCGCGCCGAGTTGAACGCGTTTCGTACGTCGAGGGTGACGACGGCGCAATACTTGCGGCCGCCCCTCGCGCCTCCAACCGCCTCACGGGCCGCAGCGGTGACCGACTCGATGGCATCGATGGTCGATCTTCCTCTCCGAAAACCGTGTTGGTGGTCCGAGAGGCCGGCCGGGGCCTCCGTGTACACCTCCAGGCGTCTGCATATGATCCTCTCAAGGATCTTGCCCGCCGTGTCGAGCATACACAGCGGACGGTAGGACGAGGGTGCGTCAGGCGGTTTGCCCGGCTTCAGCAGCAGCACAAGCCTTTGCCTCTTCCACGGACTCGGGAAGACGCCACCGCTCAGGCACGCCGAGTACACCCGCAGGAAGGCATCCGGTCGCAGGGCAACGGCGAGCTTGAGAGCCCTGTTTGGTACACCATCGGGTCCGGGTGCTGCACCATCCCGGATCCTAGCGCAGGCTCCTCGCAGCTCCTCCAAGGAGACGTCAGGGACCTCGGCGTCCGCAGGTCCCGCCGGAGGCCGAATCAGCGCCTCGGTCACCGTCGGGAACAGCGTGGCGACTGTCCGGCGCACCAGAGATGGCTCTCTTGGAGGCGTCGCCCTGGGACCCCTCAAGCGCGACATGACCGTCCCGTACGGCCGGCCCCATACGTTCCGGTCGACCTCGTCGCAGAGGGCGCTCCAGCACCGGCGCTTGCTCTCCTCGATTGCAGCGCGCAGTCGGCCTCTCACGATGGCGAAATCGACGCGTCGAGCATCCTCCGCGGGCCGTCCTCGCGCTCTTTGGGCAAGTCTGCGAGCTCGCAGGCACTGCCGACGGAGGGCGGCGATCTCGTCTGTCCACCAGTAGACGGGCTCGCGGCGGCGGCGGCGGCGGCGTCCTCCTCCGCCGGACATCGACGCGTCGCAGGCCTCGGTGATGGCGGCGATAAGGGCACCCGCCATGTCCTCCGGTCGCTCGGGCGTCGCATGAGGGATCCCCGCTCCAGAAAGCCGCTCGGAGAAGACCTCCTCGTCCAGTGTGCGGGCGCTCCATCTCCGTCTCGGGCCCGCCGGGCCTCTATGAGGTCTATGATCACTCAGGCTGAATGTGATAGCTCTGGACATACTCTATGTACCCCAAAAGACATGTGTAAGAAAATCGTTATGCAAAATCTGTCATCTGCCAGTCTATTAGTATACGTTAATTTCTATTGGACCTTTTCATGTCCAAGAAAATTTTTTGCAGCCCAAAATTCAGCCATAGAATGTTTCTATCTCTCTTAAAGTTGCTGAATTTTATTTCTGATACTTTTACTGGAGATGTTTGTTATAAAATTAATTTATGTAAGTGCTGATTTATTTTCAAGTACATTAATTTTCATACAAAAATTAACAAAAAAGATTCAATGATATACTCGAAGTTTTATTTTGTTTGGAAATTATATAGTTGTTATACTGCTTTAATTGTTTCTTTAATCGCCCAACGAGTTTATCAAATTTATGATGTTTACCAACAAAGAAAGTGTAGAATTTATTTCATCTTTAACATAGAAATAATGAATGGAAGCAGCATTTCGGCGATTACCGATACAGGGTGTCAAGCATTGTTTGCTGCAGTAAGCTACGAAAAAAGAACTACAAATTCAGCCTGCTTAAACATTTATGAACATTGTTGACAGCACAAGCCGAGTCACAAAGAGAATATTCGCAAGAATAGCGGCTGTTTGTGAGTGTGCATGTGCCTGTACAGCTAAAGCCATCGCAGCCGAAAGTGCACCCGCGGCGGAGGGTCTTGTTTCGGGCTGCTCATTGAACGAAACAATCGAAGGCGCAGCGCGGGCGATCGAGCTTGTTTACCTTTAGTTGGGCTAACTTAGCTCGACTAAATCCCGTGAATAATGAATTTCTGCTCGTTGCCGCGATATATATATAAATGTGCGCAATGCATTAGCCTGCGGAGCCGGACGTACGTCGTTGCTCTTTTTACAATAAGTAGACAGCAGTTAAAAACATGTAAAGAAAACTTCGGATCAATTGGTTATTTCTTTGGCCGTAATAGTTTTTACATCTTGTCGATGACCTGAAAGTTAGCGTAAGAGACATTACCGATTGCATACGCGCATCAGCGAATCAAAAGTATATATCGGACGTCGAGCTGCTTATTCAAATTACCAGAGTGGCGCGGAAAACTTTTCGTATGCCCCGAAGCACGACAATGTTTATAATGATCGAACAGTTTGTCTTTTATTTCTTGTTCTACTTGCTATTGCGATCTATTGAAGATGGAACATTTTCATCAAGGTAATTGATTTACAAGAATGCTCTGTCCTACGTCGTTTCTTTTGTTATTTTTCTTTTTTTTTCGAATTGATTACGGACGCATCGATATAAACATAAATCCTGGCCGTTGGCTGTACGCGAGCGAGCACACTCGGCTGATATGTGCAGTGCACCACGACTCTCCCGACCAAGCATGATAATTTCATCGTCGTTTTCTCGGAGAAAATAGAGCATAAATCTTCAAGATGAAGTGCTCGGTTCATTTTAGTCAAATAAAGGTCTACCAGGGATGAATTATGCCTTCGTACAAGTGTGTATGTGGATATATATGACGAATAAATTCTTCGAAAGATATCTCAATGTATTTCGGCAACTCGTTACTTGCCACAAAAAAATACGAGCTAAAAAATGAAGAAGAAAAAACTAAAGGAAATAATTTTTGGTGTATTTTTGCAGATCTCAGAGCGAAAGCCGAGCACAACAGCAACGCATGTGTGCGGACGCCGCTTTCTGCATGGAAACAACGGCGATTCAGTCGGCCTTCGACAATGGAATCTCGTTCTGCAGTCTCATGTAAAAAAATTAATAGTAATAATAGTAATGGGGGAAAAACGAGCAACTTTAGCACGGGATAACGAAGTTAGCAAAAAACTACTAACAAAAGAACAGCAAGGAAACAGCAACAACAACATCAACTACAACAAACGAAAAATAACTATACAAGAAAACACAAAACTAAAAAAAAAATTCAATGGCTCCGGCTTCATTATTTCTTTACTTCTGGCTGGTTCAGAAGACGGCTCAAGCACTCGGCTGACCAAACACCGCCTTTTTCTACTCCCCTTCTTTGACTTACCCGGCGTCTTGTTCTGCTATTATAGGTGAACTTTGTTACATAAACCTCCTCGGTTTTTTTCTACAAATTGGACAATTTAAGAAAAAAACAAACTCACATTTAATCGGTTTTCTCGAGAAATAAACTCGAGGAGATAATTCAATAGCACGAGAGAGAAGAAGCAAAGTCCAAAAGTAAGTTTTGAAATTTCAATGAACCGTTTTTTTTTCAACTCTTCATCGAGCATATATTCCGGTGGGAACGGTGGAAACTTATAACTGGTCAGAAAGAGAGCGAGTAAGAGTGTGAAAGAAAACTAGGGATTAAAAGAAAGAGATATTTTCGATATTAATTTTACGATATATTTTTGCATGTAGATACCAAAACGAAGCAGTGCTTTTTACGAATGTATATTTTAATTGAATAAACGAAGAGAGAAAGAGAATGAGCGAAAAATTAAGAGCATTCACAGATGCCCAGTACAAAGTACAAGAATGACCGATTGCTTTCGAATCGAAACGAGATGTATTTTTTATATTGTAAGTATATTTCAATCTACATATAGTATATTTATTTCGTTGAAAGAAAAATAAATTAAAAACTACGAAAAAAAAATAGAAGAGATCGATGCATCATAGTTTGCAACGAAAAAAAAATCCTTCTGCGTCGAGAAATCCGAAGCTGTAACGACAAGTATACGCGAACATTGTAAAAACCAGACGCGTTTCGAGTTCATGCAAATTATTTTACATATATACGTTTCCTTCGTTTTTTTTTCATTTTTACTATGAAATACAGTAGACTCACTGATTGCGACTTTATTACGGCCCGAAGAAGAGAGAGAGAGAGAGAAAGAGAAAAGAACCTCGAAAAAACATTTCGCTACTGCGCCAGCACGAGAATGAAAAACAGAATCGCGGACGCCCTTTTTCCGAATACATAAATACGTACGTACGGTATACCACGACGCACTGACTGTAAAATTTTTAAATTACATTGTTAGTATTCACGACTATTATTTCGTGCGTGAGCACGTTCACATCGTTTCGCCAATAAGTTACGTGTACGGATTAAAAAAAAAATTCAAATGGACAGCTCGATGGATCTCTCGCTCATCATTGTTAAAAAATAAAAAAGAAGAAAAAAAGAAACCAAAAGAGCACCGATATAAAGTATATAAAATATGTTACGAAAAGGTTTCTCAGTTATTGATATATAATTTTCATCGACCTACTAAACGATTACGATACTAAAATCGGCCAAGTAACGAGTGAAACACTAAAAAATTGAAATACATATGAATATATACGATATTAGACGTGTTATAAACTGGTAGTTAGTTAGAATATGTCACGTATATCCACGTGCGTCTTTGTGCACAAAAAAAGAAAAGGTAAAATGCGGCAACGAATCCCGGTCGCTTGCTCGACCGGCGTGTTATGAATCGCACTCGTTCAGCTGTAACAACCTGGAGCGCGTTTGATATAGGAGATTTACAGAGTTCTAAAAGCCCAAAGATAAAAAAACTAAAAAATATAAAAAAAAGAGTGTGTGTCCTACTAGCTCTCGTGTATAACATACAAAAAAAATCCTTACTGTAGAGACTGTTTACAAATGACTTGATCCCCAAGTGTTAACACCGCGACACGAGCACAATATACCGCACGAAACCTGTAACAGACACCCACATCCATTCGATGCACTCACGTGCGACACACACGCATACACAAACACACACATACACACACACACACAGGAACACACGCATCATCGTGCAAACGCAAAAACTCGATTGTACAAATACTAGCCCACATCATTTGCTGATGGATAAAACACACAAGTGCGCGATTTACACTCGCGTATATAAATGTTATAAAGTTGGCCAGGCCAACGAATCGATACTTTCTCGACGTGAACACATACACACGACACAAACACGGACACACTTATGGCAAAAACTCTTACGCAAAATCACACGCAAACAGAATCGATCTACGGAAAAACTTCTTTAATGATAATGTATACAATATATATTAAAAATAATTATAATATAAACATAAAATATATGAATTATACGTGCACGTGCATGAAGATGTGGCTATATTATAAAAACAAAGTACATCTTGGTCCTCTAAGCTCTTTTTCCAACTTTTAGTCGACGAACTAACGTAACAATTATAACTCTGGATTATACCGTCAAAAGAAACATTTTTGCCGCGAGTGGGTACGAGCGTGCGAAACAAACGGAAGTTTCCTTTTCATTTTATACTTAAGAGAAAAAATGAATATAGCTCCTAAGCAACTGTAAGTATTATACATACAAATAGGTGATATATTTTATTTATAAGTTAGCGCGAAAAGAAAACGGTGAAAAAGGTGAAACACGCGACATCTCGTGAAAAGTAGTAAAGTACGACGGAATTGAGAAATGATCTCACTTTGATTCGTCGTGATTCGAAAACTCGTGTTAATAATCGTGTTGAGAAGTATAAATATAAAAAATACACATGAATCAAGAAAACGTAAAAAAAAACGATGATATTTTTATTCTAATATTTTCATATGCGTATGGATGATTACGGAGACGATTATGAACAAACAATGCGCGTACATGTATTATACATAAATATATAAATATAAATGCATATTTTTATATATATTAACAATTTCCATAATTTATTTGGCAATCGATTTCGTGGTTTTCAATAAAACAAAAGTTTGCACACGCAAAAGAGACTCTGATCACATATAAATCTAAAGGCAACCGTTCAAACGCGATATCACATGTTAAAAAATTAAAGTTTGAATTTCGTCTAATATAGGAAAGGGAAAAAAATAAAACTGTAACTCGAACGGCGTGGATGGATGCGTTTTAAAGATTTAATAATTAAATTTAAGAATGTGTTAGCGTAAACGATTAGTACTTGTATTATTGCGTGGCCACTTATTTCCCTCCCTTCAAACGATCTAAAAATACCCGATCGTCATTCGGATTCATTTGATTCAAAGGTTGAATGCTTCTTTCTAGAGTAAATGGGTTTTATAAGAAAAAAAAATATGATGAAACTTTGCAGCTGAATTCGAATTAATTGCAGTCAGCGTTACGTCTAAGCGCACACTTAATTATATATGTCTAAAGTAAAGAGAGATGCAAATCTTGGGTTGGACAAAAACGAAAAAATAGCGACAGAAAAGAATGAATATTATATTATTAAGACACTTGGATCATAGAACTGCCAGGAGCGCAAAAGTTCTAAAAATACATAAAACATTATTACCGTAAGTCTACTTCTTATATTAAAAACATGTTTGAAAACAGATGAATATATGTGTACGAGTTCGATGCATGTATAGCGTAATAATAAAATTGCAACGAGAAATATTTAAAGGTTTTCCTCGCTGTAAGTGATTAAATTTCTTTATGTTTTTTTTTATTATAAAGGAGAAAAAAATGTGTTAAACGAATGACTATAATTGTACATTAAAAATGTTACGAGGATGTAGGTAAATGCATTTAGTGCTAAAATGTGTAAGCTATGCTGATCGCTGGCCCGTATTATGTAAAGTACAAAACTTTGATCGAGCTGGAACGAATCTCCACTATTACGGTAGTATTAAAAGTCGAGCATTACTTTTGAAACAGGTTCGCTCTAAATTTATTTATATTTACATAACGATATTAAAATTTAGAAAACGAACAATTATTTATATATAATCCAATAACTTAGAGTTTCATATCCATCATACATGTAACGACTAATGCACGATATCTTATTTAACTTCGATGAAATTCAAGCGATTCGAGAACCGAGAAGCATCGAATACAACAAAAAGAGTCAGAGTGTGAAAGAAAGAAAGCTCAGCCGGAAAACAAATATGAAATATGTCAGTTTAAATTCGAGATACGTGTACATAAATGCGAGAGAACGGTGGGAGCTTTCGTGACAAAATTGTATGCTCGTGTTTGTTGCGTATTCCCGCCGATGCATGGAATATGTCGCAAGCTTGCGTCAGGTGCTAAAAAAGATGCGATTCGCGCAAAAGCTCTGCAGCTGGCTCCGATTATATGCACTATACATAGGATATGCTAATAAAACACTTTGCTCGCTGCATTCTTCTTGCTCAGAGCTCCTGTATATATACGTGTCTGTTTTTTTTATTTTTATCGTAAGCTTTATTAAAATGCAAATGAGTGGCGAAACAGGAAGAGAGAGAGACCGAGTTGAATTGTCTGCGTTGAAATTACTATACGCCCACGTGGCTGAATGCGCGGTACGTATATACGGTACGAGAGCGAGCTTTTTGGCTTACAACAACGGATTTGCAGCATAAAGGATTAATTTGGTCACTGCACCTTACACCGTCCGATTGATAAATATATTTCTAATATATACGATGAATATTTTTCTTCGATACACTAAAAAAATATGTGTATATTTGTTTTTAATTTTTGTTTTGCGCTTTACATCTATGTGTAATTCTCGAGTATCGATTGTACAGATACTTTATTACTAATATGTACTAATGCTCGTGCACACACCTTCACACATAGGTAGCTCGCGATCTCTGCGGCCCGGCCTGAGTAAGTGTGCATGCCCACCGTAACGATTATGCAATTATATCACTCACACATGTAAATAATGTATCGAGTTACAATTGTTCCAGAAAACGAGTTGCGAGTACGTCTATATATGTAAGATATGTAATGTTCCAGTGTATATGTATACGCACTTATGCGCGTTGCGATGCTTTTGAAAAGTCGACGATTCCGACGCGTGAGTGGTTTATGCGTTACGTAAATATATAAGCGAAACTTGGCTGAGGAAATGGCGCACGAACAGTTCTGGCGATTGGGAGAGTGGGACAGATAGATTATTGTGTAAAAAAATGCAGTGCAGTGCCGTGCGAAGACTTGATATTTTTGTATGACTAGGGAGAAAAGCGACGAGAGGGAACTATACGATGATTCGTCCAGTAAGGGTCAGAAAAAAAACATTACTTTACCCAAATATTGTCGATGATAAACCAAATTCATATAGAGAGAAACGGAGAGAAAAAACAAGATTATAGCTATCATTATCAACGTATCGAAATAAACGAATTGTGTGCATGCGTGCGTGCGAGCCCAAGCCGATTATAATATAATAATATATGACTTTCTTAGCAGCAGCTCGCCTGCGCGCATATATGATACAAAGGCACTAACTGACGAAATGAACTTTCAACACTTAATTGTACGCGTATACCATATTATATAATATAACGTGTTATAAAAAATAATTGACAAAAAAAGAAGAAAAAAACATACTGTATTAAATGTTGTGTATAAATGTTTAGAGGACCAAGAAATATAACTTGGAAAATGTGAAAATGTCCTGAAGTTTTTTCATTCGTAATCGAAGATACGTTTGTTTACCTTATATGCATGTATCTACATCCAACATCCAATATCACTACTCGCTCCCTCGAAGTTGGAAACGAAAAACAATTGCTTTTCCTTATTTCCTTTTTTTTTATTGTTTTCCCCCCTTTTTTGCATATATATCCACAGATTCTATCATCTTTGATCGAAGGAGCCACGTGAGACAACACTGATGCACGCCCGAGGAAACGTTGCGGTGGACTTTCTATATCTATATGTACGAGCAATGCAATGAGAATGAGGTCCACGCAAGCCGCAACACACTAACACGAGCTCGGGGATCTGTCTATATGTATGTCTGTGGGCATCTCAAATCCAGGACTGCTCTTGCCTTATCAAATTGCACCCAAATCTGTGTCATCTACGTGGATGTCGTATGTGAAGCTGTTAGCTGCGGCCAGGTTGCAATATCTTTGCTCGTGTGTAAAGCAAATATTTTTTGAATGGATATTGCTTCTGTCCGCTCGTGCGACTTCGGTTTATATTGATGATTGATTCAAATGCTTTTATTATTACTTTTTATTGATTTATCTGTGGTTATAAGGTAATTGATAATATGTCAAAAGAAGATAAATGAATATGTATTTTAGATTGATTATATTTTATTTTATTTCAAGTATCAAAAAACAGAAGACTAGTTTCACAAAATTACAAGTTGATGTTTTTTTTTCCTTAAAATTAGATCTGTTCCTAGTTTATGTAAGACAATATCTATGAGCAATTAAGTTTATATCATTGCGTATAAAAAAATATCGTAACGTACTAAAAGTAACATTGAGTACATATGGCCACAATTTTCGTCGTTGTTTTTTTTTTATTCAAGACTAAATTTTCAGGGGCAGAAATCAACTCAAAGAGAGATTTAATACAAATGGATTTCACGTCTTTTTCACTTTTATTATTTGTTCTCGTATTGAGCCGAGAGCGCCCCATCTCGCGTATACATGCAAATAGAAATTTACGCAAATAAATTTTCCGATGCGCGATTGTACATGTTGTGTATTTATCCGTGTTGCACATTTGCTCTCTTTGTATACGTCTCACTCGAGTGCCGATCGAGTATTCTAGTTGAACAAACGGACATTAATAACATTACCGACTAATCGTTAAACTCATAATATAAAAACGTTGTTGGCACGTATTTATATTTTTAGCAGATCATTTTCACTTGCTCTTTTTTTTTTAATGTATTTAAACATCTATAATTACCTTAATTTAACTATAATATGACGTACGTCGTTCTGCTTTTCATCGTGCAAGATATTTTTGCTTATTGAATAACAAATACAATCAAAGTAATATCACGCCTCGAATGTCGTTTGTTACAGGAGCGAGATAGAAAAATTTAGTCTTGCGTAAGTGTAAAGATATGTAATTTCACTATTTTTTTTTTGTACATTCGGCAGTGTAATATATCGAAGGCAGCGGTTCACACAGCGCGCGCACGACCTTGTTCATCAGTTCGTCGCATGATAAATGCTTTTAATGAGCGAGGAGACCCGTAAACCGACAATTATCGCACTCGCATTACACGAATCATTGAAATTCTTCTTCTTTTTTTTCAATCGAGAGAGAAAAGTTTTTTGGCTTTTCGAGTAAGTTCGAAACAAAAAAGCTATACGTCAACTTTTTTGCTCCTCGAAAAACAAAATTAGCCGAGAGAAACAGCAAATATATTATGTCAAGTGATTCAATTATCGTGAGCACTGGGAGAGGACACACTTCAGTCAAAGTCACCAACTTTGATGCCGTTCTCGGTGCGAAATATCCTCTCCTCGAGCGGCAGCTCACCGATCAGGTACTTCTTGAGTATCCTCTTGGCGCCCTTGGAGTGACCGTAGCCGACGAAGGCCAGAGTGGCGTCGCGGCCCGCGTACTCCAGAAGCACGTCCTGGCCGCCCGGATGGCTCCTGAGAAACTCGGTGCAGTCGTACACGTAGTCGCAGATGACGAGCCAACAGTCCTCGAGGGTGTCGTGCCAGGCCACCTGGTCGAGCGTGATGATCTCCAACTGCTCCGGCGCTCCGGAGGTCGTGGATTTCTCGTCCGTCGCTCCGACGTTGCCGTTGTTGCTGGTCGCTGTGGCGCCCGAGCGATTCTTCCAGAGCTCGAGAAGATTCAGCGAGCCGAAATTCAGGCTAAGCGTCGAGAGTTCCATGTTGCTGTTGCTGTTGCCTTTTTTGCTGTTGCAGGTACTGTTGTCGTCGTTGGTCGTAGTAGTAGTAGCCGTAGCAATCTCGGCCGTTACCGAACGATCACTGCCCAGAGCACACAGAGAGCAGAGAGTCAATATTAATAATAATCGACACGCTAGAGCAGCCTCGGCAGGGAAAACCGATACAGAGTTGGACACCGCGAACGAGTATATTATGTGTACGTAATGTGCGCGGCTATATAGATCGCGGCGTATACGCTAATATTCAGCTGTTGATTTATGTATAATGTATAATACTCCGCGTGTGCAATTGAGATGATATTAGATACCGTACTGAGTTAGCCACACGTGCCAGCCCGGGCTTATATATATCGGAGGCAGAGAAGCTTCTGGCGGCGCAGCTCGAGCGCAAGCAGCAGCAGCAGCAGCAGCGGCCGCAGTAACAGAACGATATGCAAAATACACACGGATGCATGTGTGTATAGAGCGCATACGCACACAGATGCGTGTAAATGCATGTGAGCTCACACGGTATATAGAAGTCGAACAGATAATTAATAATAATTAAAATAGCTAGCGACAACGAGCGCGGCGGTGGCGTATGATACAAGTATAAGCTAATGCACAGAGGCTGCATTGCGCGCGGAAGAGGGAAGATGGGAAGAAAACACGTGTTCTGGTATATGCAGCACACGATTCGCGACAACGATGACGAAATTCTCTTATCTGTTATCGAGTGTAACTGCGGCAACTTCGAAATGTATAATATTGCAGCACACACATAGACACACACATTTGCGACACACGTCAATATGCATACCACTGTGTGTGTGTGAACTACAACGATGCAAATTATTGCAGCTGGTATGCGGATATGTTAATCGTTGACTACATAGCAAGGGCTATTACGCGGCTTGGCATATTCTACAGATCTAAGGGCATGCCACATATAACTACTATTACATCTTAAAGCTGCAGAAGCGAATGGACCAAGCTATATACGTATAACTTGTATATATGTTCGTATATAATGATTTAACTTACAAATGCTCGGAAGCAGCATGAGGACGTCCATTGACTGACATGTCGGAGACAAGACTATGAACTACTAGACGTGCGCGCGTTCGTGGGCACGCACGCACACGTCGCAGGGCGACGGTAAATGTTCTTTTTTTTTTATCATCATCGCGTGTACACGCAAGCACGTTACAGGTATATTATACGGTCGAGTCCGAGCAAAAGAGCAAAAGAGCAAAAGGGAGAGAGAGAAAACAAGAGAGGGACAGTGCGGTGGTGTGCAAGTGAGAGTAGAGAGTCGCGACGGGCAGAGAGAGACACTAGAGACAGAGAGTGAGCGAGCGAGAGCGTATTATATAGAGGGAGTACCGAGAGAAGAGAGGTATAATTCCATTAGCCACTGAAACCCAACACCTTTTGCGGCCGCGTATGGTACGTACGGCCTCTATACAGGTGTATGCGTGCTCTATGCGATAGTAGTAGTAGTGGTAGTATAGTCGAGCAGCAAGGTGGGATACTCGCGCCGCTATATACGTGTATTAACGAGCCACTATGCGCTACACCTGCACCAAGGTAATTCAAAGAGACAGTTATACAGGCTGACCACTGTCATATGCGCTTTCTCTCGCTCCTTCTCTTACTCTCTCTCTCTCTCTCTCTACGGGTGTATACATCGTATGTAGCGCTAAGGTATTCTCAGAATTGCTTGAGCTAATGAACTTCCCTACGATCCAGCGCACATGGAGCTTTCGTCGATGAGCGCAGATCAGGCGTTTGACACATAAATAAAGCGCGTGCGTACAAAATCATCGCCTGTACATCGAGAGATTTTCATTTTTGCTTCGGCGACTATATATAAAATTTGCATTTCCGTATACAATACGTCGAGTCGATCGCTCGTCATGCACCGACACATCATCGAACCGATTGACAAATTGTTGTTTATGTATGGGAAAAACGATTACACGATGATGCGCGATTATTGCGCCTCGCGATTATCGATGTATAATATACGCATTGATACGTATAGTGCACTACGATGACGAAATCAGTGACGGTTAGTTGTAATAGCAGCTACTACGACTTGATGAAATATTATTGTTGCGACTATTGCGCGCATGAAAAGCCATTAGAGAAAAATCTGCTCGTGACGATCGATTTTCGCTTCGATGAGTTGAAAAATATCAACTGTAGAATCGCGCGTTCTTTGGCACAGCATATGACACAAATATAATGCACTCACGTGTTTTACGTGCAAAATATTTGCACAAGCACGCGCACGTCTTTGTATCGATGGTCCCCCCTCATCGAAGCTGCACGTTGAATCTGAAAAATATTTACGTCCAACGAGTTTCGTATTATTACTCTTCCGCGCGCACACGCCCATGCACGCGTAGTTTATTTATCAAGCGGAGGCTCCCTCGCATGTTGTCGTTATTCCCGGATATAATTTCGGTGTAAATATTTCGCTTTACGGATTATATTTTCTTTTCTCTCCGTCTCTCTTGACTAATCTCCAGTTTGAAATAGCATCGATGTTGGTTAACTTAGCTGATGTAAAGTATCGAAAAAGTGACGAAAAGGCAAAAAACAATAAAGCAGTCCCTCGATTATCTGCCCCAGAAATTTCACAATAATTTTTCGGTTAAAAGCAGCTATATTGGAACCGAAGGCGGCGCCGCGCGAGTGTCGTAATAATTGTTATGAAAGTTGCCTCGAACTTATAAACTTGCGCGCCGACACTGATGTGCAAGTTCATTGGCGAACGAAATGCATCTCTCTCTTTCTCTTTCTCCATAATCCGTATCTTTCACTCGGCGATTCGTGACACACGATTATCTCTCATACGCTTCTACATATGAGATATTCTTGCATGAGAAAAATACTTGCATATTACGCGTATTACGACATCGACGAGCGAATCTGCGAGCTCTATTATTATTGTGCGATAGGCAGAGCTGAGCGCGAGCAAAGTGTCGAATTGCCTATCCCCCAGGCGCTTGTTTCGATATACGTATGCTGCCACCTCTTGTGAAATCGTCGAACGCGACTGCAGAAACTGCAGCAGCGACTGCGAAAGCCCGACCACCGCGGAGAGCTTGCAGGCTGTGGGCAATTCTTACTCTTTCTCGAAACGACGGATCACAAGTCGAGCTTGCAGTCGGTTACGATCATTTATCGATGTTTGGTACGGAAGGAGTCGTTTGTGCGGCGCCACTGTTAATTATCAGCATCGATCCGCACGACTGACTGCACGCAATTTACATTAGTGAAAGCTTCTGTTACATTTGTTTTTGGTCAATAACGATGAAAACATCATCTTTGAAACGATTGTATAGTGTAAAAACATCATATCTTTTTTTTTTCTTATTTCGTTTGTTAATACAGCACCAGATGTCACATCGAAAGCGTCTTTATCCCAAACAAACCAATGAAAGCTGCCCAAAACAGTTCTTCCCCCATATAGCGCCGGCCGCACAACTCGCTGGTATATGTAAGCTCGTATACCTGTAACGCGCATGCGAGCTTGCGCTACCGCCTTCCCTCTTCCCCGCTTCACTCCCGACGGCTGCTCGACCCACGTCGCCAACAGTTGCTCCCCGCGGAGTAGAGAGCTTTTTCGGTGCGCGAGCATATAACGCGTGCGTGTGTGCTATAGTCGCGTTGGGCCGCGCGGACCGAGGCACAGAAGCAGCTACAGCGGTAGTCACTCGAAGCAACTCGCAGGTGAACGACGACGACAACGACAACGACGGCTGCTCCGTGTGTGCGTGTGAGTGTGTGTGTATAATGTATGGCTGTGCGCGATGCACTTCGAACCGCAGTATGTCGGGTGAAACGGTGGCAGCTGCCCGGCATCGTCAAAGTGGTGCCTGCTGAATTGGGCCTAGTCTTTTGATTACTTTTATAAATCCTCGTATAACGCGATATAGTTACAGCAGATGGATTTAGAGCCGCACGATTTGGTTGGCTTTTAAATTAAGAAGCAGTAAGAGTGAGCTGTTCATTTTGCGTCCTGTATACGTGTATCATACATGTATAAGCGGCAGTGCTTCGGTAGTGTGCTTTTTATTCATGAAGCTGAGAAAAATTCAGAAATAAAGTGTTAAAAAAAATTAGATCATTATACAGTGACAGTGTGTCGAGACGCTTAGTTGTGCCACATATTATTTTTTTATGTGATTGAAGTGCAAGCAAGATTGAACAAGAGAAAAGCACAAAGATCGAGCAAAATTTCATCATTCGCGTATTCCGCAATCAGAGTCGCAATTGTCCGTCATCTCGAGGTACTTAATTATCAAGGAAACTTCGTTTATTACAATAAAAAGTCCGATGTAACGCAAAGCAGCACTGCAGCAGCGGTCGGCAGTTGTAATGTAGAGCTTTCAGAGCTTTGCAATCGCACGTATGGTCGCGATTAAAGTGTACAACATCGTCCCGCACGTGTTGTTTAGCTACCACTTCTGCTACTGCTGCTGCTGCTACTGTTCATGCTCGGGGGGAGGGGGGAGGGGCTGAGATCGATATATACATATAGTTCCGAGGCAAACTCTCTCTCACTGGCTTACTGCATATCTCCGTTTTTCTCGTCCGGTTTTACTCTTTCTGACTCTCGCGCGACGCGACTACCTGCCTCTTATATATTCCTAGTGCAGCGTGTATGCACACCCAAGGTAGGTTAGCTATCGCTGATTGTCCGAGTCACTTTCCCTCGCAGTTTTTACGTGCGTCTATGTGCCTCTGTCTTACAGGTCATAGACTCGTCCAGGAATACTTTTTTTTTACTAATGAAAAGCCAAAAAAAGCCGGAGCTGAATGTCAAAATGAAAAAAACAAATCGTTGGACTTTGCTGTTGCAATGCATACATGCGTGTGTGTGGTGTGCGTTTGAGTGTGCGTAAACGAGTGCGCGACGAGCTTTTAACGTACAGTTCAGCGGACGCGTGTTGGTGTGCTGCTGCTGCTTCGAGCAAGTATTCGGAGCGAGAAATGTGTCACGAGTGCGTATACCGCCTTAGAGTTTCCTCGAGAGAGAAAGAGAGAGAGAGAGAAAGAGATAGGAGGAGAGCGTGGCCGAGCTATATTTGTGTATATGTTATACTTCGTGTGGTCAGTGCGCGAGAGCTTTGCGAGAAGCTTTTTTATTGCCTCACTCTGTACGTGTGCTTTTAATATATTACTATACAACTCTCTGTGCGTGTGAGTGCGTGCGTGAAATAGGTTTCTCTTTATTTCTTTTATTTTTTCTCTTACACAATGAAACGAAAAAAGTAAGAAAGCTCGGCCACGAGTGCTCGCCCAACTTTGACGTTTTCGACGGGCGTTTGGAAAAGAAATTTGCCTATTTTCCTTTTTCACGACTCGAAGCTGTCGCTGCTCCGCAAGCTCCCCTCCTCCTTCTTTCTTCGTGCAACAACACACACCGACGCCTTGTCACGATGTATGGCTTATACACAGAGAGCCGAGGATCCAGTACATATTATTTTCTCGCTCTTCTGTCAAAGCGTCGTCATAATAATGTCTTTTCGACATACGTCTCACTATTTATAAAATTGATTTGAACGTTATACTCGAGTTTAGTCTATATCTTATGCCCGTATACGTACGTGAGAATAGCATTGGCTCGTCTGTATGAGTGTGTGCGCGCTCACCGGCACATAATACTACAAGCAAGCTTTGCTCTCTTTCTCTTCTTTCTTTCTCTCTTTCTCACGCAGGGAACAATTCGTGCATCGTCGTGCATTTGTGTGGATGCGCGCGTGTGTGTATGTGTGTAAGCGTATGCATGTGCGTATGCGTGTGCGCGTGAGTGAGGTACGTATACCCCATAGTAAAAATAGTTCTCAGCTCCGGAGCTCTTGCCTAGAGCCTACTGTACTACTATACGGTCAAACCTTTCTCTCTTTCTCTTTCGCTCTCTTTTTCATCATCATCTTCTTCTTCTTCTTCTTCTTCTTCATCATCATCGTTCGTACCATCGTCGTCTTCTACAGACCCCTCGCGCGTATATATGCGTAACATTTTTTATTTATTTATTTTTTCATCTTCTTTCTGTTGTCCAACGTTTTTCATATAAACACTGTCATCGTCCGATCGTGCACTGCATGTTTTGCAACGTTAGGATCGCCAGCTGAATCTCAATTAGCAGCCACGTATGCCGTTTGTTAATTTTCAGTCGAAAAATATCGCTTCTCGTGCCCATCGACAAGTCTCGTTCAGTCGAGGATGGCGATTTTTCATGCACGTCAACGAGTCATGTAAAATTAACTTCAAGCAACTCTGGAGAGGGAAAAATTTGAACGCCAGACCAGACGTGTAAAATGTCATCTCGAAGCGAGAGAAATTCCTTAGAGTAACTTTCAAATGCACGTCTTGTATTCCAAAGAAATAGTTTCTTTCATTCATTTTGTTCGTATGTAAATTTGCATTCCTCCGAGATTAACAATTGCTTCACGCGTGCGTTGCAAACGAAAGAGAGATATTTTCTTATTGCGTAATGGCCACATGCGAGTGGCAGTAGCAGCAGCAACAGCAGCAGCCGTATGTAAGCCTATACAGGCGCGCTTTTCCGAGACTGCACGGAACGCTTGAAAAGAGGCATCGGAGGGGAAAAATCGTCCAAAATATGTGTCTCGGTCGGTGTGCATTTCGATCATGTGTGTGTATGTGTTTCTGTACGTGTGCGTGAAAGCAGACACTGTAACGGTAAAGTGCCAAAATACCATACAACTGTAACTCTACTTTTTCATAATTCTGACGCGTCTCGATATTTTTCCGGTTAGTTTTATTATTTGACGATTTTTTCTGTTGATTCACAGAGCTAATGATTGAATTAATCGAGGTTATTACTTTTTCTAATTATTTATTTGATATGTTTCTTAAGGCTAAATTCATTATATATCCAACCACAAAACATGGTGTATTTTCCAACGAGGCTACCTGTTGATATTTTTAAATGCTTTCAACTTATCTGATTTATATTGAAAAATGCGGTGACGTTGAACAAAGGTGGGGAATCGTGGCATTATAATAGAGCACAAAATTAGTCCGAGATCTCTAATAATAACAAGCATATTATGTACCTTCTGCGGGTATAACTAAAATACACCCCGACAAAGTAACCTAATCAATTGCACGACGGCAAGCGAGAAACGTCGTCCGGGGGTAATGGGTAAAAAAAACCTTAAAAAATTTTCCTCCTTAACATGCTGACTCAAAATGAATGAAGTAATGAATGCTCCCTTCGTCGTCGTTCTGTGATCAACTTAAAGCTTCATTATTCAAATGAGTGTAAAATATATAAAGCTCGAAGCTAAATTAAAAATGCACTATACACCGGGAGGTAGACAGCTAGTGTGAGGGGAGAGAGAGGGAAGGGGTCATCGAACATGGCTCGGTTCGTTGACGAGATAAAGTTCAAGAACCTCGTCAAGGGGAAGGGGGATTGTAAATAAAAATGTCAAGGACCGCGTGTGAGTATTGGGTCAGGTTTGAATTGATGCACCAGCTGACTAAACGTACCCGAAAATATATCTCGCAGCTCTTATCAAAAATTTTTAGTCGTTTGTACATATTTCTCTCCCGCATAGCGTACGATATCGCATAAAGAGAAGTGGATTTATTCTGTTCTTCGATGTTTTCAATTAGATAATTTTAATCTCACTTTATTCAAAGATAGTTTATGTGATGAAGGTTTATCTTGTTTGCTTTTCAGAGTCAATCGAGGTTTTGAGGTATGCTACGAAGGAAAAAGTCAAAAAAGGCAAAAAAGAATGAGGAAGAGGAAACAGAGTATGATTGTGTGTGTATGGGCAGTCCAACGAGCCCAGAAGGTAATTAAAAATTTAGCTATTGTTGAATTATTTTTTTTTACCAATTATGTCGATAATCTCATGCATTTTATCAATATTTTTTCCATTATTATTATCGCAGCTTATGAATTCTACTGGTATTTCAAATTACCAAAAAAAAAATTTAAAAAAAGCTTTAAGATTAAATCACATTGAATGTAAAATCAGACATTTAAATTAAAGTACTTTCACAATAGATGTCCGTTGAAAATTAATGTATCAGTACTAAAACGATTTAGTTCTGTACTAAAATTTAAATACTATCATTGAAAATGCTAAAAAATTTCATGAAAACTCAATCATAATTAAATCCGGCACCTACCACTAGATGGCGATTACACTTATGTGGAAATCTGCAAGTGGCAAAGTGAAAATAATTTTATAAGTCATCGAATTAAATGACGATTAAAAAATCCGATCATTGATTGTGTTGATTTTACACGAGATTGAATGCATTTACGCGAAGTTAATTACGTCCTATATTTTTACATTAATTTTAACAGTGTAGAAGAAAAGCTTAATATACTTGCAATCATTGAATTTTCTGAAATGTATAAAATATGATATTTTACAAAATCAAAACTCAGGCACAGTTTCCATGTTATATCATGGATTCACCAGGCTTTACTAAAACTTTAATTTAAATGATTAAGCTTGCATGAAAAGTAATTATACGGCAAAAGTATATAATCTGGAATTGTAGACGAGCTTTCCTAAATAAAATCATTATTTTATTCAATTTTTTACGATAAAACTAATTTAGCATAAGCGATAAAGACTTCAAAGTTTGAAGTAACATCGACGAATCTCCCATTTAAACTCCGCATGACCCAATGCCTCACAAAGAGAAATCCCAATACAAAACCGATTACACTAACATTTCGCCTTCACAATCTCTCTTGCTGGTACTGCTGTTCTCTTCCGTACAAAAGTGAAGAGATATCGAATCAAAACCGAGCAACAACAACAACAGCACTAACGGCGGGGCCTCGAGCAGCAGTATTAGCAGCAGCAGCCTCGGCGCTAACAACAGTACTGGCCCAAGCTTCGCGCGAAGCGGGGCAGCCCCGTCGGCAGCGCTGCAGCTACCAACGCCAGCACCACCGCCAGCAGCAGCAGCAGCAGCAGCAACAACAACAGCAGCAACAACAACAGCATGCAGCCGCCCCAGCCACAGGTACCGGCGCCGAACGGCCTGGCGGGTGGGGCCCAGCTGCCCCAGAGCCCGGGCCATCAGCACGCGCTGCAATACGGCGCCCGGGCCCAGGTGAACGGCGGCCGCTTCGACTTCGACGACGGTGGCACCTACTGCGGCGGCTGGGAAGACGGCAAGGCGCACGGCCACGGGGTCTGCACCGGGCCCAAGAGCCAGGGCGCCTACGCCGGCAGCTGGCACTACGGCTTCGAGGTGTCAGGCGTCTACTCGTGGCCCAGGTTCGTCTGATCTGCATGCGCTCTCTGCTACCCTACCCCCGCTGCGGCTGATCGCACGTGTTTCTCGCTGACTGCGGCACTGGCCGTGTATGTTTATGTGTGCATAGCCTGCATATATCACGCAATTTATTTATCTAATGCAATATCCTCATGCACGTTATATCCCGAATCGCTTGAAAGAAAAAGATAACAAAAAACAAAAGTTGAATTAAGACCAGAGGCAGCTTCGTTGCATGCGAATAGCGAAACTGCCCCATTAACGTTCGAACACACGACTAAAACACTACGGAACGTTTATTTCGTCTGAACGTGAAAATTACTCGTTCGGCCAATACACAATAAACGTCACTTACTCCTTCCTCGACCATAATAATATTATGTTCGAAAATCCAGGAAAACGATTTGTTAAAACCGAAGCTCGAGCAGTGTGTGTGTATGTGCCCGTGTGTGCGAGGTGCACGTAAGCTTCGAAGGGGCACTCGGGAATTTGTTGAATAAACAATTGCAGCAATAATTCCATGAAATGTACTATAGTCTAAAATTGACTTTGCCTAGGCGTTAAGCGACTCGCGCGCGCGTTCCCATTTGGCCGAAATATCGAACGTTTATACGCTGCACTGCCTCGGCTCTCATGGAAGTCCATATGTGCGTTATAATTAAAGCTGTATTAAATGTACACCACGCACCCGTCCGCGTAGTATACGTCGCGATAGCTGCAGAAGCTTTCGCGTGAAATAGAATTATTTTTTCGCAATTTTCTTCCGCATCTCGGCTAATGGACTTCTTTTACGGAAAACTATTTTAATAAGAAAAATGCTAATGCGTTGCCGAGGCTGTGTTCAAGAGTTATCTTAAAAAAAGGCAGCAGACATGATTCAGTCTCGAAGCTTTGCGGGGGCGCGCGAGCGTCTCGCGCAAATTGCCAAACGTGTCTGCTTATTTTTTTCTGCCTGTCTGTCTCTTTCTCTCTTTTCTTTTTTTGTTCGCTATTAGTTCGCAAATAGAAGAAAAAAAATAGCATGCGGCGCATCTAGAATATTCCAAAGTAACGGATTCAAGGGTACTGCTCTTTTTACAGTGAGCAAACTCGATTGTGCACAATGCACATATTTGAATACTTTCGTGGCTCTGATACGTACACGTAATACATATAAAAGCTGGTGTCAAACAGCCTCGAGCTTGATTAATTCTTATATAGTCGGGCGCGCGCATCACTCGTCAGTATTTGCTTAATAGCTGATATAGCTCGAGAAACTTGTCCATTAAAAGTGTGAGATCTTCGTCGAAAAGTCAGGAAGTATATTTCGCCGCACAAGACCTTGACACATTTCCCTCGTTATAACGTTCTCTCTCTCTCTCTTCTCTTTCGTTCAATCTTCCCTGCCCTCTCTCTCGGTCACGAATGCACGCATTATCCTATTCGGCGTTGGCGCTGCTAACACAGCACGTATATAGTACATTGAGAAAAGCACGACAGAGCGTGGGTGGATACGAGCAAGGACAAGCCCTACCTATAAGGATTCAAGCACGTGCTAATCTTCCGCATACATTGTACGTAAACGTCGTCGTCGTCATCGTATTTTACGTATTTTACGTATGTACGCAAACACACACGGACTCGCGGAAAGGGAAAATTATCGATACTACTTTTTTTTTACTGCTTGTGCAAATGCGCCCACGGCCGAGACGACAAGAACTCGAATATAAAGCTCGGAGACCGCTATTGTATATAGTTATTCTCTGAATAGCAATGCTTTTCAAGGCTGAAGGACTGGCAAAAGGTCTTTTTATACATCATCTGGGGGTGAGAAAAAGAAGAGAGAGATGAAACGACACGAAAATCCTCTTTGCGCTTACAAAATAATCTTGAAATTATATTGGCTACGCTGAATCGCCTACACCTCTTGGCACCTCATCGATTTTTTTCTAATCATCCCATCGACGGGGCTCTTTTGTAGCCTTTCTCTATGAAGACTTTTTCATTTAATCAAGATATCGTGAATCGTCCGTATTATGTGTCGAACTGCAGCTCACGCCACTGCACTGCTCGTGTCGAAAAAGAAGATTACCCGTCGTGAGATCGGTTAAAGGAGCTGAACTTAATCGCAAGAGAGAAAAAAGAAGGGGCCGGCATTACGCACCTATACATAAAACATGTGCTCACTCGTGAACGCGATCGGCGCGTTATAGGTTTGAAAGCTCGGGCGAGTCTCGATATCGTATACAGTCGGTATTAATGTATAGCTTTGCGCGAGATGCGCGCGGCCGCCTACTATATACGCGCGCGCGGCGGTCGGCGGTAGAGAGAGAGAGAGAGAGAGAGCAGGAGAGAACGCGTGCGCTCGGGTAAACATAAAAATAGCCCGTGGATCGAAATAGACTCGAGCGAGCGAACGAACGAACGATTGACTTTCAACGAATTCCTCGATGCTGCCGTAATATATGCATAAGTCATGCCTGCGTATAATATACGTATAATACTCGTGTGTGTGTGCGTATACGAGCTTGAATGTACAGTACGAATGTAAGCGCGACGATAGCAATCTTGACATATTATACGAGCTTACCGAAATCCGATACACTAACTGTATACGTCTAAATTTGGGGTGGCTTCGATTTTTCAAGGTAATTTTTTTTGCGTTCTTTCGATGGCAGCGAATATGTATCACGTGAGTGTGTATATCTGAAAAACGCTGCGGGAACTCGGAAAGGTCCTATATGTTCGTTCAATGTTTGTTAAGCACGTGGTTTGCAAGCTCGCGGCAAAGGGCGTGCGCGATTCCATCGGTTCTTTTCGGAAACACTTATTATAAATATGACAGCGGCTCGCGCGTCAAGCTTAACTTGTTTCGTCGCTTCGGAAGTCTCTGTGCATGTCGCTAGATATTAATAGATCGATTTGCCATGCCAAATTTTGAATAATGATTGAATTGGCTCGCGCGGGCCACTGGTCGATTATACTCTAGATAAAAAGTATAAAATAAAAAAGTAAATAAATAAATAAATAAATAAAGCGACCGTTGCTGATCCGTCAAACATTTTGACATTCCGAATAAGACATGTGCGAGCTCGCGTAAACAAACAAAAGCACGATCTCGAACACTGTATATAATTTCATTTTTTACGACGAGACTAGCTCGGAGAGATTTTTATTGAAGCCGACGCGAGCTCGTCGATCATTTTCGAAAAGTGCTTCGGAAATTTTTCACGATACATATCGGTATACCTATACCTTCGACAAAAAACAAAAGTTCGACTCGTAGTTTTTTCTGAAGTAGTCAATAAAAAAATGGATAAACATCGGGGAAGAGGGACATTATCTCGGTAGCGGTATATCATTATACTCCTCGGTGTTGACCTTGCATTATCGATCGATTCAGTGTCGGCTCGCTGCGAACTTAGCGCACATTATGCGAGTCGGTGTGTACGTACGTGTGTGTGTGTGTGTGTGTGCTCCAAAGAGATGATATCATCGTGCGCTGCACTCCATATAGTAAACGAGAGGCGCTCGCTCGCACGCGTTTACGACTCTCGGGGCTTGTTTTTCGAAAACACAAGATCGTTCATCATGCGCGCACAATGCACAGCAAGCGTGTGTATATGAGTGTATGTGTGGGATGTAGGGCGATCTCGCAAATGTATATAGTTGAATTGGCTTATGGATCATCTAAGAAAGAGAGAAAAGAGATCGGAATTATACCGAATCAAAAATGATTAACTGCAGATGCGCGCACACGTAAAAGCTCGCTGCGGCAAGGCTATTGCTCGATATCTTTGAGAGAACGAAATGCATTTTTCTCATCACGTTCCACCGCCGCAATTCGCAGACGCGCTCCTACACAGTTCGCTCCATTTTTCCAAAGAGTCGTATATAACGCGAGTCGTAAGTTTCTCGGCACGCGTCTTTCGTGTAAATAGGATTTGATTTACGGCTATACTGCTGGACCAGCGGCGGCGCGCGAACGAATTATCATAACCGATGTTATTTATAAAATCATATCGTGAAAGCAGCCTGCGAGCTTTTTGCGTGAAAAAATTCACATCATAATAATAATGATGATTAAAACTCGGAACGCGAGCGCGAGTCGGGACGCGCGCGAACGTATATTTTTTTTGGAAGATATAAACTCGACCTTGCACGTGAATGCGCGTATATATATTTCGTGCTCGTGTGGCAATGGGGAAGAAGTCTCGAAAGCTCGCGCGTTCCAATATCAATTTTGAAAGCTCGTGTCTTTCTCGAGCGAGCGAGAACAAGCCGTGCACGATTTTACCGCACGCCGTATGCGTTTCGTTTATATACATAACGAAACGAAAATCAGACACAATTCCGTAGTTATTTTATACAAATTGCCACTGGCAGTCGTTTTCGCGATTTCGCTTGTTTCGCTTTTTTTGCACATTTCTTTTGTTTTTTCGTACCTCTATTCGAGTGAAAAAAATACTATTTGTATTATAATCTCCAATCCGGCCGGGGCTTTGTTCGGTAACCCAATAAGCATGCTCGAGTGTCGTTGCCGCATATAAATTTATTAATCGTCGACGGCCGTGTGGTTATCGCAGAGAATGAAGAAAAAATCAATCGATGCTCTCTGGTTGAAGCAATTAATGAGCGCCGCGCTCGAGAGCACGAGATGCTCGAGAGAGAAGAATGAAGAAAGTGAGTTTCGCGTTGAGACGATCGAGTGGCTTTCGATATTTTTGAGTAACCTACATTTGCGCGCGCGCTGTGGGCATTTCTGCATGTAAATGTATATGCACGTGCATATGTGAATCGTGCGTGTGTGGCGAATTTCCCGGCGCACCCAGTGTGGCTGCCGCCACAGCAGCTTCGCGCTCGCAAGCATGAGGCGCGAGCGAGGGATATATCTCTCTTGAAAACGTGCTAACCGGAGCAAGGTCAGCGGCAGCAGCCGACGCTTCTGTTCACACATACACAAGAACGCCGCGAGAGTATCATCAGGTGCAGCAACGGTGGCTACGCTTCTCACTGTTGCGGTTGTCGCACTCTCTCTTTCTCTCTCTCTCTCTTTCTTTCCTCTTCGCTGCTCTTTTTCCGTCTAATTCTCGTTCTATTGTGATTCGCTGCATAGATATACGGGCGCGCGCCACGAGCTGCCTCGCGAGAAAAGGTTTCGTATGCTAGCTTGGCGTAAAATTTTTGCTACATTCGCGATATTGAACATCGTTGAAGAGAAGTAATGATGACATCGATGCCCGAGCCGAATAATTCAAAACGTGCCCCATCTCGTACGTGCGAAGAGCAATAATACGCCGCTAATGTCGATTCGACATTGCACTTTTTTCTCTATGATACTTTTATAACGAATAAATGGGAACAATCCTTAAACGTGTGCCACTCACAAAGTAGTTCACGTTGTCGAGATTTTTCGCTTTCAAGCTCTTGACGATCTTGAATAGCGAACGGATACATTTTAAGGAAGACAAAGTACATTTCATTTTTTCAGTTCAATCGATGCTATTGTTTTTATAAATGTTCTCGCAGCATGAATATCTACCAAACTAATCGGGTTCATACAACTGCTACGGCACAATATAACAACCACAAAAGCTTTCTTTAATTAGCATGCTCGCTTATAATTATAATAGCTATTATTTTGTTTCACTATGGTTTGTAAAAGGTTATTATGATTTTTTTAATTTTAATAGATTTGCATATGTCAATTTGTCGTTCGCAAGTCGATTCGTAACAATAAGCATGAATTAGTAATTATGTGCCTGAACCCCCGGGCAAAGCTCCAAACCTTCACCGCAACCAGCATGACTCCAGCACGTGTGTAGCGCGCGTGCGCGCATTAACAGCATTCACATGTAGAAATTGTGCAATGATTCATCAGCTAGACTAATCGTTGCGAAATGTGTTACATCGAAACTTGATTTAGCGGCTCGTGCTACGAGGGTCAATGGCAGAACGGCAAGCGCCACGGCATCGGTCTGGAGAGACGAGGCCGCTGGATTTACCGGGGCGAGTGGCACCAGGGCTTCAAGGGCCGCTACGGCGTGCGCATGTCGGAATCGTCGCACGCCAAGTACGAGGGCACCTGGTCCAACGGCCTTCAGGATGGCTACGGTAGCGAGACCTACGGCGACAGTGGTAGGCATTTAGTAACTAGATGTACAACAATTTTTTTTCTGTTTAATTGAGGATAAACAACACAAATAGTTTTTAATTATAAACATGGGGGTGTCCTATATTACTCGAGCTAAACATAATACAATCACATGTGTTGACGTCCAACACGCGAGTTGATTTTCATACGTGCGTCTTGCAACAACGAGCAGATTTACGTCGTACTATTTAAAATAGAAACCAATATATGGGTTTACACATGACTTACTGCGAGCTTATGATTGAACGAAGCTGTGATAGAATGATATACCATCGCTTGATAAAAACTGTTCTTGCGTATTATCGGAAGATCGATTAAAATCGTATATAAAAACTGACCAAGTATCCTCGTCACCAATTCTTTTTCTTTTATAAAGTTTTGTAGTTCAATAAAGCAACGACTACAAGACAAAACCTATTATTTTCTCTTCGTTAATGAAACTATTTTCGAATAGCCAGAGTATTTTCACATATATTCTTCGAATCCGCGATATATAAGCCCACGCGAACGATGCACAATACAAAGTTTCGTCTTTGACGCGTATTCATACTCTCGGATATATAAATTAATGGGCAAGCAGCTACTGCAACGTACGTGAAACGTAAAATTGTGTATATAGACTGCGGCATTTTGGCGAGTCAAAACGAGAGAGATCATGCTGCTTTATGTGTGTGCTACTTTGGCCCCCCAGACGCGCCGGCCAGTGCCGACAGATAATGCTCATATACTACGAAGATTAATTCGATCGAATACACGACTGCGGTATTATACATATATACCGAGGAATAACAAAAGACTCGAGAGATGGGATTCTAAAGCGAGAGGTATTAATTTTTTTGCTCGGACTCTGCAAGCTCGATGCTTTCGATGCGACTCGCGTCGTCAGAGAATAGAATGTCTGTTATGCACAGATCTTTTATGCATTTGAACAAATATTTAGCCCGTCCTCCCTATAACCTTCCCCCAAAAAACAGCTTTGTTTTTAAGAACAATTCAATTGTGAATATGGCGCGTGAAAAATGTCATCTTAATCGAATGATGATACTCAACTTCATGCACGTGCATGACATATATGTTGAAATGTAATATATATTTACAGAAAATATCCGCTGCGAGCCATATTCATTATATTGCAAGCATGGCCGCGTAGATGAGTACGTAGGCGCCAGCTAGTCGTCGTTGCGTCGTCTGCAGCGTCGCGCGAGTCTCGTACTTTTACTACTGACCCCGCATTGGCGCGATCGCTCAGAACATAACGCGCGAAAAATTTCGAATCTCTCTCTCTCTTTCTATTCTTCTCGTTGCATCGCAAAAAATGTGTTATATGTGTGTGCGTGTGTGTGCGAAAGATCATAAAAATGGGAACACGAAACTATGTCCCTTTCGATCAACGAGATGAATAAGCTTGCACGAGCTTGCGCGTGCCAGAAAACTCGAGCTCGTGCTCTTGCTTTTTTCTTTCTTTTTGTGCAACAAAAACTATGTCCGTGTGTGTGTGTGTGTGTGTGTGTGTGTGTGTGTGTGTGTGAGCGTGCATATGTAAGGCAGCATAGCGCGTACCGAACGTATTGCGTTTACGCTGCGACAAATATAGATATGTAACGATTATACAACGACCGTACGGACGTCGTGTACTGCCCTATGCACGCGCAAAAAGTGTATAAACGCATGTTCGAGCGAACGGAGCGAATATACACTGGCCATTGAGTGTAGTTGTTATAAAAAAAAAAAAAACAAATCAAGAAAAAAAGGGAAGCGCGACGAGATAGAAAAATATCGTACCGCGATCGTATCCATCGTACTGGCACGCGCGTGAGCTTAAAATCTCGTCCGTCTCTACCGCTCGTGTGCATACTGCTCTGTTACATACTGTGGAGAGCTTTACTGCAAAGCGCATGGTTTAATCAAAAAATTATTATTATTATTCGTTGGACTCTTGGCTATACAAACAATAAACATCAACGTGTATGTTAGATAAACAAAATAAAAAAAAGAAAACGAAATCTCTGCAACGCAACGAACAACAAAAAAAGGCAGCAGGATAATTTACAAATTATCCTGGACTCTAATGTTAGATCCAGTCTTATGTTTAGCGTGTAGAAGCTACATGTAGGCTATATCGCCGTTGCTTATGAGTAAAAACGCAGTGAAAAACGCTATGAAAAAAAACCTTTTTATAAAATCCTCATTGAAACGCCATGAGGTGTGTTTTTTCACAGCGTTTCAATAAGATGTGTTTTTCTTCACGGCATCCAACGAGGTGTGTTTTTTTTCACGGTATTTCGTTAAAGTGAGTTTTTACTGATAAGCAGCTGTGATATACAGGAAGTATACGAGTTTCCAATTTTTCTTTAATTTTTATCAAATCAAGGCGAGTCAGAAAATTCGAGAAATTTTACTTTTTTGAGAATTTCAACTTATAAGACTGCGCTATCATGTAATCATTTAAAATTTATATTTTTTATATGGATATAGACTATTTTGCTTATTAATAGAAAAATAGTAACTCATTTATTCAATTTATTGAATCGGAAAATCTATAATTAAATAATAGAATGACATACGAAAATATTGTATCACTATTACGAGCTTCGACGAGAAGCTGCGCCAAGCAAATGTGATATAAATTTGATATAATTTGATATCCAGTGACGGGTCAAGCTCCAAGAAAAAATCCAGTATCCATCGACGGAAAAATCTCCTTTACACTTCCTGGCACAGATACAGAGTACAAAACTTAATATGCCTACTAGAGGTCTAAAAACTATTGGTGACCGCAACCTTGTAGAAGTCCGTATTTGTAAATTGTCCGCCCGCCTTTTCGGTCGAAAAAGGATCATGTCGTAGAAGGAAATATTTGGGTTCATCATTATTTTTTCGGATGTATATCGCAAACCCTTCGAGATTACGCTCAGTCGTGTATTAGAAAAAGCAACGACCCCATGTAGAAAACATTTTTTGGTCAAAATTAACTTATTAATTTCCAGGTTAGTTTTTTTAATAAGAAAATATTTTTATTACCAGCCACATCTATTTTAGCATCCGTCTTTCAGAAAATTCATCAAAATCTTCCAAATACCAAAGAATTTACGGTTAGTAGTAATAAACAGTTCACGAAATTTCATGAAGTTTAACAATTAAGCACTTCCACGTAAGTGAATGAAGATGTAATGATAGTTAAACGCCCGAAATTCAGGAGATATATAATCGCGTTGACAACATTTTTATTGAAATTTTAGAAAAACATAGATATAAGTATCTATATACATATTAAAAATTATCAATCTCGCATTTATCTCTAGTAATAACTTTGAGCCCTTCATAGGTGGTTTTTTGATGGTTGAGCAAATTCCATTTTAGTCCAAATTTTTATTTGGTGGTTCAACAAATGTGATTTATTTCCACATTTCTTCTGACACTTGTCGTATTCATAATCTTTGCGTCCTTCGTGGACTGTTCGTTGATGGTAGAGCAAATTATTTTTTTGTCCGAATTTCCTTTCGCACTTGTTACATGCGTGGTCAAAAGTGAGGTTTATACAAAGTTCAGTATCAAACTTAAAATTTGTCTCGTGCACAGCTCCATAAAAAACGTGAAAAAATAACTTTGGGATGATCTAATCATTCCATAAATAGCTGCGACAAACAAGTAGCAAAGATTTTACAGAGAGTTGTAATTAAAAGTTTGCGAAATTTTGATTTAATACCAAAGTACACCACCATGAAAGTGAACAAAGGTGCAATGATAGTTGAACGCCCTAAGTTCAGATAATATACAATCATTTCGGCATAATTTTTATTGAGATTTTAGAAAAACATATGTAAAAGCAACTAAACATATTTACAATTGTAAATCAGCATTTACTATCGCAATTGTTATGAGCATAATCTTTGCGGCCTTCGTGAACAGTCTTTTGATGTCTTTTCAAATTGCTTTGATTCCCAAATTTCCTTTCGCACTTGTTGCATACGTAATCTTTGCGACCTTCGTGGATTGTTTGTTGGTGATAAAACAAACTTGTTTTTTGTTTAAATTTTTTCTCGCACTTGTTACATGCGAAATCTTTACGCCCTTCGTGGATTGTCCTTTGGTGAAAAATCAAACACGATTTTCGTCCAAATTTCTGCTCGCAATTGTCACATGCATAATCTTTACGACCTTCGTGAACGGTTTTTTGGTGGAGGAGCAATCCTGATTTTAATCCGAAATTTCTCTTGCACTCATCACAAGCATAATCTTTGCGACCTCCGTGTACTGTTCTTTGGTGGTACAACAAATGTGATTTATTTCCACATTTTTTCTCACACTTGTCGCATTCAAAGTCATCGCAATCTTCGTGAACGGTTTTTTGGTGGTAGAGCAAATTTTTTTTTGTCCCAAATACTTTCTCGCATTTATTGCATGCATAATCTTTGCGACCATTATGTTGAGTCTTTTTGTGCGCAATCAAAGACGATTTGTGTCTTAATTTCTTCCCGCACTTATCACATGCAAAATCAATACGACCATCGTGAACCGTCTTTTGGTGTACGAGCAAATTCGATTTTTTTCCAAATACCTTCTCGCATTTATCGCATGCATAATTTTTGCAACCCTCATGGACTGTCTTTTTATGAAGAAGCAAAACCCCTTTATGTCCAAACTTTTTTTCGCACTTGTCGCATGCGTAATCTTTGCGACCCTCGTGGACTGTTGTTATGTGCACGAGCAAACCATGTTCATTTCCGAATATCTTCTCACACTTGTGGCATTCGAAATTTTTGCAACGCTCATGGACCGTCTTTATATGCACGAGTAAACTCTGTTTATTTACAAATCTCTTGGCGCACTTTTCACATAGGTAATTTTTAAAAACTTCGTGAAATATTTTGTTGTGCTTAAGTAAAGTTGATTTATTTTCAAATTTCCTTTCACACTTTTGGCACGTGAAATCTTTGCGATCTTTGTGTACTAATTTTTGGTGAGTACACAAAGTCGATTTTTTCACAAATTTCTTCTTGCACCTGTCCCATGCAAAATCTTCGCAGTTTTTGTGTTCTGATATTTGGTGTCTACTCAAGTGACTTCGGAACTCGAATTTGTTTTCACACTTGTCGCATGCGTAATTTTTCTGATTATTATGAATTGTGACTCGATGTGTTATCATACTTGATTCAAGTGTAAATACCTCCTGGCAAATATTACAAACGTATTGTTTGTCGTCTGAATCGACAATTTCGTGTTCACTTAAATTATTTTCCGTGGCAAATTTTTCGGATTTCTCCTCACTATCACTCATTTCGTTGTAATTATGAATCCTTTTATTTCGTGCTACAGAAATTGAATGAGTAAAATTTATTTTTTCGTTTTGTGACTTGTTTCATTCGGAACGACAACACTTAAACTAATTTGTTTTTATTGTAAACATAATAATCCTAATCATGGAGTCAAAATTGAAACAATCACATTGTTTACAAATTAAAGTACCGATTTATCTGTTTATAAATTATCCTAATAATATTTGAGATAATTTAAATTTCTAATTTGGCGACGATTCCTTCGACGAAATTTTCGGCCTTCTAAATGTAGGTACTTTAAAAAAAACTTACTACTGACAACATAGAATTCATAATTCATTTACCGTACTCTATAACCCGCCACTGACTACACTAGTGCTAAACAAAATCCACCACCTCCTGACATAATTCGAGCTCTGTTGAAACTTTTATAAGCGTCGAGAGAAAGAGATGCACAAGGCTACAGATACGTTGCAATCAGTAAAGGTGATAAATATCGTGCGTAAATGAGAAAAATGAGATCCAAAAATTATTGCAGGTTTCTCTTCAAATATTACCTTTAATGGTGAAAATACAGCTGTCTCTCGTAATAAAGTGGTGGTTAATTGTTCCAATCGATCATTTAGAACAATTAGAGCAAATATAAAGTTGGGGCCTGGATCATTTTTTTATTTAGTTAATTTGGGATAATAAAAAAGAAAACTTTTCTTGATCAATTTCTGTAAACTGTATATTTCTCGATTTGTAATAGATTTTAACTGATAAAACAGTACTTTTTTCATTTTCAATCACGTGTAACAATAAAAAAAAACAATAAAAAATGTTTTCAACTTTATCAGTATGTTTTATTCAACTTTAAACATTGCATCTATATTTAATATTTTTTCCGAGTTCTCTAGCTTAAAATTAACGTAACCACACAATTAATTTTTAGCGATATCGTGTGCAACGCGCTTAGCTAAATAGGTTTACTGCTTCCAAGGCACGACAATGCTTATAAGTAAGCAATTGCTCAAAAATAATTGTGTGGTAGCATTGCTTTATCATTGGAAACCTCGGAAAAACTAACAATACTCGATACGCACAAGTGTACACTCGTACATAGCAGAGGTGCAGATACACCGAAAATATACGGCCAATTCTCCATACAACTATATAGTGGCTAAGCGCGAGCGATCTACTGCAGCTGCGAGAAAGAGATGCAAACGAGCGCACTAAGCTGTAACAGGCAGTATAGCACGCGGGGCAACAACATCTTATACTACTTTAGCGCTATTTCAAGCAGATTTGCTGTTAAATACACGCGCGCCTGTGCGCGACTGCTATACAGACGAGTCAAGAGTTTGAGTTTTAAACTATTGTAATGGATTATATGTTCGATGTTTTCGGCAACAAAAAAAGTTAAGATTTTCAAATTTCACGACCCACGAAGAAATGATAAACATTAATAATGACCTAATAAACGAAAGATTACCGTTTTAAACGTTTTAAAATACATTCCCTTATTAAATGACCTAAAAATGACAATTTCATTGACTCAAATATTGAAATCAATGCTCAAACACTCTGAATATAATAATAATATTTTAAATCTCCACCACTAGATGGCGAGTGTCTCTACTACTGTAAATCTGCAAGTGGTAAAGTCAAAATAATTGTATACATCTAAGCGCGGTTCTATTAAAAAAAAAACTTTGTGAAAGTGCAAAATCCCAGGGTTACAAGTGTCAAAGCTTATTATTTCAGTTGTAACATACCTTTATCCGTTGCACAGTGCACCTTGATCTTTGGATTTAAATATTTATTTCTGGGCGTTGCAAAAACAAATGAAATGATTAAAATATTATCTCCTTTTATCTAAACACTCGTGAAATTCTTCATCTCTTTTCTTTCAACCCCTCGTTTGCTTCGAATTTATTTCTGAAAAAAGGAAAAAATCTAAAATGAATGTAAAAAATAATACTTTGTCGGCTAGGTGCTACCGCACCTCTTGATATCACTGAAAAAATAAAAGATGTATAAATAAGTTAGAAAATGTTTGCTTGTACTTGGTACAGAAATAATGATACCTTTACTTTATTCAAATATGAATGTAAAATACAAAAATCGTTCTCATCGCTCGAAAGAGCTCGCAGACGCGGAATACGATGCAATTATAATTTCAATGATACTTACATCATTAGTGTATAAGAATTTGCCCGCTAGTTATAACGCTTACGGGCTTGATGAACGAATCAAGATGTTTATACAAAACTGGGCTGCAATAACACGTTTATACGCTCATCTGTAAAAATATTCAATCAATATAAACCAATGTAATATGTGTTTTTTTCTTCAATAAAATTTGAAACGTAAATTACTGAGCTCAAAGAAAATTATTATAATAAATATAAAGGCTCAATATTAACAATGACATAATAATCAAAAAATGACAATTGACTATCATAACACTTTGAGTCTCCACAACTAGATGAAAAGTACGTTTATTCGTAAATCTATAAATGACAAAGTAAAATTGACTGCACGAGCGAAAACAGTGAAGAAAAATTGTATGAATAATATTTCTATTAAAGTTTTACAAAAGGTTAATTATTTTTCGAAAAAGCTAAAATTCCGTAATTTTAAATCGTTCAACTTGGTTGCAGGGACGTATCAAGGACAATGGTCGAGGGGCATGCGCCACGGTTACGGCGTACGAACGAGCGCGCCGTTCGGCATCGCGTCGTACATCAAGCCGGAGAGTAAGGGGGTCCGGGCGTCGCTGTCGTCCCTGAGGAGCAACGAGGCACCTGCACCTCCGGGCATGGCCCCGACGCCCGAACCCACCGATCGCCGCGACAGGCGCGTCAACGAGAACAGAGGAGGCTTCGTGCTCAAAGCGAGAAGCGACGCGCCTCCATCGAGGCGCGCCAGCCTCACCGAGAAGGGGCCGAAGAGGGGCTTTCTCGCTGTAAGTACAGGACGAAACTCCAAACGCTTTTGAGATTGCGTCAATAACGTTAAGGATTAATTTCCGGATTCTAATGAGTCTGATGTGCTAATTCGATGTTGCAGGGCTTGCGTATGCGTAAGCAAAGGAGCACGGGAGATCTTGAAAAGCGTGGCACGGCAGGCAGTATCCGGAGCAATGCGAGCACCGTGTCGTGGATGTCGACCGAGAGCTCGCAGAGCCAGGCTTCCGCCTCGATGCACACCGACAGCAACGCCTCCTTTGTTGTCGAGGTTCGTTAACATAACTCTCCTTTTAAAAATAATCGCAAAAATCAATCAAAATATAATCTCTCACTGACATTTGCCTCTCATTTTGCAGGACGAGCTGTTAGATCCAGCCGTAACCGAGACGTACCTCGGCGAGTGGAAAAACGACAAGCGCACGGGCTACGGAATCTCGGAGCGCAGCGACGGGCTGCGCTACGAGGGCGAGTGGTTCAACAATCAGAAATACGGCTTCGGCGTGACGACCTTCCGCGACGGCAGCAAGGAGGAAGGTAAATACAAGCACAATATTCTCGTTTCCAGTCAGAAGAAGAAGAATCTCTTCTACATGCGCTCGGCCAAGTTCCGTGAGAAGATCGACCAGGCCGTGCAGCAGGCGAATCGGGCGAGCAAGATCGCCCTGCAGAAGGCCGACATAGCCGTGACGCGAACCGCCGTGGCCCGTGGCAAGTCCGAGACGGCCGAGATGGCCGCCGAGGCGGCCCGCGAAGACTCGGAAATAGCCATCGCCACGGCCAAGCAGTTCGCGCCGGACTTTAAGCAGCCCGATTTCGAAAGGTACATATTATTATATCTATACACTACAACTATAGCGCACGACCACGACACGCGTGAAAAAGAAATAAAGAATTCCCACTAGCGAGTTTTTTATTGACTGCAAATGAGTCATTTTCCGCCACCAGAGTGAAAGAGTCATCAGTGCCAAAATATACCCCACCAGCCTCGGTGGCTGGTAGCCGTAGCGTACAGAGGAGGCCGAGCGTCGATCATCAAAACAGTATGACACCGATGAGGCAGCAGACGCCACAACCGCAACAGCAGCAACAGTTGCCGTCCGGCCCGTCGGACAACGAAACGAATCCAACCCTGCAGCAGCAGCAGCAGCAGCAGCAGCAGCAGCAGATGCAGAGCCTGATGAATCGACGCGCGAGCGGCAAGCCACTGCCCCAGCACACGCTCGAGCTCGAGATGATGCAGGCCGAGCAGATGCAAGCCCAGATGCAGGCCCAGATGACGTCGCAGCCGGGGACGCCGTCGAATCCGCCCAGCGAGAGCGCCTACATGTACGGCACTGGCCCTCGAGGGATGCCGGATCAGTTTATCAACAACAAGCAGCAGCCGTTCAAGCCGATGAGCGTTAACGATCTGTTCAAGGTGCCGTTCAATCAGTTCCCGATACACGAGCCGACGCAGTACATCAACGAGTCCCAGGTCAATTCGTTCGGCATCGATCTGCGACATCAGTATCAGAGCCAAGGCTATCAGAATCATCAGGTACGACGTTTCCAGATCAATTATCATCGATCATTATTATTTTCCGCAGTTATTCTTTTCTCTTTTGCTCATGTTCTTTTTAAGATGCGATTATGACGGAAAACCCGATACTCAATACAAAAGTTACAATTTATGCGCAGGTGACGTGGAAAAAGTTATATGATATAACTTATATCATTACATAGAAGGAATCATATTTTTTCTTTCTCTCTCAATTATAATTTACTCAAAGGATGTATTGTTTTTGTGTTCTCTCATTTTCTCTTTTATAGATGTATATGCAACAACAGTCACCCCAAACTTCGTACAGTCCAATGTCCTTAAGCCAAATGAGTCTTTATGGAGCACAGCCCTACGGTGTAAGCGGCCCGTATATTGTTTTGACGTGTCGTAAAAAAATGCTACTAAAATCAAATAGATATAGATTCACGTTATAAGATTCTTTCTGACATCCCAATCCTGAGCCACCCCTCTTTCTCAATTTAACAGTGACTTATTTACTTTACTCAAACTCTCTTGGCACACATCTTGTAACCGACGTGGAAGACGTTAGGTGTTTGTTTCTTCATTTTTTCCCATTTAAAGCTTGCGAGTTTCTTAGTTCTTAGAATGCGGAAGACAATTTGCAAATAGAACCACGTAACATCAAGTAATAAATAATAATGCGGAGGAATTTTCTTCGACTCGATTTTCAGCAACAGATGGCGAATCAATACGGCTACGGACCGATGATGAACCAGCAGAATCAGTACGGTAACACGATGCACCAGCCTAACGCCTACGCTCAGAACCATCAGATGCCTGACCAGCAATATCAAGCGAACCAGCAGCAAGCACAACCGGGTGGCACAATCAATCAACGAAGAACCAGTCGAGTGCTGACTCCTACGGAGAGCACCGACACGGGTGTCAAGCAAACCCTCTCTGACAGGTTCGTCCCGGCAGAAGTTTATTTATTTACATGATTAATTACGCACGGCATTGGAAAAGCTTATTCGTTATTTCGATGGATTTTCAGATTGGATCATTACAAGAAACCCCCGAGTCGAGACAATTCAGTTGATAGATACAGACGGCATCCGCTCATAAGCTCATCGAGGCAAGCGTCTATGGACCAAATGCCATCGTCACCGACTCCTGATATTCCAGACAAGTAAGTGATACAATTAAATAACTAATTATTTCGTCGCGAAAATTTTGGGTCTCACTGAAATTCGTCTTTTGCATTTTCACAACAGTAGGTCGATGAGGGGCTCCAGCGTCCTAAGGTCGCCCACACCACTGAACGGCTCCGTGGTTATGAACAGCGGCAACGCGTCCTATCCTGCCTCACAAATCGGTCAGTTCGAGGATGTTCTGCTGAGAAATAAAAACCTTGGACAGGAAATATTGCCCAGTTTGGGTCAACCTAAACGAACTGAAAGTTTATATGTCACTCCAGGTAGAGGAGGTAGTGGTATTGCCACCGGTGGTGGTAGTGGTATTGGTAGTGGTGGTGGTGGTGGTAGCAAACCGAAACCAACCATCGGCGGAGCTGGCCGAGGCAGTGGTAGTGGCGCTGCTGGTGGAGGTGGCGGCGGCGGCGGCGGTGGTGGTGCAGTCAGAAAGGTAAGACTTTACGTTTTAATGGTGTTCTTTGAAAAATATTTTACAATTTTATTAACGACCTTTTGGTTCAAAATGAAACAAATGATTAAAGCATAGGGCCAAAACGAATATGAATAACCAAATTATGATTGTAATAAATAAAACATCAAAAAAGCTGCACACAAAGTACACACTTAACATTATTTTATTGCAGTATGTTATTTTATAGCTTTGCTGAAAATTAGTCAATATTATTAATATACTATTTTTGCATGACGCCAAAAATTGATACTTACAGAGCTGTATAGTCTTATTGTAAATTTCAACTTAATTTAGAATTAGAAATAGTTAAGATGATAAGAGCTTAGAAATATTTTACGAAATTGTAATTGTAAAAAATATTCTTCTAGAGATAACCTTTTAAAAATCTATTGAAACATGAAAGTTTGAATTCTATTGCTTCAAAATATAGCATTAGTTTATTACAAATATAAGCTAACCTCTAATTATAACAATAGACTTTAGTTTAGAAATAATGATTAACAATCCGATTTTCATACAATTTTTTGATGTCTAGATCTATTTTGATAAAAGTTTAACCAGCAGATACCCCATTATAGAGAAAAATTATGTATAGTCCAATTTTTTCCCTCGATACTTTTTAATAGCTATAATCCTTTTTTGCAAATTTATTATTTGACTGTCTGTAACTGTTTTGGTATTTGTACTTGTGTTTTGTGCATGCCGACACCGCAGGATGCGAGCCAGACGGCCCTCGCCTTCGAAGAAACAACTAATGGTCCCGCTACCCTCAAAGTATAAGTATCCTCAGTCATTACAATCTATCACAGTTTGTATGATAAACGTTATGATGAGGATTGACGGCTTATGAGAATAATTCAATTACATATATACTATTTATATATTAGTGTTTATGCTTTTATAGAAACAAAATTTTGTATGAGACATTTTCATAATTGTTATTTGTCCATTTTGCTTTGGTCAATCACTGCATACACTGGGCGGTCAATGGTTTTATAGTTAAAAGAGTTTTTTTAAATATAGCTTTTTCAGCTTTATTTATATCTTATAGCTGAATATAAAAGCATGAAAAATAAATGGCTCTAGGTAAGGATTTCTTCCCTAATAAAACACGATATTATTGTCGTGCATAGATAGAATTTATGTTAGGTAGCTATCAAATAAATATTCTATTTCTAAAATTGAAACATGCTATTAATCAATTGTTTGAGAGCTTATTGTCGATTAGATAAAGTTAGTATTTAATAACTTTGACTAAAATGAAACTAGATGTTGAGTAGATATAAATTAATGAAATTAATGTTTGATGGACAGGACAGCTTTTTATCGTAATTATAGTATATCCGACAGGTTTGATAATTCACTTCATAAACTAAAAATGAGATTTGTCAAAAATAAAATATACTAATATTTGAAAGAACAATAATAGTGGCTGCAAAGTCAAACGTTCCTATAGCCTATCATAATAAATAGCAAATATTGAATTCCTATTCTACACTGTAGGCGCTCGTTCATTATGCGAAAGTTCTATTTTTAAAAAGATCGTTGAATTAATGAGCAAATATTTTTATCAACTCGAGATTATAAAGGGTCGAATAATGACGTCATATTGAAAATGTTATTTAGAGTCATTTACAGTATTTTAAAAAATAATCACAACAGTGATTTGTACTCAATACAAGATAGAAAATTTCCAATTGTTATTTCTATTCGCTTCAATAAAATAAATGTGAATTGAGCGTTTTAGAATTAAAACTATATAAAAATATAACAATGTTCGATGTACAAAGTATCTTACAACGATAAAACAAGAACATTTTAGATTTCTTTTACGTGTATCTTATGACATTTTTATTGTGAATATTTTGATATAAATTGTCATGGACACCATTTTGTTGATGCATAAGCTATAAAGTATGCATTTGTGGGTTTTCACGCTTTGTGTAGAGGCGGGGACCAGAACAACAAATTTTTCTAAAGTTGTGTAACGCATGATTAAAATATTAAATTTTAACTTTGTGTACATTTTTTTTTATCAATTTACAATTCTGATTTGCAGTAAATATTAAAGACATTATTTGCTTTTTACAGAGATATTTTTTTTTTTTGCATGATATGTATGAACAAAAAAGTATGTCCACCTCCACACGAAATCCTGTAATGATTTAATTTTTTATATTAAATTTTTTACGCATGTCCAATTCACTGTTAATAAATACCTAACAAACAGTGAATCTATCAATGTTAAAACTAATTTATTGTAAGATAAACTCACGATTGCAGATATGTATATTTCTCAATATAAACTTGAAAATGAATTGAAATTTGGGAATTTAAAAACAACCAATTATCTTGATTAAAGAATAATTTTTAAATTATTCAGCGATTTCCAAGTTTGAAAACTCGGAGTTGAAAAAATATTTAGGCATTCCGCAAGATTGTTCATTCGAACACATTTAGAAACTAAATCTTCAGGAAAATTTCTGACATTTTTTCCGAAAAAACATGATTTTAAGTTAAACATTGGTTTAGACCGCAAATTTTATTTTTATTCGTCAGAAAAAATATTCGATTTATTAATGTTGAAGCATTGATGCGCCATAAAAGGACGACCTAAAAATATTTTAGTTATATCTTTTATACAAAAAATTCCTATTATCCTACGTTAACATTTTTTTTTGAAAATTGTGAACTCACCACATTATGAATGTTAACAAAACAATAAAAATATCTAATTGCGGCCAAATTATAGAAGTTAAATTCTACACGTATAAGAATAAGAATTATAGTAAAAATGATTAGTTAGTTCGACGTAACTCGTGATTGATACGAAGAGGAAAATGAAGTAGGTTTTTTGGATAAATATAAACAAGTGCCAAGCCATGTAAAGTGTCTTTATTCTTGAAGAAGAAACATACTAAGATAGGATAATTTTTTCGAACGAGATATTCCAAAATATTGTTTGAATCGTAAAGTGTTTTGTTGTCGAAAAAATAAATATTCAAACATATTTTTGGGCTTGAGACTATACAAACATTTTCATACATTATTATATATCATAATAAAAAAATACGGAATTTATTTAAAAGTAAGCTCAAGAAAATGATAAGCCCAAAAAATCACATTTAAATAATAGTATATTTTGTAACAAGTGCGCGAAGCAGTTGACTCACCCAGGAGTTGTTTTCACCCGAGCGTAGCGAGGGTGCAAAGACTCCTGGGTGAGTCAACTTCCTCGCGGACTAGTTGCAAACGATATTTTTTAACTCTGCTTGCGAGAAACTAGGGTTTTCTGACGCTTTAAGGTTAGAAAGCCCGTGTTTCGCGCACGCAGTGTTAAAAAATATATACTACATGTGAACTTTATAAATGGTAAAAAAATGTGTCGTATAAAAATAAATATACCGTTTCACAAGTAAGAGAAATATCGATCAGATACTAAATTGATGTATACTTCGATACTTGTGAAAAATATATGTAATAATTAGATTTTTAGCTTGAATAGTTTAGCGAGGCCTACTATGTTTTTTTGTGATAAACAAGTGATTAACTAATGACTTGCCAAGTGTGCGATGTTTTAATGATAATTTTTCGTCATATAAAAGTATGTTTTTTACAATTATTATACATATTACTTTTTCAATATCAGGGTAAAATAAAACGCATATTAAAATAATAATGTTATACATCTGTCTTCTCTTTGTAAATATCGTATTTACTGTTCACTTTGGAATCAAAAAGCTCATGAACGTTTTTAAAACTTGTTGAATTTTCACCCCAAGTTTTTTGCTTTCTTCATCGATTTATTTTCAATTACTCGAAACAATGCATTCAATGATCTAAAAATTTTTACAAATGATCGGCTAGTCTCTTAGATTCTTGGTAAACTCGTGCCAACATTTTAAACTAAGATATTACGCGTTCAGCGACATGCATAGTTGAATAATACTTGAGTCACTAAATTATTATTTTCACGATTTCGTCTCAGATAAATATTTGAAAAATGCGAGCAGCCCAGAAATGTGTATTATTGTTTCATCACCGCTGTCACGCGAATCAAGGCTTATTGGGAAAATTCTTATGCATTTCAAGTTCATATACAAAATCGTTTCATAGTGGTATACGGTATCATACAGTTTCTTCTTAATTTGTCCTTCAATTTCTTGGCGAAAACTGAACTATCTCTTAAAAATCCTTGAATTTACTTCCTCAACTTAATACTCTCGAAAAAACCTCTAACAATAAGCTTCTCGAACCGCTTCATCAAATATTGACATCGTGTTCCAAAATTTTCTTCTCGTATCATATACTGTCTACACCCCCAGAACTGATTATTCCGATGGACTGCGATTATGCACAAAAAAGGGTATCTACTTGCGTTTCATACCCCAATGACACACGCGCGCAGGTAAAAAGACACGCAAGTGGGGATAGTTTGTGCTCATGTTGCGACCATCGCTCTATTTCTGTCGAGCGCTTCAGTCTATCGTTTAGCCTCTGCTCGTGTCATCATATTTTTACTTGAAGCAAAGTTTAAAAATTCCCCCACCTTAGTGAAAAAAGCAAGCATTTTTTCCAAAATAGAGCACTGTGATAAAAATAACTAAAAGCAAAAGTTATTCCAAATCAATCTAGCTCTTTGAGCAATAATCTTATTTAAAAAACTCCATTTTGTCACATAGTTATTTAGTGTTGAGTGTGAATTGATCAGATTAACGTGAAAATGTTTTGGCCAGTCGAGCCAGACGAGGATGAAGAAGCACTCCTCAGCAGTCCTGCTCTCATGTCCAGGAGAGCTTCAGAATCGTGGATCGACACACCACCTGTTGAGGTACACAAGAGAATACTCTGAATATCGGTTCGAACAAAAAAAATGTATCTACTATCGTTCAATTCATTCTCTATATATTTTCTTTGATTAAAGAAAATTTTTTTTATCTCAATTTTGTCGCACCACGCTCAGTTGGTGGATATGCATGCTTATGAGTCGTAAAAATAGTCTTGGCCACGCGGTCAATTATATAAAATATAGTCATTAAAGCTGAAGGCTGTTCAACATTCGATACTCTGTATCGGTACTAAATCTCGATGTTTTTACGCTCAATGAAGTCGTACAGAGTAATTTTGAGCTCTTTAAAACCGATAGCAGATACTAACATTAAAATTTCTCTGCATCGTCTGATCTGAAACTCTCGAATGCATTTGATCTAATTATACATGCTCGATTGAATGCACATTTTGATGCAATGCATCGCCAAAATCTCGGTTTATTCAACGACGTGTTTTAAGGATTCAAGAAAACATTCACTAACATCGCACATAAATTGTAAATGTGTACATTTTCGGCTAGCTAATCTGATGATAAATATTGAAGTGACTTGCGTTTCAGTTAGTGCAAGTAGTTTTTCTCCAAAAATGGATCCTATTAAGTAAATGTACCATTCGTAAAAATAATTTCTTTGATAAAATTTTAGTTAACTGTTGGTTCTTTTATCAGTCCAAATGGCATTTCCAAAATATACCCACGTGAATAAAATTATGATAGCTTCCACTAAATTGTTCTAACTGCTAATTGCTTTGACTAATCTTGCAAATTTTCATCAACCTTTTACGATGAATCTCATATAAGTGGAACAGTGTAAAAGTTATCGAAATCTCAAAAACGCCAACTGCATCTACCCTTTTTATTTAGGCAATGCCAATGAACTTTGGTCTGCAAAGGAAGAAGTCACTGCCGGACGTGGCGCAACCCATACAACTCGCAGCAACGGCGCCTCTTTCCAGGGAAGAGGTCAGCGCACTGAGCAGCATGAGGCGCGAGGAAATCCGAAGACAATACGACGAACACGAGAGACTCAGGGCCAATCCTCTGCTATATCTAGTCAGTCCTCAAGTCAAAGTGAGTTTCATGTATTATGTCATCGACAGTGACAACAAAATCAAAGCGACAGTGTCTTGGCCCTCGCATTTGAATGAAATTCATGAAACCAATTGAAACTAATTGCGTTGAGGATGGATTTGTGATTAAACGAAAGCATAATCATGATAAACTTCAAAATAATTGTCAAATCTATGATTTACTAATCCATTTTGCAGGACTAATAATTTAGGGTACTCTGTAAAAAAGAACACCAGAAATAAGGCTTCTAAAAACCTAGTTGTCCTTCTATTTATGTAAAATAGTTACTTACTCTGTAAATATCATATATTAGATTATTTCCATACTTCCATCGGATAGCTATTTTTTTTGAAAATCATCATTCTTGCTAATAACCATTAAATTAAAAAATTTTATTTTAAAATGTCCCTTTTTTATTGAAATAGGAAATGATTTTGAAATAAAATTTGGATCTCTCTGTAAAAATATAGTAAATGTTTCATGTTAAATTCAAGTAGTATTAGTGAATATAAACTATTACATTTCTAATTCCTATCGCTCTTATCAGTTGTATATCGTCGCCCCAGCGCAAGAACCGCACAAATAAACTTAAGGGGCAAAAACAACCTTATCCCTATGTTAAAAGGATAGGATTAAGGCACCTTTTTGCCACTTGCGTTTATTTGTGCGGTTCTTGCGCTGAGGCGACGATATTATGCATTGGTCATTTTCTTTCTCCATTGAAGAAAAGCATGAATTATCTTGAAACCTCACACAAAAATACTCACACATTGCAGCATTCTAAAATCATCCGTCAATTTGAATGTATTCTTTTCAAAGTCTAGACAAATCTTCTTGTTAAACCGACAATTCGTCAAATCATCGATCTTATTAATCATTTTCAATAGCTTTAAAGCGGCTATAAAATATTTCATTTTTTATAATACAATTAAAACTACATCGGATTTTTTTGCAGGACTGGTTTTCTCGTCAACAAATGGTGCTTCTCATCTTCATTGTCAATATTTCATTGATTGTGATGTTCGTGAGACTGTTGACGTAGCATATAGAGGCAGGTGACCATAGGCTTGAATGTCGAGTCGTCGAAGTCACTTGAAGAATTTGAAAACGACGAAAGGATAATTACGAATTATATTTATACGCAGAAACTGACTCAAGTATCAGACAAATCTTAGACAATGAACGATGGGACGAGTATTTCAAGCCGCATCGATGTGACAAAAAGAAACGAACTTTTCTAACGATTCGGAAAAAAGAAGAATCGAAAACTTAAGCGCACAAAAAACACAATTTAGCAAAATAAGAATTTCAAATAAATTTAAAAAAGGAAAAAAATTATGTTATTAAACTGTTGAGCCATCGACGATCGTTTTAAACCGTGACTGTTACTTAATTGATCGACGTCGGATCTTCGAAGTTGTATCGAAGGTTTTTAGTGTTGTGAAGTGGCACGCAGTGCGATGCCAATAACGGGACTTTATAAATAATAAATTGTATTGTTATTTAACTGTATCGACAAAAGAAACTTTTATCTTGAGACGGACACAAAACTATTGTAGCGGAGAAATATTAAGCCCATACTGATCGACTGATGAAGCTATTTGTAATATATTATTAATTAATTGATAATGATAAATATATTGAATAATAAAAAAATGAAGCCAAATGCGTGAAGAAATGTTGATATTTATAATGCAAAAAAGAAAGAGGAACAATATAATGAGCATATCGCCAGGTCGTTTTTAGCACGTTATTAAGCATAAAGTATGTAAAATATTTATAGTTAATACGAGTCGAAGCGACGAAAAAAATAAAATAATAAAAAAGAATGTACTTGAAATATTTTATGAAATCAAATGATCGTCAACTGCACAACATTTGTAACTTTGCCGCTATGTTATTTTACGATTTTATTATAAATACGTATTCGTATAAATATACTTAATAGATATATATTTCTTGACGAAGCCAAACGACAAAGTCGCTCGTTGTCGTTGTAATTCACAAAAACGTACCTTTGAATAAACTTATATACATATAAATTATAAATATATATATAGATTATATTGCAACACAGCCAGAACAATGGTCAAAGATTTTATTCTACAACGTTTATAAAAAATCATATTTGATGGAAGCAAGAATTCAGTCTGATTCTATGGCGTTTTTTCCTTTTTTATATTATATATTATGCAAATATTACAATGCATTTTCTATATTCCGTCGCTTCATGGCGACTTGCACAATATTTACAAGATTTCCTATTTATTCATAGGGAAAAATACAAAATTTGCATATTCTGGTCAAAGCAGTGAAAGATCCAAAAGATGGGTATCAAAAATTAAAAAAAACGCCATGGGATGAGAAAACATTTTTTCTACCAATTCAAATTTAGAGAGAACGTTTTCCTATAAACAAGTGTTTCACCGCGCGCTACACAAAAGACAGATTATAATAATTATAAAGAAAAAGTAAAATTTATTGGGAATGCACGTGTGCATGCAACTGTGAATTTGAGTGTGAGTCCGAAAGATATTACAAGTGTGAGTATAATAAACTATAAAACTGAATTGAAACATGTAAATTAAAAATTAATCTCTTGATTGACTTTAAACCTTGCAATTTTTTAAAAAACGTTATGAAGATTAGAATTGGAAATAGCAACTATTCATGGAAAAAAACTCGCTATAAGTAAGTGTATATCGAACGCTGGTAAATAGCTGAGTTTTCGTTTGGCGTTTGCCGTGTGATAATAAAAATAAATTGAACCACCTCGAGAGTCTATAATCGTTTGCAAAAACAAAAATGTATTTATCCATCACACGAAAATATGGTGCTTTTGAAAACCCCTGATTGCTTTGTGCTCATTTATCAGCGTTCTTTAGGGCGAACGAAATACGTAACCATTTTTAGATTCCTTGTTAATTGAAGATCGCAATTTAGGAAATTACACGGTTTGATATATGCAATTAAACGTTATCATGTACATCTGAATGAAACAAAGCAATTTAATTACTATAATTGGGCTTAACAAAAGTATCGATGTTTTTTGGGTATCTCGTGCCTTCTATGCCTTCCTGAATAAATGCAGATAACTAATTTGAAATCCATGCAATCAGCTCTGCTTAATAATGAAACAAATTAACAAAATTATCTTGACTTATTAAATTCGAATCAATTCTATAATATGACAAGCCAAGCTTGCATTGCATATGAGCTGTTTCGAAATTGTTACATGAAAGTAAAACTCTCGCTTTTCAGATGATTATCATCATGATGATATCATGACTGTGTACTTTTTTAAATCTAAAACGATAATTAGATAAATAAAATCAATAAGTGTCAAGATAAAAAACTTCAAAATTTTGCCACTGCAAATTATTGTTAAAAAAGGATGATTTATTTATCTACTCTGCTGAATGCTAATTGTGAAAAAATTCAATATTGAATTGATTAAAAAAAAGTTCCAAAATGATTGCGAACGCCAAATGATTACGCAATTCCGTGCTTACACACTGATACATCGATTTTTGTTTTATCCTATATCGATAAGACACATTCATATTTAAGCTAATAAAATCAACTAATAAAATCATAAGAGTTATATACTTTTGTCTTTTTTATTATGTAAAATCGACGATTAGTTTGGAAAAAATTAAAATGTTGCATTATTTGTTTATCCTTTCCATATTATTTTTTGCTCTCTAAAATTTCGCGCCTTCGTCGATACTCCAGAGACTCTGGCGTGGCTGACGCTCGTAGTAGTAGTCATTCAGGGGCTATATCGTTATATCGTTCATGCGTAAAAGTGACGGATGATGATGTGCTTGTTACACGCATGTCCAGGGCAGCAAAAAAAGGTAATATTTTTAGCCTGACCATACAGTTACACCGCTCCGGTGCGCGCCTGACAGAATCAACTTTTTGCCTTGTGCGGGTGTCATGCATGTGTGTGTGTGCGTGAATAAATAAACGATGCAATCGTGATGCGAATGAGAATGAATAATCGCGTAAGGTTCGCGAGGCACAGAGCTGTGTTGTATTAATTTTCATTTCAACTATGAATAATGATATCGCGCTTCTTGCTTTTTTTTATTGTTCTCTTTGTTTGAAAGTGCACGAAGACGCCAAGGTTTTTTTAGTAAAATATCTTTATGCTTTAGCCTTTTTATAACTCATCGAACAGAAAATTACAAAATCGAATTTTATATTGAAAGTATTCGTCACAACAAAAAGACGATTGCGTAACTTTGGCGATTCGATTAGATGGAAACTATTCTAATTGCGCCTTTTCCTTTGCTGATATCGGATTTGACAATTTTAAAATGCAGCTGTAATTGCTTAATAGATCGATTTAAATTTTTCTCGAAAAAATCGAGAAAAAAAACAAACAATATCATATCTTCTGAATCGCCGATCCTTATCAAGAACGATAGTGTAAATATGAGGTAAATAAAAACACACACTCGATAATTCGCACGCGGAACAAGTGTATTTCAACGTACGCACCGTCTGCAATTGTAATCAATTTGCTCAGAGCCAAAGAGATCTCGGCGCGGTATTATAATCGCGTATGTATACAACGTCTGCGCCGTTTCAATGCGTACATAATGGCAATAAGTGTAACCTCGCCATTGACCTTGATTGCGCAGATGAAACGGGAGCGATAATTAAATCATAGCATTGCTCCTAGTTATTTCAATGATTAAAAAGAAAGCGTGATGAAAAAAAACTGTAAATTTGCACATTTCACTGTGTGCGATGTGCAGCACGATGAGCTGTGCATTCGACGATGCAACAAGCGAGACTTATTGAGTTATACGCAGACGGTTGGATCGATGCGATCGCGATCTCAATCCGACGTAGTAAAACGATATGTCAAACACATCGGAACGTTATATACGCGAAAAAAAAGAAACACGCGTGTAAGAATGTGTGCACTTGTACTAGCACGTATAGTGCGGGCGGCATGCATACTCTCGATCGACGCGATGAGTCAGACGATATTCAGATCGGAGAGCTGTCGTACTTATTGCGCCGCACCGCAAACGATTTATGTAAAAAAGAGTGTACGTTACCGGCCAAAAAATGACGAAAATCTTTACAATCATTGCAACTGGCACGACGAGTGCGAAACGATTGAATAACATCAAGATATGACCCATAACAAACAAAAATAAAAATATTTTGATCGAATCCCAACATGGGGTTTTTCGTAATTCCAGTAGTCTGCGCTACGTAATCCGCTAGAGGGCGAGCTCACGCATCGTACTCGTACCCAAAAATAAATGATACTTGGTAAACGTATGAAAAAGAGTGATGCGCTTAAATCGATGGTATTCGCATGGAATTTTCTTTCTTATTTTCGTTAATAGTGCATTATACCCATACCTTATAGACAATACGCGCGTATACATGTGAATCAAACTCGTCGACCTTCACCCAGTATTATAAAACGCAATATAAACACATTTGCGACGCGCATTCGTGTACACATTAGGTGTACCTGTATACGAGGTGGTCCGATGCACGGCGTGTGACGCGCTGCGTCGCAAGTAGCGAATCGCAGCGTTGAAAAATTGCGTCGCGCGCACTTATTAACGCGCTCGGGTACGACGCGACCGAGCTTATTACGATAGTGGACGAGCGACGCACGTGTCACTCTTATATCGTACGCGCCACTATGCGAGTTATCTGCGCGGAAACTCGTCAGAAACTGCGTTGTCTTGCATATTATAATAATGTACGCGTGTCTCCTTCCGTATAATTTAGTTTTGTGGCTGACGCTGCAGCTGCAGCTGTCGCCGAAGGCGATAATTTTTTGATTATTAAAATGTAAAAAGCTTCTCTGCTCGAAATATTGCGTGCATTTAGATCCAATCCAAATCGTCGCGCTCCAAACTCGTCAGAGAAAATGACATACTTGCAATTGTCTTTATTCGATATAGGATATAGACTCCCCTTTAATCTCTCGACAATCGAGTGCACAGACACGATCAGACGATCGTATAATAATTATTTCTGACAAAGCCTCCGCGAGCGCACAGATAAAGTCGAGCCTCGCTATGTCAACTTTTATCGTTTTCTGTCTCGCGCTCTCTATGTCGTTGTTATTTTTCATGCGTCGTGTGCGCGCTTTTATAATTTTTCATTACGTGAATATATATGTGAAAATGTGTGTCGCAATTGTGCAACCTCGATATGCGATGCGCACTGCACGCACACACACACACACACACACACACACACATTCACGACGATATATTAGTACGGTTAAGTAATTGTCTAATAATCGCGACGCACAGCGGCGCAATGTATAGCAACGGCGTAAATTGCGCACACACTACTGACTACGGCGTAAAGCGTGTGTTTTTTTTCTTTTTGTTTTGTCATTACATTTGCTATGGTGCGCATGAGAGAGCAACGCGCAAAAAACGATGACGAGTTTCGTCGAGTCTACGCGCTATAAGAGTTTTGTATACGTTTATGTGTTGTGTATTCACCTCCTATGTTTTGGTCGCGCGAAGTCGCGTGATTCACGTGTTTTGTTCGTTCGGTCGCGCGCACCGATTGTTAATACGAAGTAGCGCATATAGAGGTGTACAACAATATATACATGCCATGTGGAGTCTCATCGTGTTATATCTAGTAGTAGTGGTAGCATGAAGATGAAAAAAATTTAATACCTATACATTATATTTGCTATATGTGTAAGGCTTGTGGCTGTCGGATGATGAAATTCATGTTTTGAATTTCTTACATTATCGTATATACACTGCTGCACGGCGCGGGAGAGAGAAAAAGAGAGTCGAGCGCGCTCGTCCTCAGAGCGTCGAATGAAAGATAACAAGTTTTTACTTTTTTTTTTCCTTCATTTTTTTTCTTTTCACTAATATACCACCAACGATATATTTCATCAGTGAAGGCTCTAATTCAAATTGGCGCTTGGCAGCTCGCTCTTTCATTTTTCCTCTTTTGTTCTCGTTATTATTCAGAAAATCGTCCGCCAGTGACCTCGATTTTATATCTACTTTTATTTAGATCGAAAACACGATATAAATATTGAGAAACATCCAAGTTGGAGAGATCATTGACTTTGAAAAAATTACTAAATTATAACGATAATTTTGGGAATAATCCAATTGCTTTTCAAACCAAAATAAGAATATTCCTATATGCCCTGTAATATTCGAACCAACTTAGGTCTCTAATGGGTCTCCAACGCACGCCACGTTACCTCAATATCGTGCTCCGATTTATTATAGGATAGGCATCGCGCGCGAGCGAGCTCACGTGACATTTAAATGCATGTTTATACTTCTCGCGCATAATATTTATACGATATGTCGAAGGCGATCGCGTTCTCTCCTCTACAGCTCGCGATCTGTGGTTTTGTAAATCTATGCCATTAGCTCACGTGTGAAAGGCGTGTACATGTGTGTGTGTGCGAGCGTGTGCGGGCGGCCGTTGGTATATATTTTATATGTACACACATCGCGAGAGAAACAAAGAAAGCGAAAAGGTGGTTCTCGCACGGCGGTAGAGAGGGAGATCCGCGTCGACGAAAAGAAAAGTGAAAACATACATCGCGAGTGAGCACGAGCTGCTAGCTAGCTACCTATCCTATGTGCCATTACCGCGTAAATCGGCCTAAAGTAGAACGTATATACTCTCCTCTTGTTGTTGTTGCTGCTGCTGCTGCTGCCGTGACGCAGTAATCGTGCGATACATACACTCCGAGTTATTATTATGACGCCCGCGAGTCATTAACATTTCGCCTGACTCGTACTCGCGCGCGTATATACGTATAAGCTCGGCAGCCGATCGGCAGTGTGTGTACCAGGTGCAGTCAAAGAAAAACGCATAAACATGTATTAACGATATGTCTGTGTGTGTGCATGCGACTGTACCGTACTTTTACCGATGTGATCCTCGCGCATATGCTCCTACATATCGAACAGGTTTTAGTGCCGAATACACACACACGCATAAAGTAGCTCGAGCGTTAACTCTCGACTTTTCCCCTCTTTTTTCTCTCGCTCTCCCGTGTGGCTCTTACTCGAAGCTAGAGCTTGAGCGCCGTTGCCTATATAGTTTCGACTGTATGTGTGTGTGTGTGTGTGTGTGTGTGTGTGTGCTGTGCGTGGGCCACCGAGTATATACACATATTGGGTTACGTAAGCCGAGTGGGGGTGCCATGGATGGAAATTATTAATCATGAAACTCTTCGTTCGGCTGATGAAAAAACATACAGCCGAGTACACGAATGCTCGACCATGTTGTACTCGCGTGTTAGCCGCTTAAAANATACAGCAGGCGAGCGCGTCTCTGTTTTAGTACATGATCGATCTTTGGTAAATGTGGTACAACTCATAGTGATCTCGAGAAGCTTCATCATGTGTCCGTAATACAGACACGCGATTAACCAATATGATTTAATTCAATTGCGATATTAGACGAATTGTTGCACACATCATTATGACATTAAAGTCATATGAACGCCAAGCTGATGGTGGAAAAAGTTGAGTAGGAAAAGTTGCGCGTGCAACGATGCACTCGAGTCGGGACACGAAAATTGAATCACGTAAAAAGCTTTTATTTGCATCTGCATTTGGTTACATATACATCTGCCCATCGTAAAGAGCCGAGAGGCGCGAGAAGTATGTTACAAGGTCGATATTTTACGTTTCACGCGCGAGTTTGAACTCGTTTTCCCGATGCTTAAAGAGATCAGCTGTTCTCTATATGCTTACACATCTATAGATATATAGTTCGTGTACATAAAAACAATATGTATCGCAATAATGCCTCGAGACATCGAGAGTCGATTCGGGCGCAACACGAGACGCAGTCTATCTGCAGGCGATCGTGCGTTATAAGTGCACCCGAGCTTTTTCAACCTGCACCGGTCGCAATTAACGAGCGCTCTCGAGAGATTCGGTGGTGCATTACATCATTGACAAGCAAGGTCACACGTTGCCGTAATAAGCTGTATGTATGCACTGTGTGTGTACGTGTGCATATTGGCGGGAATATATAGCGCTGCAATGTGCGTGGATGCCTCGGGGGAATCGATTTTAACGACTCGCGAGCACACGTGACCAAGTTCTCTCACTCTCGTTCTCTCTCTCCCTCTTGGTTAGCGCCGGAAAATTCGTTAATATAATCCTCTATATAGATTCAAGCGGGGGAGTGAGCCGAAGGACAACGATATGAGGCAGATGACGACGACGACGATGATTTGGCTTGTACGGGATACATATAAATATCTAAAAATATTATAGCGAAGAGAGGATACGTATTTCGTCGAGGTCGAATTTTCATATATCGAATTACAAAGTGCGCCTGCGCCGCCCTCCCCCGACTGCGACGACGACGACGACGAGTCAACTGGCTGCGCTCGCGGGACGTTTGACAGCAGCACGAGCAGCTGCATCTGTGATCTACATGCAGCTGAGAGCTGATGCGTGCACAATTGGAGCACTAGTAGCAGCGCCACGCGCGTGAAAATTTAAACTTGAATTATTGCCGCGCGCGCACAGCTACGATCGCTGAATTGCGTTGTGCCATTTCGTCGCGTATTTTGATCGCGTTGAAAAAGTTACGGTGAAAGCAGATGTAGCAGATTTGACAAGTTTCACTCGTGAGCTCCTTTTGGCGGACTCCTTATCGTGTAACGCGATAATTATATTTTAGACGATGAGTGTGTTTGTTGTTTTTAATGCTGATGCTGTATACGCCAAGAGTTCCTGTCAACTTATCGCGTTTACCGACAAATCAAAGCTCATCGTTTTGACTTGGACAATGTTTGGTTTTGAAAACATGGAGTTTTTTAATTCAAAACAAAGACGAGAAATGATACCGTGTTTACGAGTTCGATCTTGAAGTGTTTTTAATTGCGTTTAGAGCTTTTTTTTGACTAAAATTGTACCGCAAATACTTGATAGAAAGTGAACGTTACCGATCATCTCGTCATAAAAAAATCGCTGCGAGTAATAAAATCACGCGAGCTAGTACCAATTTTATATCGAACTCGTTTTCGATTAATAGTTTCAAGAACTGAAAATTTCGATTTTTGTTAATGCGATCGTCAAGCCCAATGTCAGTCAAACTCGGTAGTTTTTTTTTCTTATTAAAATTAAAAAACGTAGCTCATAACGACGCACAGAGAACAAGTTTACCAGTCTCGAATTCAACGAGCTTAACTGTTTTTGTCACATCGTCCTAATCTTTAATGAGAGCGCACACGACTTTTTCTTCTCGCATATAATGTAACGAATATTAAGCGCTGCCGTTTGTCGTTTTGGATGTATGCGTCGTGTGTTATAAAAGAAAGATGAGACGCGTATATGTAACCCAAGCGATTACACAAATAGCCGCGACGGCTCACACACACAAACTCACATGCGTGTATGTACTATGTACTCGGCGGATTCGCTTGCCGCTCACGTACTATACATATATTGCATATATAGTACCATAACGTCGTTTTTTGCTCATACGTATTTGTTGCTCGTGCCGCTTCTCGCGTCTGTGCATATCGTGCATGCACCCGAGTCATATATACGCAATGATCGCAGCTCCTCTCGCAATTGTGCGGCGCGGACAGTTTGGAAAATTTGTTGTAACAAAACTTGAGCTCTCTCTCTCGAGTGTGCGGTATATACAATAATATGTAGTACCAACGCGTATATCTATACGCGCGTGTACCCGCTTATATATATATATGTTTGAATCGAGAGAGGTTATTCAACCTTTGCGGGGCCTATATGTGTGTGTAGAGCTCCGGCAGCAATAATGTATACGAGAACGATTGAAATCGCAGAAAAAAATACGGCAGAGGCACCAAATGACTCTCGTTTTTTTTTCTTTTTTCTTCTTCTTCGCTTTTGCTTGGATCTTTAACCATCGCGAGCTTTGCGCTACGACCTTAATAACTGTTTTCTCTTTATTATTAAATAATTCATAACTGTTGAAGACTTGAAGGTGAAAACGCAGGCTCTTGACAGTCTTTTTCATTGTGATGAACGAAGCTTTTATTGTTACCATGGATCTCGGGTTACTCAGCGTTCTCTTCCCTCGTACATAAGTATAATCGAATCTCACCCTAATTGTAACTATGCGTGACTTTGTTTGTTCGGAGAAATTATGTAACGTCAGTGAAAGAAAAAGAGATGAAAATTAAAGCTCGCATCAGGGACTTAGTTTCCTGTTAAAACCCATACAAATTACGATAAAAGGTTCAAGGTTGTCACATCCCCCCACGAGGTTACAGTTTCGAATGATAAATTCTCGTTATACACACAACGTCGCGATACGCTCTGAAAATTTGCGGAATTCAGATTCTCGAACGATCGCGTGTGTCGCAGTCCGTGCGACGACATTATACATTAATAAGTATACAAATCGAAATAGTCTAACGACGAGAGTGCCAACGACGACGATAAAGAAAAATCGAAAGTGGAAATCAGTCGCTCTGACTCAACCGAGCCGATCCCCCTTATTATTTCGAACAAAGTATATAATATTATCTAGATGAAACAAAAGCCGCTCGGTATACTTACAGTGCTGCAAAACAAAGTAAGAAAGACAGAAAAGAAAGAAAGAAAAAAAAGACAGAGACGAATGAGTGTAACATCGGCGCAGGTATACCTACACGCAGTACGCGAGTTGCACGAGCAAGTCCAACTACTGGTGCTTCGCGGCGATATATAGCCGGCTCGCGCGCGCGTTTAGTGCAGATTATTATAGGCGACTACTATCCGACTAGCCTGTCATGAAGCTAGCTCGAGTCGCAGTTCGTGCTGCACTTTGCACAGTATTGCGAGCAGCCATACGATATAGGTATACATAATGTGACAGCAGAAACGATCGAGCTTCTGCGTTGTGTTGTATATCGCGCGGCTGAGACGCAGTAGCGGTCTGCGCCGCCGTCGACTCCGACTTATAGTTTCGTCTTCGTCTAGATGTAGCACGCTTGCAACCCTCCCCACTACCGCCGCTACTGCTGCTCCGACACACACATACACATTACACACACGTAAACATTGGCGCAGCAGCCCAGCAGCTAGCGGTCGAACCGAGAGTTTCTGCAGCTTGTTGTTGTTGTGTGTGTGTGTGCGTGTCATATAGCAACATCGCACGCACACACCTATGAGGATTGGCCGCCGCAGCGATTCTGCCCGCCGTGCGACTCTGCTGCGCGCGTTTCCAATTGCGAGACTCGCTTTCTGTGCAGCAGCAGCACCAGAGCAATGCAAGTGTGTGTGCTGTGTACGTGAGAGTCGAGTCGTCGTGGGGGCAAAGCATCGTCCGTGTGTTGCTGCCGTCGTCGTCGCGACTTTTAGTGAACAGCTGGCGAGCAGCGAAGTCGGGCGTGCGCGTTATACAGTGAGCGCATCGCCCACCAGAACACACAACACACAATAACACAACATATAATATAGAATTATATACATATAGTGTATATGTATACAAACTACGAACTCTCGTCTTCTTCTTCTTCTATATTGAACTCCTTTTTTTCAATTCTTCGCTTCGGTTATAGTGCGTGAGTGCGTGTGTATATTTACCTAGCTATATCTGTATATATGCACAATTAATAGATAGATATACGCGCGAGCAAGTGCGACAGTTGCCAAGACTTACGTGCGACGAAAAATCAAGAAAAACGAAGCGAGAGAGTGCGTCTCTTGCGCTCTTGTCGGTGAATTTCGTTGCTCTCTCGTGCGTGTTTCATCGTTGAACCGCGAGTTTTCGCGGAAGTCGACGACTACGACAAAGATATTCGCCCAAAGCGAGAGAAAGTGTGTGTAGTACATCGAAGGGGCCTGGAGCTTCCTTTTTATCGTGCTCACACACACACGTACAGCAGCATTTCGAGCTACAACGTCGTCAACCCCGTCGACACGCATCACATACACACACACACAGTCGCAGCTCCGAACTAGCAACAATCTCGCAATAATATAAAACATTTGCGAGTTGTCTTTTGTTCGTTGACGAGCTGTGCACACCGTTCTCTATCTGTCTTACGCTGTCTCGCTCTCTCTCGAGTGAGAGAGACAGTCATAACACGCTCGCAAACGTATATACCACCGAGCCCGGAGTACAGCCCTTTGTTCTCCTATATACGAGTCAGTCTGTACAGATACCTGCGCTCGGCAGTGGATATTTTCATGCGATAAAATAAAAAAATCACAAGAGGGCTTACTACCCAATGTACATAAGACAGTTACGCAGCTATCGTCGTCGGATCATTACGATACGAGCGTGATATCGTGGCTGAGAATGGATGACAATTACGTCGTTGGTGAGTGCACGGCCATTCGCGCAACCTTATAATATATACATATAACGCAATATAGCAGCAGCAGCAGCAGCAGCAGCATATATATATAGATGGTAGTGTGTATACACAGTACGTGCTGTTTCTTTGTTTTGGACCTACAGCTGATCGAGAGCGCCGAGGCTGCTGCGAGCGGACGCGTCGAAACCTGCGCGCCTCGTTACATTTTGCCTTATACCTATATATAATCAGCAGCATTACATATATAGAGATATACCTACGAGTGTACTTTGCACTGCAACGATTCTGCTCGCGCTATCTTTTTTGCACTCGTTCGCGCTCTTGTGACTGCATATACGTATATATATCTATTTCGCTACTCGTTCGCTCGTATTATATTTACCTTCGTGTACATGAAGAGTTTACGCTCGTGTCTGTGTGCAGTGTATATATGCGTGCGAGCGAGCTGTGGCGCGTCTATGTGTGTAGGTGGGAGAAGAAGTTTCATGCACAGACACGCACACACGAGCGCAGGAAAAGCTGCCTATGTATACATGCTGCTGCTGCGTATACAAGCACAACATGTACACAGACAGCCGCGCACTAGCTCGCTCGCACACAGGCTCAGCTGCTGCTGCTGCTGCCTGCTAGAGTCGGAGAGATATCGATTCGCTTTTCAAGTGCTCGACTCTCTTGCGCCTGCGAGCCTCTCTCTCGCTATATATGTATACATTATAACGCTGTGTATACCGTAAGATGCTTGTAGGTCTTATTTTCGAAGTTTCATTCCATCTTTTCTCTTTTTCAAAAAAAAAAAGACTATGCCAACGACACTGCACGATCTATTTTCATAACTACGCGTATCGTGTACTGCGGTTACGAACGATGTACTATGTAAATGGCATCTGCTTCGAATTCATTATGTCGAAGCAGCAGCAACCCCCACCGTCGGCTTGTTTACTTCGAAAAACTCCACGTTTTAAAGGGACAGACGACGACCAGGCTGGATGATGATCGTTCGTCGATCCCCTTCCTTTGTTTTGCTTGCTGCCGAGCTACTATATTACACACCTTCGTTATTGCAGAGCTCGCATATTACTTCGGAGTCTTCGTACATTACAGTCAATGGTTGGCTTCGGCGATTGTTTCCCTTTCGGAGATTCCAATTGCTGCAAATGTATTTCTATACACTTGAAGTGTTTTTATAATTGGATCGAACGTTATTCAATATTGACTTTTACTCGAGATCTCCGCGACTGTACAGTACATAGACTTTCTTTGAATGCTATTATAATGAAATTTAATACACTATTACGCTCTGGCTCATTTCATAAGTAAAGGTTCTGAAGAAACTCTGTGTACGTCGCGTGCATTTGATTTTTTTTATATGAAAATAAGATTGAGAATCTAGGAAAAAACATTTTTAACTGCTAAAATTGAAAATAATTGAACTGTAATTTTAAGAAATAAATTAAAATGAAATTTTCAAAAAGGTTGGTAACAACAATTTTTTTTCTGTTTTAGATGAAGCAATAAAACAAGCTTAACTTAGTCAAGAAAAGAGCACATTGCTTCTTTACTAAACCTCAACTTAAGGCTGTAATAAATACTGTATTAAAGGAAAGCATATTTTCCAGCTCTTATCACGGATTTGTGCAGATAATTTAGTGAATGATAGTATAACTAGTCAAAAGCGAGCAAATTTTTTTACTGAAAATTGTTGTTTGTAAGCAAGGTTCCTAAGAATTTCTCAAGTTGTTAATTAACTACAACCATTGTTCAAGCAAGCGTCTCATTGATCTCTCAGTATAACTGTTAAATAATAAGCTAATTTCAACGGCATAGTAATTTAACTTGTCACAGAATTCAGTATAAAAGAATATTATTCAGTTTTCAATTGATCTGAATGAAATTGATAAATATCAGCAAGTTGGCCAACGTTAGAGCATCAAAGGCTCTTTAGATTAAAATTGGTGAATCGAGCAGGTAACTGTTTTGGTCTTTCTGATGAGCACAGCAAAGTCAGGGGCCATCCTCGAACAGTTACAACAACCTGGGGATCGGCCCCGGTTGAGCTGACTAAAAGGCTTCAAACAATAGTCAGTTATTTGATGACCATCAAGCCAGAGCAGCTAGGAGTTTGCCTTGACCTGCTGCAGCTGCATCACCATCTTCTATCAAGAGCAGCAGTCAGAAGAGCATGAACATGTTGTACGTATTTCATGTTGAAACCGGCTGCACCTACACATTCGAGATCAAACATGCTCTGGATAGGTAAATTATTAATTTTTTATTTTACATAAACATTAAGATTTCTTTTCCTGGCACTCTACCCAAAATGACCTTATAAAACTTTGATTAATGAGTTATCTAATTAAGGCCCAGTGTGTTTAATAGTCAGTCGGTCTAGATAAAAAAGCTTTGCAACAATTTGGCACTCCATTTAATAAATCATTAAACTCGGTTATGGTTCGTGTGCATGCCCAATGAGGTCAAAAACAATCTTTCCTTAAATATGCCTCACCCTCTGATTGCCAACCAGCATAGGCTTCAATTAAATCTCGATTGTAGCAGTAACATGCACACTTGGAGAGAGAGAGAGAGAGAGAGAGAGAGAGAGAGAAAGAGAGAAGTTCATAAAGTAGAACACAACGTGATAGAGATAGAAGGAAAGCGCCAATGATAGTGGCATACATATATAATTAATGCTTGAATTATTGTAGAGTGAAAGAGGATGCGTTCGATCTTTCTCACTGATCCGAATAGATAAAGGCCACTTCTTGCATAGGGATATTGGTCGAACGATCCATCGAATCTCATTCTCCCTGACCGTTACGTTATTTACTCGAAGAAATTGAGAGAAAAAAGAGTTGCTCGCGCGCGATTCGCACTTTTCCATTGGATTAACCGGGCCGCGTACATCTCGCAAGGTGTAATAAACTCCGAAATAGAAGCTCGAAACCTCCGATCGGAGCATACGTGGTCGAAACGTTTGTTGCGCGCGCGCGTTACATCGTGGCGATGATTTATATAGAAAACAAGTCATTGTGCGCTCATCAGTATGTTGCGCAGATACATGTGTACACTAATACTCAATGGACGGCCCCGAGAGTCGGAAAAAGGGAACGAGAGCCTCCGTCTATTTTCTACTCGTGAAAATGCATCGGGCACGCGCGAGCGAGCGATGCAGCAACGCCATATCGAGTGGATGGAAGCGTATAATACTTATAATGTACGATCTTTGCGCATATGATATAGTTTACGTTAATAAGGTGTAGCCTGTGTTATGGTAGCGTATACAGAGTCCGTGTGTGTGTCTGTGTTTGCATGCGCGTACGATTAAAGAGTCGGTTCAAAGCCATAAATCGAATCACGTTGCATCGAACGTGTACACGTATGTGTGTATAGCGTGCACGCCGCGTTTGTATTAATAATATTAAATGTATGCGCGCACAATATATGTTGCCACCGCCTGTGTAATCGAACACACACCGCTATATACGTATACACATAATGCTCTAGATGATTTTTTTTCTCTCCTCGTTTTTTTTCATATCATAAACACGCTTCTGGACGGTTCGGTTTTTGATCTACATGGCAAGGTGACAATAATCATGCCATAGTATTACACATGATATATGTACCCCAATATAATTGCACATTGCGCGCACACGACCAACTTGTTATGTAAACAGACATCGGTAAGAGCGAGAGAGAGAGAGACGGAGATAAGCATGCGTATATATCGGCGAACGAGTCAAGTGTGTTGATATACGTAACGTATACATGCTAGTCCGATCGCCGACTTTGGTTTTGTTTTAGTTTTTTTTTTCATGCACTTTTTTTTACCAAACACCGTTTGAGAATTGATCGACGCGTGTATGTATAATTATAAGATAGTGTATCCACGACGCATGCACAATTCAAAGAGACCATGAAATATAAAAAAAGACCGATTCGCTGCCGTTGTACAGTTTGTTTCGTTCTGTTTTTGTTTTTATTGTCTTCCGGCATACGATTAATCGTGTGTCAAAAATCGTCAAACGTCTCGGGGCTTCTTGGCGAGTTGAGTCACTATCGCGTGAATTTTTTTTAACAAAGCAGCACGACGCAACGCGCGGCGCGTCTATATTTTGCAACTGTATGGGCTCGACGCGCTTTTCCGCGTACGAATGCACGCCGCGCATTTGAATATTCTATAGGTCTCTCTCTTTCTGTTGCGCCGCTTGCAGAAGCGATCGGACGTTTAATATAGGTAAAGAGATCAACGACATGTATACGCGTTGCATGTGTGCTGTGTCTGGCCGAGCAGTGGAGACTCGACTCATCGCGCGCGCCGATTGAATAAAAAGAAAATTAAACATGCGCCTCGTCCGTGTTGCAGCTGTGGGAGCAATTATTTCCATAGAGCAGTTGAGCTACTCCACTTGCGAAACTTTCGGGTGAGTGAGATAGGGAGAGAGAGAACCACCGATAATGTCGAAAGCTCGACTCGTCCGTATAATTATGATTTCAAAGATAGGCTTTATAAAAACACATCGAACGAATTCGTGTTTTAAGCTGAAAAACGAAGAAATTTATGAATAACTCTTTTCTTGTCGAGACGAGTCTTGCCACGTTCGATGCTTGAAAAAATATGATTATTCACTGTGTGACGGATAGCATCCAAGTAGCATACTATTTATAAAGACAACGAAAAAAAAAGATGGAACGTGACGCGTGGTCTCTAATTTCGCGCGGCCACGTGCTGCCGCTCAGTAATCTTAGACAAATGAATCCCGCGCAAAAAAGGAGAAAAAAAAGTGAAATGTCACGAGTGGGCACACACGATGTGTACTCATTTTCGAATCACGCGTGAAGCCTAGCTACCTCTAACACTGTTATATTTTGGTCTCGGGAAAATCTCGTAAATATATCTGCTGCGTACAGGGTCAAAGCTCTCACGAAAAAAAGACAAAAAGGCATAAGAGAAGAAGGAACTCATAAAACGTAGCGGAGCGTCGTCGCTCGTAGTACGGCACATCGAACTCGATCCCGCGCGCGAGGCAAGAGAACGAGAGAAAAAGCAGGCCTCTGCGAGCCCGATAGAGAGAGTATATATATATAAACGCGAGAGAGAGAGAGAGAGAGAGAGAGAGATAGGAGAAACACAGATATATGTATGCTGCAGCAGCGTTGAAAGGCAAGAGAGCTCGGCGTAAGAAGGAGAAAAAAGAGTGGCTGCTTGATTTTCTTTCGGCCTCTCCAGCGTAGTTACGGAGAGAAGAAAGATATAGAGTCACGCGTATGTGTGCCTGAGTACATGAACGCGTACACCAGAAGCTCTCCGCGCCGCGCACACGAGCCGAACCTTATTTAGGATGCTGAACTTTTCTCTTTCTCTCGTTCGTGGCACGTGCGTATCACGTACGTGCGTGTATTATTACAGTGCTGCCTTGCCCCCCCGCGCACCGCACCGGGACACAGCAGACACGCACGCGTGCAAAAGACTTGCGCTAGCCCCCCTCGAGTCATTGACCATCTTAAGCGAGCAAGCCGTAGGTGTATCGATTAATGATAATCGATAATCTATTCGTGCAGCTGGTGTACTGTATCGAATTTTCGCGTCTTTTCCTCTTGCGGCGCTCGATAATTATGAGCTTTGGTGCAACCGAACGAAAAAGGCTCGTTCGCCACTACCGCTGCTCATTGTTTTTGTGCTTTTATTATGTGTCATGATTATGCATGAAGCGCGACACATAAATTGCGGCCTTTTTTTCTCAATCATTGACGATTGTCGTTCGATTCTCCAGGCTATATATATATATGGGTCAAAATAATACTTTTTTACAAAACCGTGCGCACGTATGTCACCGATCTTGACGCGCTTTTGGTATGTTATAGTACATGGTAAAAAGGTCCCAAAAAAAAATTTTTAGACCCCCTCTCCCCTCCTACCCCCCACTTCCGGTATAAACGTCCATTTTCGATCTATATTTTTTCTGAGGACATGAAGCAAGTAAAAAATCTGAAAAAATTCATAAAAATACTTTTCCACAATCCAAACAACCTTGAATTTTTTCAGATTTTTTGAGTGCTTCAGGCCTTCAGATAAAATCATTGAAAATTTCAAAAATCGAGATACGGCGGTATGAGCCGATGTAGTACTCGGAAATTTTTTCAGTTATTTTTCGCATTAAAAAACATAACCTCAATTTTTTTCAGATTTTTTCAGATTACCTAACGCACCTTTTGAAGCCAAAAACCGATTTTTTTGACGAAAATAATTTTTTTAGGACAGTACGGAGCCTCGAAAAATCTGAAAAAAATTTTTTCTTGTTTTTTTCATCAAAATACGTAATCTCAAATTTTTTCAGATTTTTTAATTGAAGGCGATAGCTTCTAGGGCCGAAAAATGCTATTTTTAACAAAAAATGGTTCCTAGAACCCGATGGTTCCGGTGAAAAAATTTGAAAATATTTTTTTTGAATTCCTTGTCAAATTTTAATAAATTTTGACCGTTTCAAAAGTTCGATTGAAGCTTCCTAGCTCATTTTAGAGCAGGACAAAGATTAGTGCAAAATATCTGAAGACGTTTCTGAAGACATTAAGGAATGATAAAACTCGTTTGATGCTCTAAAATGAGCTAGGAAGCTTCAATCGAACTTTTGAAACGGTCAAAATTTATTAAAATTTGACAAGGAATTCAAAAAAAATATTTTCAAATTTTTTCACCGGAACCATCGGGTTCTAGGAACCATTTTTTGTTAAAAATAGCATTTTTCGGCCCTAGAAGCTATCGCCTTCAATTAAAAAATCTGAAAAAATTTGAGATTACGTATTTTGATGAAAAAAACAAGAAAAAATTTTTTTCAGATTTTTCGAGGCTCCGTACTGTCCTAAAAAAATTATTTTCGTCAAAAAAATCGGTTTTTGGCTTCAAAAGGTGCGTTAGGTAATCTGAAAAAATCTGAAAAAAATTGAGGTTATGTTTTTTAATGCGAAAAATAACTGAAAAAATTTCCGAGTACTACATCGGCTCATACCGCCGTATCTCGATTTTTGAAATTTTCAATGATTTTATCTGAAGGCCTGAAGCACTCAAAAAATCTGAAAAAATTCAAGGTTGTTTGGATTGTGGAAAAGTATTTTTATGAATTTTTTCAGATTTTTTACTTGCTTCATGTCCTCAGAAAAAATATAGATCGAAAATGGACGTTTATACCGGAAGTGGGGGGTAGGAGGGGGGAGGGGGTCTAAAAATTTTTTTTTGGGACCTTTTTACCATGTACTATAACATACCAAAAGCGCGTCAAGATCGGTGACATACGTGCGCACGGTTTTGTAAAAAAGTATTATTTTGACCCATATATATATATATATTATAATGAAAAAGGCGAAGAAGCAATCGTCGTGAATAAACAACGAACGATCGACGAAAAGCAAGTGCGCCGCGTCGACGTATACGTTTAATTAGACTCATAATAAATCGTATCGACGATGGACGGAGTTCGTGCTTCGATTGTCGCTGATTGTTTTACACCCCCCTTTGTAAATATTTGCGCTAATTTACGCACAAATAAAACGCATGTAATACAAGCGCGCACGCGAGAAACGATTAATCGATGCCGACGAACTTGAGATTATTCAAACGATGGAAATTGCTTCGAACGAGACCAAAACAAAAAAACAGAAGAATAAAAAAGCCGACTGCTACTCTATACAAGCGCACTAATAAATAGTTGCGTGCTTTTATGCACCGCGCGCATGACAAAAAAGTGCCAACGGAGACACATCGTCATGCGCGCACAATATCGTATATGTTCGCTCTATAGCCCGCCACAACCTTGACTATCCTCAATAAGGCGCGCGCGCACACGACGCATCGAGCTTGACGATTTTTCTTCGTAAAATTTCATAGAGCGGTTTCGATTAGAGTTTTTCGTCGCGAGCAAGGACTCCGATTGTTTTCTGATTTATATATATATGGCCTGCGCTCACCAGGTCGTGCGCGAAAAGTCATCGCTCGTACAGACAACTATACAACATACACACGAGTCAAGAGCTCTTATGTAAACATAATGTGTGTATCGCGATTCGTCGAGCGCGATAAAATCTCGCTGCTGCAGCACGAGAGAGGCTACATTTGTACGAGTGCGCGCGGATCGTTTTGGCTCGAGTTCTAATCTACTCTCGCACACAATCGCACACATGGCACACGAACTATCTATTGTAATCCGTATCAACGACCAATTGACACCTTATCAATTTTCCACTCTATAAACAAGCGGATCATCGGCATTTTCCGACTCGACTCCAATATAATATGACCGTGCGCACGTACTCGATTCGACATATCGGTGCCATGTTCTTTGTTTAGGATCGACACTGCACTCGTACGATACTTCAACTCGTGTATAATATTTTCTCGGTCTCCCGTGCGTTAGTGCAATAATGGTACATAATGGTCGATTCGGCAGATTATAAGCTTGTGCTTTGATACGTGCCGCGCGCGCGACACGGCGCAGTAATAAACCCGATGACGCGATCGATTTTTTCCTTTTGTCGTTCACATGACACAGCCAAACGCATAACGCGGCAAAAGACAATTAACTCCAAGTTCACATAGGCGGTGGCGATGTGTATCCGCGATAGAGAAAATGCAAATATGCCCCCTCGCGCTGGTTACATAACGAGGCGAGTCTACGTCTATGAGAGTTTGCAATCTAGTGCAACCCGCCGCGAATTCGCTAAAAGCAATTATCCTCTTTAATTTATAATATAACAATCGCGCGCAAAATCTCACGGCAGAATTATTCGACAAATGGACAATGCGAAACGAAATCGCTCTCAATACTGTTCTCGATTATTGCAGCGTGCTCGAGCTGAAGGAGGCTATCGAGCGAGAATGCGACATCCCGGTGTCGGATCAGGTGCTGCTGATGAGCGGCGGCGAGTGCCTCGACCCGTCGACTCGAGTCTGCACCTACTCGGCGGGCACCGACACCACCAATCCGATCTTCCTGTTCAGCAAGGGCATCATCGCGAAGGACACGCCTCCGGTGCCGAAGATCGACACTGGTTTCGGTGAGTAATATAACAACAACAACGAAATCGTGACGAATGGCTGCAGTGCTATATAAGTGCGGGGAATGTGCTCCCCGGGACGTTAATTAAATTTTCTCGCGAGGCTCGCTCACGACGACCAAGGCTATATTTTAATGCGCGGTAAGGTCGCCCGGTGATATATAATATGCCGAGCGCGTATATTTCCGCAAAGCAAATATTCCTCCGCATCTCTTGAGACTCTCGCGACGATGCGATGATAATAATGTCGATCCTAATGAGCAGCAGCAGCAGCAGCAGCTCGTTGTTCTGACGCAAACAAACGCGCCAATTCTTATTACGAAGCTGTTTGCGTTAACCATCCGTAGCACCGTAAAAATATATGGCATTGTGCCTGCACTGAAAAAATGTTCGAGCTGCTACCACTCGACGCCGCAGCGCAGAGCCTCGATACGCGGAAACGCTACTGCTCTCGGCCATCGAGGGAAATTCCCTCGATGATCGAGCAGCAGCGCATCGATGTAGAGTAGTAGCGCCCTCATAAAATCGAAGGACACTACATGTGAGACGTTTCGAGTATTATTTCATCGCGCGCGCCGAAACCAGTACTCACATGTTCTCTGCCGTTAAACCTTCATAACGTATACATTGTATCGTAGGCAGCATTTGTTCAGTGTTAAACAACAATTGTACATGTTGTTCCAATTTTCGCCGAGAACATCATCACCAAACATGCCGAGCTAAATATCTCGAAAAAATCAGTACGGCAAAACTGCTTTTTATGGTTTATTTTTGATTTTTTCTTATCAAAATTGAATATTTCGGAAAATCTGATACTACCATCGGAAAGCTGAGGAAATTTCCTATCGAATGGAGTAGTCAGTCACTTTTTTAAAATGAGTTTTGATACTTTTTCAGCCACTTAAAAATTGAGTGAATGGTCGTATTAAGCGAAAACATGACTTTTTGGGCCCTAAAACACAAGCCAGAATAGTATATTACTGCCCTAGGCCGCGAAAAACAGAAAAGTCCCAGAGTACGTGTAATTAGTGGCCGAGGCGAAGCCGAGGCTGATAAACACGTGCTCTGGGGCTTTCTTTTTTCGCGGCATAGGCCTGTATACTATTTTTCGTACACAGTGGCCCGAAAATCGCTCTTCCCGCTTTGCACAGCGGCAGGGAAGTAGTCACTTTCGGGCCGCTGGTATGAAAAAAAATTACCTATCTTTAAATTTCATGTTCGCGCATTTTTTTAGCTTCCTAGGACCTTCAAGAACAATATCTAATGTTCATAGTATGCGTCCAACGTAAAAAAATTGTTCCGTTTTTAGTCAAAAAATTCGAAACTAAATTCCGGAATTGCTCATATACACGTAAATATTACAATATACATGTATATTATACAGAAAGCAAACGTAGATGAGCACGGCGAGCAAGCGAGCGCGCATTGCGCGAGGAGACTGAACACGCGACAGCGCTTGCTTTTCATCGAGTGAAATTCCCTCGATGAGTCGAGTATGCGTTACTCGACGCGTCGAGCGCGCAGGCTCCTCACTACTTCGAGTAGTCTCTCTACGCATCTAGAGTTACTGCAGCTCTATAATCGTGGGTCTGTAGCTCGTGCGACCGCCGAGTTTTTGTGCCTCGACAGTTTGATGCAGTCAGCCCGATCATTTTTTCAGTGTGTATACGTACTGCGCGCATTCGAATGGGAAAACAAGAGAGACGCACAGCACGACGATAACAAAAAGAGAGAAAAAAAATATTTAAAAAAACTCTCGAGACGATTCGCGGCCTCGAACCGAGAGTGTACACACAAGACTGGAGCAATAACCGTTTATCTCGTTATCTGTGCAAGCTGAGCGAGCCATACAGCAGCAGCGAGAAACAGAGAGAGATGGTCGTGTGTTCGGGTCATTTTGTTTTTTGCGAACAAAAGTATGCTCGCATCTATCGTGCGAGCTATAACTGTGTGAACTGCGAACGATCCCTTGTCCTCATTTCGTGGAGATTTCATAAAGCGTAAGAAAATTAAGAGAACTGAATTCGGAGCATTGCAATGAACGCGATGTGAAATTTTGCAATTTGTGACGCTATTGAGGTACCATCGTTTGAACAAAATTTCTCCTTACATATAAAAAACAGAGTAAAAATTTTAAAGCTTGTTTAACGCGATTTCCGAGTCGAAAACTGCAAACATATAGTATTAATTACCTCGGTTGCTCTCGAACAACAATAATATATAGACGCGAACTTTCGATCTACTGCCTGTATAATAATTACGCCGCGCTCTAACTGTATAAGATAGCAGTGGCAGAAATATCATCTCGACGACGATAAATCGCGAGAAGAAAAAAAGCGAACCTAATATGCTCGCTCGCTCGCTCGCGCAATAAACAAAAAAGAAACGGTTCTCTCTCTCTGTCTTTTATTTCTCGTATTTGGTGGCCGCGTTGGCCGCGCTCCCTCCTCCCCAACCTCTCGTGAGCTACAAAGTTGACCTCGTATAATGCACATACATATATGAAATACACCTTCAACCGCAGCAGCAGCAGCAGCTCAAAACGCATTTATCACGCAGCGCAGCGATGCACGGACTAGTGCTGTATACGTGCATCACGATACGTACGATATAATAAAGTATCGCTGTCTTCGAGCGAGCGTGAACGGGGCCCGCGTGAACATGCTTATATGCATGCTGCATGTATATCGCTGTACTGCCGTGCTCGAATGCCGAGTCTGTGCAGCAGCAGCAGCAGTGCACCGGTTGTTCTCTCTTTTATAATCTCGCGCTGCTGCAGCAGCGGCAGACAGTGCGACGCCTCGGCACACACTCGCGTCTCCACACTGCTGCACGTCCCTCGCGCTCTATGTATGCGTGTGCTGCTGCACTTATATGTATATGTATATGTGCAACGTGCACAAGTCGCGCATATAACGCACGCATGTAACCGTGTATATAGTTAGCGCGTGTCGCGTCTTATCGTCGCGCTCTGTGTATATATAACGATCGTCATATATCTATATGTTTTGTATGTAACTTTCAGAACGTGGGTACAATGCTTGAGGCTTGTAGTCGATTGACCAACTCTATTTTTCGTGCAATTGTGCGAGCTTTTGATGGAAAGATTCGCAAACTACAATTGAAATGCTCTCTCGTTGCCATTCGAGAGTATTGAAAAATAAAAATTTACTCACGCGCGAGCTTGATGCGTTTTTTTATTAAGCTCTTGCATCGAGACTTTATAATCTCGTAAATCGACGCGACGACGAGGAAGCGAATCACGCCGAATCATTGGCTCTTCGTATACGCAACGCGTTGACGCGCGTACAGTTCTTCGCGATGAAATGTATACATTGGCCTTTGTTGCGCCGCTCCGACAAGCTGCATCTTTGGAATGATGTAATCGATTCGCAGACGCATTATAATATCGCATCTCGATGTACAATAACATTGACATTTGTTGCCCGAGATACGCAAATGCGCACGCACGGCGCACAGCTTCTCTTCTTCGAGATTTTGCATGATGAATATTCGCGTCAATTATTATTATTGTCATTATTATAATTATGATCGTTCAGCAGCGACAGACGAGGTTTTGCGTATCGAGCTTGCTACGATAGAGATCAACCGAGAATTGTGTATGTATACGCCGTGCGCGTAAAATTTAATTTAATTGGTGTGTCGCTCTGTCTTTGTTCCACTCTCGCTCGCTCGCTCGCTAATACGATGGAAAATTCATTATTACGACGAAGCGCGTACATAAATGTTATTATTTCGCCGGGGCTCGACTTTCCCTCGCCTTCCATATATCGTACATTATATACATTATTATCATGTACAACGGCGGTCGTTCCGCGTGTGGCCAGCATTAAAATTCAGCGTGGCGAGTTGCACGCGCAAACATACATATACGCGGCGGTCTTACATGTATTTACCTAGCATCCGACTTGCACCGTGTGTTCGTGTCTGTGTATGTGTGTGTGTGCATAGAAAATCCCGCCGCCTTATCTGTATGGAGGTAGACTGAATTTTCGCGATACGCGCAACGAAAAATAGGGAAGATAAATATCTCGCACTGCAGCATATGCGTATCCTCTGTGTATGTATTAGAAGGAATCAAGAGGTGTAATCTGCGAGACGAGCCGAGTGCATTTTATACATTATAAATTGAACATTCGTCTTTGTACGTGCGTTTACGCATTATTATTACGTTCCGTTCCACAGCTGTAATGAACTTACCTTATAGTCCGCTAGGAAATGGGTATAAATCATGAATTACTGAAAATATAATCGTAAAAATAATGACAATTAAAATCGAGCAGACCTAAATAATATCGTTTGTTTTTTTACGAGATGACCGCTTGCATTATATATGAATTACAGACCGAGCGGCGTTCCGGTTACTGATTTCGACAAAAGCGCAGAAAAAATTCGTCAGTGATATACCATTTACATTGTTCGACGCGCGAGCTGCGCGCGAAGCTTTAAATACGCGCTTATGTACCGTAATCGCGAGAAATGTCAAAAGAAATGTAATTAAAGCGCTCTTTATAATCGGAGCACTCGTGTTTTCAGAGAACAGATTCGTTGCCTCTCTCGACAGTCGGGACTGTTGCGAGTGAGAGAGAGAAAAAGAGCTCTGCGCAAAGGTTCATTCATCTCGCGACGAGTCGTAAATAATAATAAAAAAAACACTATGATCGTACTTATAATTGTTATAAAAACGTAACAGGCGATTATTTTTATTATGCTCGCGCGTGCATGCTTGCATGGCAGCGTCGTGTTATCGAGACAGAGAGAGAGAAAGAAAGAAAGGGAGAAAGAGAGAAAACGATTCGAATTGTAAACAATCGCGGTAATATATTTAAAAACACGTTTAAAGGTTTTGAATTATCGCTACGCACGATATTACAGAGAAAAACAATGTTTTCTATATCTCTCTCCCTCGCCCGCCGTCGTATGATCATTTTTCACTCCGTCGTTACTACTCCCTCTCTCCTTTTGTAAGTATAATATTATTTATCGAGAACCGTTGCTGCTGTTCACGTTCGCGCAATTGTCTGCGAAGTTTATGTTACGCGTGCATTACGTATACACATACTCGCGGGCTCGGTGATTCTCTAATTGCAATTTATCGAAAGAGAGGCCGATTGTCGTCGCATATGCTACAGATACAGCGGTGCGCATAACGCAACACATCTTAATTGGAACGAAAAAGATGAAAGAGAAGAAGAAAAAAATGCTCTAAATCGCGAACGAAGACGTCAATGCACATTACGTGCATCGCGAGTACGCGCTGTGCATATGCGCACGTTCCGCGAGATACGGAGGGCCTATATAGTGAACCACACGTATTATATTTATTTATAAAGTTTATATATTCACGCACGATGGCTCGAGCGAGCTATACGAGCTCATTTCTCAAGATCACTCGCTCGTTCGAAAATTCGATTTATATGCTTGGCGCGTTATATTATATATGTATTGCGCTCTCTATCTGTCGTGCATGCCAAGGTGTGCAATTGATAACGGCCGCGAAAACATACATAGCGATTATACACTTGCCAGACGCATGTATTATAATGAAGCTGCACTGCCGCGTGCACCTATATAACTATATTCGCGCTATGCCGTGTATTGTATAGATTAAGCGTGTGTCTGTGTGTGTATGTATATGCGCGCACAGCTGCACAGCGGGATTTGTTTACCAACACAATGAGTCTTCTGTAATCAGGATATACAAAGTCTGAGAGAGGCCATTGTACTCGCTTTTTCTGCTCGCTGCTCCTTCGCCGTATACTATATAAGCAACGTCGCTTTTCTATCTATCTTTCTTCCCATTTTCTTCTTTATTCTCGTCTCGCGACGAAATGGTACCTCGCAACACGCCTCTCTACGTTGGGTACGTAATTTCGCTTTGGATGCCGAACGAAGCCTCGCGAATGCGCTTGCATCGAGCACGATTGACGCAAGATTTTTCCGACCGCTCGCTCTCATCGCGATCGAGCGCGGCCTTGAATCGTCGAATAGCTCTTGTGCCAAGGTGTATACCACACGAAACATACGTAACGCATTTAATACATACAATTTGTATATAGACGATATAGGCGATACGACTTGGCGTGCCGATTTCCGAACTCGCGCACCACCTGGCTGTACATCTTAATTCTAACCAGATAACCATTATCAGGAAAATTAAAATGATTTTGCTGACGATCTTTTACTTTTTTTCTGCTCGCATACAGATACGGACCTGCAGAACCAGCTGGACGAGCTGGTGGACGCGCCGCCGACCTTCAGCACCCTCGTGTCGCGCGCCCAACTGTCCCAGCAGTACCTGAGCCTGGCCAAGGACCAGGAACGCATCTGCGCGCGCCTCGTGCACGAGCAGCACCAACAGCAGCAGGGATGGTTTGCTTGCATCGCCAATCTCGAGGACATCTACGACAGCTTCCAGGGACGCATCAAGGACTTCGAGCACAACTTCACCGGGTACCTGGAGGCGCGTAGCCGCCATTTGAACCTCGTCGGCTGCTTCACCGAGGATATTCCCATTCTCAGGAAGATACCGATTTTGCCGGCACTGAAGGGCTACGCCTTGGGTGACTTCGGCATTAGTCCTGACGATGAGCCGCGTCAACTGCAGATCGAGAACGGCAATCAACAACAACAACAACAGCAGCAGCAGCAGGAGCAACAGCAAGAAGATGGAAATATGATCGTTGGTACTAACGAAAGGTCGATCACTCTCTGTGAGTGGATTTCGACAAAGGACACTCGGACCACCTTGGAGGAAGCGTGTGAATCATACTCCCGGGGGATCGAACTATATGACGAAAACACGCTGGAACAGTTGAAGATCGATGTGAGTTTTGTTGTTTGCAAGCAAAAATACAGAGTTCACACAAAAAGAGAATGTCTTCATGCCCATCGTAATGTAAGAATGGTAACCAGGACGACAATCGTGCCTGATAAATTTTTTTTTCAATATTTTTTAATTCAATATTTTTTTTCAACATTTTTACGACCAATGTTGTTTCTACCATTCATGATTGATACGAGGAAAATGTTCATTTTCAACCTTCATCAAATCAGTATATAACTTGCCAGAGTGAAATAGATCGAAATTTAAATGAATAATTACACGAGCTCGACTGTTAAAAACCATTTTATTTTTTATTATTTTTCATACTCACTGCATGAATATAATTAACACTAATTTTTAATTGTAGTTTAGATCATTTTTATGTTCAAAATCATAAAGAAAAGCATGCTACGTTAATGTGTTCAAATAATCCTGTGCATGATCTTTGTTTGTTATAAAATTATATCTTGATTAATTATAGAAACAATAATTGTTTGGTGAACTTTAGCATATTCTTATTGAATAAACAGTAAAAAATCATAAATACAATACTACTATTCGGTTACCAATGTAAAAATATCACTGGTCCCGATTGGCATGGTTGGAAATGGTTTTGTTTATAAAAATTTTGCTCACAGATCAACAACTTGCTGCTGCCGGCTGCGAAATCGGAGATGAAGGAGATCAAGGGTCTGGGCGAGCGTCTGTACCAGCTAGAAGCGCTGATGGTGCAAGTGAGAAAGCTGGTCGCCGAGCAGAACGATCTCGCGCAGAGCTTTCAAGCGAACATGAAACGCGTGTCGAATCTCAACGACGACAGCGTCCTGCCCGATCTTAGCGAGTCCCATATCAAGCAGCTTCTCGTCATGCAAAAAAATCACAATCAACTTAGGGACATTCGTCGGAGGTGTACCAAGGTAGGTGTACGCGCATTAATAAGATCGAGTTACGAGTAAGTGATGCGATAAAAAAGAGATCACGATAGAAATTGACAATTCAACTTATCGTTTTTACCCTGTCGCAGGCAAAAGAGGAATTGTCAGCGAGTTTGCATCGTCGACTCAAGTGGGTGGTGGATCTCGAATGCAAGTTGTCTGCGGTAGACGCCAACCTCCTCATGAATGGGGAGCAAACCAAACGAATGCGCCGCCAGCTCGACATACTCTACCAGATCCACACGTCTCCGGAGATGTATCTCATGGCCGTATGCGAGGTCGTGCGTCGGCGCACCTTCTCCCAGGCCTTCCTGCTATGGGCCAGGCAGCTGTCCGATCAACTGCGTAGCGTCCACAACGAGGAGGTCGAGCGACGCAACACATTCATGGTCAGATTCGGGACCCACTTTCTCACTCCGCTATTTCCCGGTCTTGAGGACATTCCCCCTCCGTTCGCCACCGTGGCACCACCGAGCTTCGACACCAACTTGCCCAAATTGACGGCAGAGGACATAGAGCTTCTCAAGAGGCTGGTGCCCGATCTGGCCGACAGTGTAGCGACGCCTGACCTTAACAGTATCACACAGTTTTTCCTGTCGAAAAGCCTCAGCGACAGCAACAGCGATGTTAACAAGGAAAGTAACTCGATGCCTGTAGATCTTCCACCCAAAGACCAGGAAACTATAAAGCCTACATTAGTTAGTGACAGGTACGTGAATCTCAAAAAAAATTGATTGCAATTTATTCCTGCATATATATATCAACTGCATAATATAATTTCGCTTGTAGAGGAGAATTCGGATCAGAGACGGACACAGATGAGTTCGAGAAAATCGGCCAAGCTGCTCTGGATTCGAAACTCACATCGTACGAGGGTAGCGCTAAACAACATCCTACGCAGCAACAATTTTATATCAATCATTTGGAGGTTGGTGGCACACTATCAACATCTTCTACATCAACTAACGTATCACCATTGAATCGTTCGACCTCTTCATCGAGCGAACTCCTTCATTTTCCCTCCTTGTCCGATAAACAACCCCTGAGTCCCTTAACTGAATGCGCCGAAGCAGTATCACCCTCGCCGCACACCGTTAATCCATCGGTCGCGGCCGTGGTGACGTGCAGCGATGGCCAACAGCAGAAAAAGCCGAGGAGACAGTCCGGCAGCGACGGTAGCAGTCCGCTGGTCGGTAATGCTCCCGCCCTTGGGAGCGCCAATGACTTTCTGGCCACGGACTTTTACATGGATGAGTCGCTGCCGAGCAGCCTGAGCGAGCACCCGACTGACAGTCAGCACCAGGCAATTGTATCCATGCTCCAGGTATACCATTAACTCACGGTCAACATTGCGATGCGGTGTGCAACTTTTGATTATGCGAAGAATTCACAAGCGGGAAAGAAGGCTTTTTCCTGCGATTGTATTCTTCGCGTGTAAAGAAAGTTTCACTCGAGTGCTTACCTGACACCATTAAATTACATGGTTGAGAACTTGTTCGATTTCCATTTGAATTATCTGATCTTGTTTCTTCATTATGATTCACCTTCAAGTTCTTGATCATTGCACATTTTTATATTATAAATTTTAGCCATTTCATACTTTACTCGCATATAGCTAGGTATTTTACGTAAAACACAATTCTTACCATTCCACTGAGAGTTTCTAGTTATTGCATTTCATAGAAATCATGATTACATGATATATACTCTCAAGTATTAGTTAGTTTTCATTGTCATTATTTACCGTTGTATGAAATCGGTTTTTTATTTATTTTTCATTTTTCAGGACAGCTGACGTCGCAATTTGTATCCCTTTTCCCTATTCCCGACGAAAATACCTTGTACTTCAATACTTTAATTTTTATTTCAGGCAAAAAAACTCCCACCTCTTCCTCATCTAACAACTTTAATTTATTTTTATTTTAACGATAGATATCCTTATTACTTGCATTGACGCAATAAGTCTATAATAAGATTAATTGAATATAATATTCAAAGATATTATTTGTAAATTATGCTTATTGAAAAACTCGATAACAGTCATTATTAATGCGTAGGTTAAAGTGCTATAAATAAAGAAATTTCTATCAATTTTTATAATAACTATACAATTATAGAATTATCTACTTCGCATGATTAACTATAGATATTGCAGTCAATACCAATGAATAATTTGTAATGAGATATCGATTAAGTGCAAGGATAGCGTAGTGCTTATAATTAATATTTATATTTGATAAAGTAATTATTTCAACTTACAGGAATGCGTGGCCAAAAGTCGGGAAGAGAACGAACGTCTCAGAAATCTCGTGCGAAACATGAAATCCGTCACAAGCGATTCTCTGCTCAATCTCCGTGGTGAATTAAATATTTTGCGCGAGCACACCATAAGCGAGCGCACAGCTGCAAGCGAAATCGTAGACAAGGTTGGCCAGATGGTTAACGTTCACATGGAGTCACTGAGGCAACGGGAACAGGAGATGACTGTCGATCACGAGCTGGAAATGGCAGATTTGAAAAAGTTACTGTTGCAAAAAGACGAGGAATTGCAAGGAATGAAACGAGCATTGATGGAAAAGGAACAAGAAGTGCAAGAACAGGAAAGATTGGCGAGGACCATCATGAGAAAATATGAGGCTGAACTACAGCAAGTTAACGAATTTAGAAATGTTTACGGGTAAGTTATTTATTTCTAATCATTATTTCAAGTAATGAGTTAAGAAGTAACGAAATATCGTCCTGATTGCAGGCAAATGAAAGAAAGACTTGAACACGCGCAAGCGGAAAAGGAAAATTCCTTGAAAGAGTTAAGCGAAGAGGCCCTTCTGAAGACCAACCGTCTTGAAAGCGATTTAGAACAGTGTCAAAAAAGAATACGCGAGTTGGAGGCCAAAGCTGTAACTTCTGAGATGGAACACCAAAAGGCGTTCAAAGACGAGCTTGAAAAAATACAATTAAACTACAAAGCTCAACTGGATACCATAAGAAGCCGATTTAAATTAATGACAGCTTCAGCCATGGAACGAAGTCCCAGCGATTCTAGTTTAGAAAAGATTGAGGTAAAAATTTCGTCATACTATTTCGCTGCGGGAGGCTGTACAATTTCATAATTTTATTCTTTATTGTGTTACAGAGAGTCGATGTGATCGAGCTTGTCAACCACGAGACAATACTTGCACAAACCAAGAAGGATTTCGAACTCGAAAAGGAAGAGGCAATAAAGAAGGCCGTCCGAGAAGAACGAACAACTTTGACTCGCGATTTGCGTATGGCTAACGAAATCATAAGTCAACATGAACGAGATCTTTTAATTTATCGACAGCGTGAAAGTGCTTTACTTGAAGAATGCAAACATCACAAGGACGCTTTGCAGCAACGACTTGACCAAGCTGAAAATGTGATCAGAAGTTTAGAAAGCGATAAAGCCAATCTCAAAGTCACCTGCACAACCAATCGTGACGAAATTGAGCAAAAAAATAATCTCGTCGAGCAGCTAAAGGTTAGTCTGATTGAAAAACTATTTTAAATAAAATACTTATTGTTATAATAATCATTGAAAATGTTTACAGGCGAAGCAAGAAGAGCTTAAGAGAGAACTGGACGAGGAGAGACTGAAAATGAGCCAAGGCAACGATGATCTCGTTACATCCAAAAGCAGCTCGGATAAGAGCGACATTCAAGTTTCTGAGTCAAAGAAAGTCCGTCTTGAAGAAGATCTGAATTCGCTGTCGGTTCGTGAGAGCGATAACAGACATCGTAGCCACTCGTCTCGGTATCGAAATGCCAAGGAGCGTACAAAACGAAATGCTTACACATCGGACTCCATGATGGGGTCTGCAGCTACTGCAATCGGCGATAATCGAGACATGAATACCTCCGTATGTGTAGTTTCTGACTTATCGTTAACGGGTGTGCGGGCCGATTCAGCTACTAGTATGGATCGTCGTCGTAGCGACGGCAGCGGCATGTCCTCTTCGATGCGCGACAAATTCGTCAAAAGCACCAACAGTTTCAACCAACAGACCAAAATTACTTGCAGCAGCTGTAATCCAGGCGACACAGTACTTGTAATATGGAATCAAGAGCATAGAAATTATACAGTGTTTCAAGAATCATCGACTATATATTTTCTAAACTCCGACTGTATGCCCGCTTTGGATCTCAAAATATCGAGCGACGGAACACCAGAAAAGTTGCATACTCTTGCTGAAGTTATCGATAAAGAGTACTGCTCGGCCAGAAAAGTATGTTTTTCTTCAATTATCTTAATTAATTATGAGCTTTAAATTCTAATATCGATTATAACTAATAACATTGATAATCTTTTCAGACGGAAAATCGCTACAAAGTACCAAAAGGGACGAAATTTTATCGCGTGCGAGTGGCGGCTCACAAAAAGTCAAACGCCGCAGTTACGCCTGGGAAGAGTCAATAGAAGTTGAGAAAGGCCCTTGGAGAACGATATGACATGTTCTTTATTTTTAAATTAAAGTTATGGATCGAAATGATTTTCGAGCTATGGTTGAATCTCGCTAAAAAATGAATGGAAGCATGTGGCTTTAGTGCGTGAAATGAGTGAAAAAGTGAGTGCAATGTGAGATTTGATATTGATTTAAATCTACGATAGTTGTATCAATGTGATAATAGGTAAAAATCGAAAAAAAATACTAGAAGATAATGGATCGACGATTTAAGTATTTATAAATGTCAAAAGCTAAGAGGGCCATTTCAAAAGTCTAATTTGAATTTTTTATAATTGTTAATTTCGTACGAATTCTATGATGATTCTTAAAAAGAGGAGCAATTTTTTTTTTTTTTTTTTTAAAACAAACATCGATTTTTCTTAAGTCGAAAAAATCCAATAAGTTATATTACTTAATATTAAGTAAAAAGATACCTGAAAATTTATATTTAAAGTATTTACATTCGATTTCCGATTGATTTTTCCATAATTAATTACTTGTACATTTAATTTGATATAATATGAACTTTTTATGAAAAAGATAAACTTTAAGTTTCATCGCTAAACTAATCACAATCTGTTTATGATTTGTTATTTGGTGACATACCATTAACTTATAGTAGTCGCAAATGACTACTTTCAATCATAAATTCATCATCCGGACATTTCATCAATCGTGCAATGAATTGCGTATTATATACGATAAGTTACTAAATTGCTATAAACCTTACGACAATTAGTTATTAACTTAAGATTGTTTTTCTTCATTAAGCGTATAAAAAATATTGGATATTTATTAATGAAATATATAAAGCGTGAATTTATAGCAAAAATAATTTAAAAAAAACCATAGGGCACCGACCGTTCTTACCGATGCACGTATATAATAATTATATACATTATATATAAAAATATAACATATAGTGACACTTTGCATAGAGTGTAACGTAAAAATAGCTGTGATCAATGCGACGTGTTGCCACTCGACGGAAAACTTGCGAGCACAGCATAATCGAACTTTTTTACTTTTTTTATATATGTATTATCTAATAATATGTATTACGTATCTATTGCGTTTTTACAATGTACAGAGTGAAATGAATTATTAATTTTAATTTCATGAATTTGAAGGTTTCGAACTGAGATTTTCCGGGGAGTGGCCTTCACCTCTATTATAAATAAATATTTCTGTCAACGTTTTCACGTCGTATATAGTAGTGAATTAGCATATAACAATTCTCATGTGAATTAAAAACATGAAAGTAGGAAATGTAACAGTAATGATGTTAAACAATGCTACATGTATTTGCCTCTGTTTTTCATCCCCTCGATCGAAACTAAGCAGAAGAGCTTCGTTTTATTTTTAAGTTGAACAATTCAGAATGATAGAAAAACTTGGCTGAAAATTTGAAATGGAATAAAGAATCAATTTCTTAAAATGATTCTTACAACAGTACACTTTTGGCGTTTATTAATAATAAACACGATTGTGATCTATCTCTTTGTCGTCCATAACATTTTAATATTTATACAGAAATGTATCATGACCAATCTTAAAGTCAATCCTTTTCAAGAAACCCTGAATTTTTACTTTAGTAGACTATTGTATGAGCCTTGCACATGCTCAAAATAAAACTTCCCATTGTTCGTCGTGTTTTAAAGAATGAAAAAATAGAAAATGGAAAAAAATGAAATAGATAATGGCGAGTGATTTCAAAAAATTCTTGTAATCTCACGTGCACATTTCTCAAAAAGTTAATTATTAACTTTATATAATACAATGGGATAAAGCTCAAACATCAAAGTTACGTGCCTGCTGTAAATTTTATCAATAATTAAGTGTATTATGTACCTTTTTCAGCTGATGTGATGATCGAATGTTACTACTATACTTTCATTGTTTGTATACAAGTAAAAGATTTAGATTGTGTGAAAACCTGAATGAATTGAAACATGATGGACTCCATTGAAAGAGTTTGAATGAACTTATTGGCGCAGTTGAATGCGCCGTGACGAAGCTTAATAATAAAAATCGTTACAATTAAAGTAGAAAATCTACAAAAAATCACCCCTTTAATCAAAGAGCGTGTAAAGGAAACTAATTATTTCTGATTAAGATAGATTCACGATCGAAGAAAATGTTGAAAACTCGGCACTTGAAGAACGTGCGAAAGGATAAGGATTATGTATAAAGAATTCTCGATTTATTTTATGAGAAGTGATTAATACTTTTTTTATTATGATACAATCCACGCATGTCACTTTTGAATGCGAATCTGTAATAAATTGAAAATTGTATAGACATGCAGAATAGCATTATCATCGTTATAAATGAATAAAATGCAAAAAAAATGATGCAAAATTAATTGATAATAAAAAAACAAGTGTCTTTTACATGAGAATGACTTGGTATTATTATTATTACTTAAACGAATAATATCCCGTATTTACAAATAGTTCTTAAAGTAATCAATATTATTTACAATTCAAAAAACAGTGTATCACCATAACACGAACACTACGCAATCATTTCGTTTCAAATGAAAATGTTCCTAAAATTCGTAAATGAAAACATTACATACAACGTTGAGAGGTAGTTACAAGGCGAGCATCGAAAAGTATAAAAAATTTTAATTTTTTTACTGCATTCAATACCGCATAACGTAACATGGTTACTCACATTTACAGTTTTAAGAATAAAATAAGTTTTAGCTCGTAAAACTCTATACCAAAACGCTATAAGCTTGTTTTTGATTCTAGGTCATTTATCTGAAAACTTATTGAAAGTACCGATTTTTCACAGTACATAACTGATGGATAAGTTATTTTTTGTAGAGTACGTCCATCATAACTTGTATGATAGAGATTCAAGGGACTTAATTTCTTAATTTGCTTTTAAAACAGAAACACAAAAAAAGTTTCATTGCAACAAATTCCAGAGACTAATTGTTACGTAAGTACTTATGAATACTTATTATTTATTCCACAAAAACATCAACAGAATTTGGTGTAATCTGTAGAGTCAAGTTTTTCCTTTTAATGACAATTCCACGCAATATATATTTATTTATAAATAGTCTTACTACGAGATCGCTTTTTTTGTTACAAGAAATGAACATCTTCTTTACACAATAATAATAACGATAAAGATTATAGTAATAATAATAATAATAATAATAATAATAATAATAATAATAATAATAATAATAATAATAATAATAATTATAATAATTATAATAATAGTAATAATAATATCGCAGAAAACTTCTCGACGCACCTTCCAAAAACGAACAGACCTTCACAAATGCCCTCGAGATACTTTAACAAATATATTATAGATAACTTGGAATAAAAATTTTCAATTTTTCGTCGTAATAATCTAGTGATGCGCGACGTAATTGTGCATCGGTGCGTGACAGTTTCGCGGGAAGCCTTGATGGTGATGGTGGTGCTGCGGCTGTTGCTGCGGCTGATGATGTTGATGATGCAACTGTTGCTGCTGCTGCAGCTGATGTTGATGCTGATTCTGCTGCTGAGACGACTCCTCGTCCTCGGGACTGCAGAGCATGCCCACGAGGGTGTAATCCACGTAAGGCGCGAAGTCGACCGTGGTTTGGCCGTCACCGGTATAGCTCGTCATGTTATTGTTGACGTTGACCTGATGGTGTTGCTGCTGCTGTTGCTGTTGAAGTCGTGCTGCAGCATCGTCGCAGCTGTAGTGGCATCGATCGTTGCCCGTATTGCTCTGATAGTAGTAAGCCGACTCTGCCGGACTCGCTTGCGATTGGATAGTGAGGAGCGACGTCGTAGTCGTTGGCGTCTGTTGAATACCGTAAGTCAATCTTTCTTGCAATATACGATACTGTCTCTGCTGCTGAATCGGCGATTGATCGGGGGATTGACTCGTCGGCGAGGTGCCGTAACTCTTGACCATTTGCTGTTGATAATCGTCGTATGCGGAATAAGCGGCCACCTCGGCTACCGGCGAATGACTAGAAACCAGCTGAGTTTTCGATTTTGGCTCATAAATTGCCGCCGCCCCGCTACTCGGATAATTTTCTTGTTGCTGCGCTCGATTGTTCCAAAAGCTCGCGTTGGCCGACGGCGTCGCGTAAGCCGCAGCAGCACCGAATGTCTGTGACTTGCTGTCGTTGTTGTCGTGCTGCTGCTGGTTGACGCTCACTTGGCTGCTGCTCGAGTCCTCGCTTAGCAGCTGATTCCACGTCTGAGCGACGAACTCGGGCGCCTCGTACTTGATGGTGCCGCTGCCGAGGTCGAGCAACGTCGGTGGTGTCGTCCTGGCGGTCGTTGGATTGCCGACGCTGCCGTGGTTGCTGTTGCCGCTGTTGTTGGCCGCCACCACCATGCCGAAGTCGGCTCTGATCGGCTGATCCAGCTGGAATATTTCCTCGGGCGCGAACAGATCGTCGTTGTAACCGGAGGTGGCGTAGCCGGTGGCCGTCAGGTAGCCCGAGGACGATTCCTGGCCGTTGGCGTTGAGCGCGATATTGTTGTTGTTATTGTTATTATTATTGTTGCTATTACTATTGTTATTGTTATTATTGTGAGTGTAGCCCAAGGAAGAGTGCTCTATCGTCGATGCCTCCTGATTGGGCCAGTAATTCGGAGCCTCGTTGGCGGGTAACTGCGCGATCTGCGACAGCTGATAGTGAGCCTGGTGGCCCGGGTGATTTGGCGCCTGCTGATGTTCCGCCGGCTGTCCGTAATGCAAGTCGGAATGATGATTGTAGTGCTGAGGAACTTGATACGAGGAAAAGCTCAAGCGACGATTGCCTGCGGTATTGCCAGCGCCGCAGACGCACTCGAACGGCGAGCACGAGCAGGAGAAGGAGGAATTCTCGTTGACGCCGAGATTGGTCACCTGCGTTTGGTGAATCTCCAACATCTCCGAGCTGCGTCGTTTCGTGCCCCTCAGTCTCTCGATCTATAAGATCAATTATCATGTAATCGAAGTCGTTCGATACAGCTGTAAAGAAAAGTGCGCAACGAACCTTGTCTGTGGTAGCGGCCTCGATGTCGAGGTTCGAGGCGATGCTACGCACCCGCCTGCCCGTGCTGACGCTCCGTCGGGCCTCCGAGGTGGACTTGGCCTCGGGCCGCGGATGATCGTGCACGCCCTTGGCCTGGAAGAAGACCACGTGGTCCGCCGAGTGGCGCCAGAAGTGCGTCACCGGGTAGCCGCAGTGGCCCCGGCAGGCGTGTATCTGCAGCCTGCCCATGCACTGGCGATTCGGGCAGGGCTTGCCCTGCTGCTTCTTGCGCGCCTTGTCGCAGATGGCCGGCCTCATGTGGACCTTGCCGCCGCCCGGCAGGGTGCACTTGAGCGAGCAGACGAGCACGCCAAGGCACGACTTTTTGAGAATGGCGACGTTGTGATTGTTGGTGTTGCGCATGGCCCAGCCCGAGGCGTGACGCTTGGCCTCCTCGCAGCTCGGCGCGTACACCTTGCGCACGTGGCCGTCCGTCCAGTCGCACCACTCGTCGAACTCCCGTATCTGCGAAACCATCTGTGTGAATAGGAATTTTTCATCATCACCCGGGCTCTCTCGTGCGCTTCGCTTCTTTTTCTCAGTTAGATTGCGGTCGATATGATGGTAAGCTTACCAGAGGTATGTTTGCGTCGTTGATGTCCCACTCCTGGTGAGGGTACTGCTGCTGATTGCCTGCCACGGTCGCTGACATCGTCGGCGACCCAACTCGACTCCTGCGATGCAACACAAACAAAGCACGTGTGAAAAATAAAGCAAATTTTTCAAGCAACGTTTCTTACTTTTACGCATGCCTCGTTATTCATTTTTCCACGCGACATAAAAAGGAGTCCGTATATGCAATACATAATATTGGAGTGCACATCAATAAAAATAATAATATAATTTACGAGATGCACGAAAATACAAATATCTGCGGCCGAAACAATGCGCAGCCACGCGTGTGCGCGATGGAGTTGAATTATCATCGACAAAACGGGCGATTGTGATGCATACTCGGAAAGTCAAACCCGCTCGAGATTGAAACCGAGGGAAGCCAAGAAGAAAAAGAAGAAGCTGCGGACGAAGCGAGGATACGCGTTGTTATACGCCTACAAACGTATGCATAAACGTGTGTGTATGAGCAGTGCGCTCGGCGCGAAATTATTATTCAAAATTTAATTGACACGGCGGTGGGCGACTCGTACTACGTAGCGTGCGTGTGTATACTACGCGCAGTACTGCAGCCAGCGCAGCGAAGCGAGCAAATGATTAATAAGTCCGCTTTATTTCGTACGCGCGCCCTATACAGTGTGTGTGTGTGTGTGTGCAGCGATGTGTATACGTAGTTAGACGATTCCGCGCGCTCGTTTTGCGGTGAAAAATTGCCTCGCAGTCCCGCAATGCAAATAGTTTCTTCTCGCTCGAGTCTTGCGCGCGCTTCCTTCTGTGTTTTAGATGAAAATTTGAAGGATCGTGAGACAAAAGTATGAATTCTGCGCATTTGTGTACGCAGACCTACGGTGTTTCACTCGAGCATCCGCACCGAGAAGCAGAGCTCGGAGCAAGGAAAAAGAAAGAAGAAAGAAAGAGAGAAGAGAGAGAAAGAAATAATCGTTGGCATTCGAAACGCGTGATAAAACAAGCCATATGAGCACGCGATCACCGCGAACGATCTCCATATGAGGTGTAAATTTGCGATAAATCAGTTTGCCTCGTATGTGTATGCGTGTGTACTGTGTAAGTGTGCGCCCTATACTGCATTGTGCAGTGTCCCAAGCTCTCTTTTGCGCGACTCTCTCTCTCCTCGGCGCGATGATTATGTTATTTATATTCATCGATCGGCGCACGATAAAAGCTGAAATTAATATCGCGTCGGGTAATTTACACACGTGTACTTACGCGGTGTACGTACACACTATGATTTGGAAAAATAATTTCTCTCTTTCTCTCTCCCCCCTGTTGGTAGTATACGCGAGTCTCTATATGGGACTCGCGCGAGTAGGTACTATATATAGCTCGTCCAATGCACTTCTCTCTCTAGGTGATATCTAATTTAGGTACGATTGCGCAAGTGAATATGTGTGAGAGAATACGTGTGTATATAAGCTCGCGCAGCACCTCGTCGAGCGAGGCAGCTGTGATGTGTGCTGCATAAAGCCGTACGTCTTACTCCCCGCGAACGCGAGCCGATCGCGATAAAATCCCAATTTATGGCTTTCTCGTTCTCTCTTTCGCTGCCTCTCTCGCTCGCTCTCTCGCTCTTGGGGCACACATAACGAACGCAAACATTACAATACTTATGGCTCGTCGTGGGTGGCCAAAGCGCGATGATGCGCGCACGGCCCGCTACGATTACCAAAGTCCAAAAATTGCAATGCGCGCGCGCCTCTATTTCTCGTATCGATTTTTCGGGAAGATTCTACGTGATGTTGTATACACACGCTCGAAAAAGCAACCCGCTGGATTTTCCGAATGTAAATATCAAATACGAGCCGAGCTGGAACAAGACCTTACCGTGGAATATGCGCGCGCGAATGACTTTATCACCGATCCGTGCAATCATTCACACTGAGTGGCGCGCGCCGTATATACCTGCCGCGCGCGTACGTTTTTATTCGCGCCGCTGCTCGCGCTCTTATCTTTCGCTTCTTCTTGTTTTTTTTTCATACCTTTTTTCTTTTTAACCTTTCCAAGCGCGAGTACGTCGCGAGCAATTTAATTTTTGCCAACGACCTTACTCGTTTGTGTATTCGTGGCGACGATTGCCTTCGAATATTGATGCTATTTTTATTTTTTACTTTTTGTCTCGATCTAATAACGTAAAAAAACATTTGTCCTTTTACGTCGATCATTCACGCTTTCCTCCGCGGCCTCTCTCGACTTCTACACGTCTTCATATACGTGCGCGCGACCGATTAAAAGGTGCAACAATAATTCAAGGCGTGTGCGCGCGGGCCGAGGCAAAAGTGTCAAGTAAGCTCGGGCTCTCTCGAAGGATTATTCGCCGCCGCTCGAGCTTCTTCTAATTCTGCCTTATCTTTCGGACGTTTAACTCTCTTTTTGCCGGCTCTTTTCGCGTGGAAGCGCGCGTGAGAGAAAGAGAGTCGCTCCGAAGGCGCTTTATCTCGAACTTAATATCTCGGACCAGCTCCCTTTTGCCGGGGATAAAAGCGAGAAAGGCTCGTTACTTATATATACGGACACGGATACTAATGCTCGATCGAGTCGACTCTCGTTAGCGCTTTCACACACGTACACATACACACCAGCCCAAGTGTTTCAAGTACAATGAGAAAATCTTATCGCCATGTGAAAATCCCTTTTGACTAAGTAATCGCCTTCGGTTGAGGTATAGTTATATATTTCTAGAATTGATCCAAAAAATTGATCCGATTGTAAATTAAACTCGATGTATCTTATTAGTGGGTTGCATGTCGCGAGCTCGTAAAAATACTCAAGGGTCAATGATCACGTTAAAAAAGACGGAAAGTACATAAACGGTTGCCGTTTAATATTATGCACCGATATCCCAAAAAAAGCAAAATACTAAGAGTCACGCGCATCAACACACCAGCAGCAGCGACGACGACGACTCACAGGTCTCTCTCTCTCTCTCTCTCTCTCGTTTATCGCACGTACCGATCGTAAATGTTTAAGAAAGGACAAACGCGCATATAACAGCTCACGAGTTCGCATTAATTATATGCGAGACTCTCCCGATTCTACAAGCGATAGTTATCTCTCTGTCCTTTATGTATGCACATATTATACGCGCAGTGCGCAGGAGAGTGTCGAGAGATGGCTAATCTCTGCGGACATAATCCTACGCACCTCTCAATCATCATCGTCCATTACGTATAGTTATGACAGTGTATTTTCTTCTCGCGATTCTTCGGCTCGATTTTGATGCGATGTCTTTTTATTTACCAGCTTGAATTGTATACGTCAGCCACGCTCACTGTGTGCGTACATTATAGTCTTGTCGCGTTAGACAAAGCAGTCGAGCAGCGATGATAATGTGTGATATAGTAATGGCCTAGAGAGAGTTATAGTGCGGCCGCGGAAAATCCATAGAGCGCCAATGAGCGAGTCTGAACGCCCCCGCAAAAGCACCGAGCCAATGGCACGGCTAGAACGTGTGCCATAGCAGCTACCGTGCTTTACGCCCACTCGGGCTGATTAGAGAGAAAGAGCTGTTGCGCAGCGCTCGTGTGTTCGCTCGAACTTAGGCCTTTATTATAAGTATCTATTTTGTGTAGGTATTAAAAATTCGTTTGTACGAATAAACCGATTGATTTTCTAATTTCATTTTATGAGGGGGTCGTAAGTGAATTTTTTTAAGCAGTCAAGTTGTCTAAATTCATTTCGCAGGTTTGTAATTTTTTCAATAAAAAAATCGAAATTTTCAATGCGATGAACTTTACGGACAGTATAAACGGAGCATAGAATTACGATGACTTTTTGGATTGAGTACTTTTCATTTATTTATTATTTTTTTTTTTTTTTTTATTTATTTTTAATTATGAACATCAACCAGTTATGTTGATTTTTTAAAATAATCACGACAGAAATCACTCAGAGTTCTCAGTGAAAAAAAAACAATAAAAAAGCATTAGTGGAATTTTGGTACAGTGTTGAAAAATAAACAGTAGGAATGTAACATTGAAATATAATTATTCAGGTATATCAATTTGAAAATAACATTATAGTTAGCACTAACGGTAAGTATTACATTTCATGTTTGTACATACAAATTCTAAATTGAATAGTATTCCAAAAATTATTTTTTTGAGAATGTGATTGAAAATCATAGTTCTGTAGTCTATAGCCTTAATATAAAATGAATAACTATATTTGAGGTAAATTATTATTCATTCATAATGCGAAATACAACTACGGTTTTTTTTAATTCAAATTTTTTTGTTCGTGCTTATAAAACATTTATTTTTTCTTTTAAACTAATTTTCAATGACGTTAACTTATTCAAACAAGTAAATAAAAGTTCTACTGTTAATAGCTTGCTTATTTATGAAAATAGATGAAGGTAGTACAACTTTCAAATAAAGCCACAGACTATCGAAATCTTTGGATTCGCTTTGATCTTGTTTTTTTTGGTAAATTTTGAGGTTTAATGACATTTTATAATAAGCGTTAACGATTGTTTGTTTTAATTGAACTTTTAAGTGTCGATTCGAAATGCACGCCAATATTATGTTTATTAATCAGAAATAAATGAATCTCAAAAATTTAAAAAAAATAATAATAAAACACCTGAAGCATCCCTATACAATCGATAAAAAATGTAATGCTACAAATTAATAAAACTGATAATAAAATACATAATACTTACAACACAACCATAGTATGGTGATCCTTGTTGAAAATTTATCGAGATCTTCAATCGATGTCAAATGTTAAAAAACAACCGAACTTATTTTATCCTTCGACTCTTTAGCACGAATCTTGGACGATATCGGTGTATACTTGAATAATCACATTGAAAATACAACAATCACTAGTCTAACAAGCACTGTGCAACGTTCCGCGTACTATGTTTATACCTCATACGAGCGAATAATACACTGGTAACGATCGCAATGCCCCCGAAGGAACCTCGTCCTTCGTCCCGATGCATCCACGAAGAGCCGACACTTCGAACTAAACTCTGGGACCTAGCAAAACGAAGCTCAAACGCTAGTACCCCCGCTTCGCCTCGTTCTATCTCTCTCTCTCTCTTTCTCTACCGTATGTTTCGCGTATATACTTTTCCTCGTCCTTGTTGGGCGCAACGCACTGCACGATATAAGTATACATGTGTGAAGCGCCGCCCATTAAATGGCGGGGGCGTGGTTTGCCTCAGCCAATTGCGGAGTTGGCGTCGTAATGAGGCACTCGCGGCATCTATACAGATAGGAAGTGCTAATCCCTATTTTCAATCGTTACACTATTTTTCGCTCTTTAATAGTAAATTTTCAAGTTGCGCAAACTTAAGGCATCGTTGATACAAAAATTTGTACACTAACGTATAGTTATTTTGAAACATATCAATAATGAGCAGCTTATTATTATCAAAAACAACGGTAATAAAAAAATTGCTTGAATAATTATTGGGACTTACTTATACTTATATGTAATTATTTTTACTTTGCCACTTGCAGGCATACAGATGAAGGAAGTCGTGATCTGGTGATAAAAATTGAAAGTGCTATTATCCTATATAAAGTATTTGTTAAATGATACACTTTTTTTAATAATTGAATAGACACCTTCAGATTATTTAAAAGGCAATCGATATTCGTAACGTAATTTTAACAGAAAAATCACCAAAATCAAGTCAACTTATGGTAATATTTTCTAAGACGTTTAAAATGCTTCTTTTCTAGTTATTAGACCTTTATTAATGTTTAACATTTCTACGAAGACGTGCATTGAATAATTTCGTTCAACAAACGAAAAACTCAAATCAAAGCAAAATAAACTTAGAAGGCGAGCGTATACAAAATCGCTTGCGAGCTTTTAATCTGTTTGCGCGCCAGTAGAAATTTGCTCGCAACGTCGTGAGGCACTGCTGCGAGTCGAGCTTCACGTGTGCGCGCACGGCACAGCTCGTCGAGTACACACATTAGAGGTACAAGCACACGAATATATGTATATAATACAGTATATATACACATTTTATGCGATGTGTAATCTACCCGCATACATCGGTGGCAGTGGTGCGATGTATACGTGCATTACACACACACACACACACACAGGCACACACAAGCGCAGCAGTGCACAGACATAGACTAAATACGTTTACAAGACGTCAGCCCTTTTCTGCGACAATGACAACGATCGAACACTCAAAAGTGCATACATGTGCAAGTAATTATCACCATATCTGAAAAAAATGACGAGTGGCTCCGCATAGATATATCCTTTTAAAATTTGATAGTAATGATGAAGGTATAAATAAAGTCAATTTGAGAAAAAATTTTTTTCGAATGATTGTAAAATTATTGACATCAAAATATCAAGTTCAAAGTCGTATTAGTTTTTTAAAGATAACATCATAATATTTAAAAAAATCCAAGCTAGTTAACAATTTAATTGAAAAATTTAGCCAAATAAATTAATAAAACAATGAAAAATAATTTAATTATTGCTTGGCTTACACTTTTCAGCCTAACGAAAGAGTTACAGTAGAATACGACATGGTATTCATAACTTGAACGTAATATGTCTTTTCATATAAATTAGACGTTTTTACGGTTTATTTTCTAAAAGATTAAAATGAAATAAAATTATCTTAACTTTTTACAAGGAAAAATATATTCACTGCTGTTCGTCATCTCTAAGATGTCAGTCAGCCTCGTAACCAACCTAAATATTAACTAGTGTCTAAGTCACAAACAGATGTCGCATCCTAAACCCGTGGATTGATTAGTAAAGTTACTTGCTCAAATATGATGGCAACTGTACCTTTTATGAAAGTGGTTTTCTCCGCCTGTCAGTTTTGATTGCACTTGCTGAATTTTTAAAAAAAAAGTAAAGTAAAAAGCAAGTTCCAGCGTTACTTTTCCATCATTGTAATCATTATTTTACTTAGCTGTGGTAGCCAATATACATCTGCTTGAATTTTTTTTATTTACCAATGTAGTTGTCGTAAAATAGATCGAGATAACTACCGAGCGTATGTGTACCAAAAGAACGCGCCTAGAAATCGTATTATCGTCCAAACGGAAATCGCAATTAGTCTCGATTTTCGACTGCCGAATGGTGTATAAGCCATAAGTAACGCCGAGGGGAGACCTCGTATACGCGCACAGCTCTCCGCGCGTTACAAGTGTGCGCTTACAACGTCGATTTAACCCCGGTCCAACGATATGTACTCTCTCGGCAGTATATATATATGATATGTAGTGCGTTGTCGAAGCTCGGAACTATTATTTGCTCCGATCCGCTGATTAGACTAATCCTTTTACGTTGCTATATACACAAAGTAGGCACTCGTACGGCCGTGACGATCAGCAGCTCTGCCGTGGCTGCCGCTTCTTCTTCTTCTGCTGCTTCTTCCTTATAGCCGACGCTCGTTAATTTATGGTCAAACTTATGGGTGAGATCACACACATGCGGGGGGATTTATACTTCGATACGGTGTATACCGATATATATACATAACGTATATACCGCACGTTGACGAGATTATCGTACATCGAGTACATTTTTGCGCACAAATATAAGAGGAGATGACACGAGTCGTGATCGCACACTCTGAGTAACTTCCGACCTTTATTGCGCGAACGTCTGCGCCAGGAAGTCTCAATTTCGATTATTTATACATCGAATTAAAGCGACGACATTTTATAAAGCACCTGTGTCTTTCAGGAAAATTAAAAAAAAACCTAATGGACAAACCCGATCGCGCGATTAGCCAATGTAATTTAGTCGATCGACGCGCTATATTTATCCGTGTAAGCTCGAAAGCACATGGCGCAAAGCTGATACACGGTGTAAGTGCAGTCTCTCGAAGCTTTTGCCCCGTGTCAGCTAACGGAAAATCGCTTATTCGCAAAGACTTTGTCGTGCGGCTATATATTATATACCCAACCATGGGTCTGAATTCCCGACCTTACTCTTTCTCTTTCTCTTTCTCTCTCTATATTTGAACAGAGAGTTCGAAAGTTTTGGGCAATCAGCTACAGAGCTCTTTCTCTCTCTAGCTGTGTCGAGCAGTGGCTGTCGGAATCGTCATCGCCTACTACACACACACGTACACACACACACACACACACACACACACATACTTAGCGTTGACTGCGTCTGTCTGTGTTTGCCTCTTTACTGCTGCTGTTACTGCTGCGAGCGGATCAAAGGGATATATAATGGGGAGCTGCTACTGCTACTGCTGCTACTGCACTACCATCTCTCGGTAGAGCGAGCGATTTTGATTGTTAGCTCGACATTTTCTCTCTCTCTCTCGCTCCCTGATACTGACACTATCTCTCCTCTTTCATAGCAGCCATGCGGAAAACGCGCTTTTAAGCTTCGCTCGCTCGCTCGCGCATTCCACGATTCTATATCAGTCTTTTTTGAGAGCGATGCGGCGCACAAACGCACATACTCGCACACACTCGCTGAGCTCGAAGAATGATGAAGCTTTTGCCGAGTCGCGACAGCATTTATATGCCGTTTTATGAGATTCGACGTTGATTTTTTTTCTTTTCCTTTTACTGAAAAAAAGGTAGGATAAAAAATGTACGCGCTTTTCGAGATAAGTCGTCATGGAACACGCCTGCGAAAAATTTTATGGCTTTTGATTGGATTTTACGCGTGCTCAACCGTATTTATTTGCGTTTGCGCGCGTACAATAGAATCGTAACGAATATCGTTTTCCCGTGGCAAGTGTATCAACATCTTTTTTAACAGTCAAAGCGAATCGACGACAACGACTATGGTCCCGTCGCCGTTGCCTATAGTCGACTGTACAGTCTATCGCATCGTACAATAATATACCTAAGGGGGTTGTCTCGAAGTAGCCGCAATGCTAAATTGATTCAAATTGCCTATGAATACACATGGGTGGCATAACACATATACACACACACACACACACACAACACACACTGACGAGTAATAGAAGAATAGTGATAGAAGAGAGAGAAAAAAATCACGAGCAGTATTGCATACGGGAGCATTTAAAAGCGATTTTTTCCTCCTTCTCGAGAGTCCTACAATGACTTCATCGTTTTTTTCTCGCTCTCTTTCTAGCTCACCTGTAAGTGTGCAGACTCATTGTGTCTGCGTGTGCGCGCGCACGTATATATATATATAAGTTTTTTTTTACGATGAGTCTATTAGCCCGAGCCCGTATGACGCGCTCTGCTCCTTAGCCCTTTGACGTGGGAGACTTTTTTCGATAAGTGATTTATACCCATTTTTCCGAGGCCGAAATTTTCATTCGGCGCATAAAGCTCGTTCGCGCGTCATTACTCGGTGCTGATCTCTGCCAAACTCAAGAGAGAGAGAGAGAGAGAGAGAGAGAGAGAGAGAGAGAGAGAGAGAGAGAAAGAGAGAGAGATATCGTATTATATTATATCGTGCCCTATCCGCGCGCGGTACGTTATACATTATATGCGTAAGAGCGTGAGAAGAGTCTCATGTGGGCGTTCTTGTACACATTTATATACACGTACCGAAACGCTTTGATGAAGTAGACTAACATTTGCCTTGGTTTTTGCTATTATTACAATTGATATTTTTCCTGCGCGCCTCAAGGGCTGCATTGTCCATCGATAAAAGTGTCAATTTAGACGTTATATTCGACGTCTCGTATTTATTTCAACAAGCCTGCAAGTAAGTCGAAGTTATATTAA